TAAATAATCTTTAAGTTGATTTAATAAGATAAGAATTTCATTACTGCTGAGCAGCTGAGAAATACCTTTTAGAATAATTTTATAAAGCCATGATAAAAAATAAAAACAATTAGTAGCTCTCCTGTAGTCTCTATAAAAAGCTTTTAGGATTATAGATTTAGTGCTAGGAAGGAACCTTAGAGGTTATCTAGTTCAGTTCTCTCATTTTACATGTAACAAGGATTCTGACTACTTTGCCATAACTCCCTACCTCATTAGGCCCATGGAACAGATTAAAAACTGGATCAGAAGTCGTTGGACTTGGAAAGGGAGTAAAATGGCCCTGTTACATACAGAAAAAGAAACTAAAGCCAAGAGATGTTAAATAATTTGTCAGAAGTCACACGAGTCCTCTGATGCCAAATATAGCGCTTCCTTTCCTAGTCAGGCTTCTTTGGAGTAAGTGGAAGTAAGGGGTTGGTCTGAACTGGTGTTTCCATTGGTTTAAAGCAGGGGTGTCAAACTTCTATAGAAACAGGTTATGAATCCTTACATAAGGATCCCTGACTGAGCTTATTCACTTGGTTTTAAAACATAGTGTTATCTCTGCTTTTTGGTATTTTATAATTTATGATGTTACCTATTCTTTATGGTATTTTTATTTATATTGTTAAATATTTTCCAATTACATTTTTTTTTTTTTTTTGGTGAGGCAATCGGGGTTAAGTGGCTTGCCCAAGGTCATACAGCTTAGTATGTGTCAAGTGTTTGGTCTGAGGCCAGATTTGAACTCAGGTCTTCCTGATTTCAGGGCTGGTGCTCTATCCACTGTGCCACCTAGCTGCCCCCCCAATTACATTTTAACCTGGTTCCAGTGCACTTGAGAGTGTTGTAGCAGGCCTACTGGCTATGTCTGACACCTCCTCTTATAGAAATTCATTATCAATTCAACAATTTATCCATAATTTATAGTGTTAGAGAATTGCCTAATAAGTTGACTTGTACATGCTTACCCAGCTAATATGTGTCAGGGGCAGGGCCTTTATTACTCCAAAGCTAGCCCACTCCCCACTCTTCCAGGATGCACCAAATACCCATACTGGAAGATACCAGCATTTTTAGTAGGTTGGTCAACCATTTTAACAGAGGCCAGGAGCTGAACAGCCATGGAAATGAAATAAAAAGTCCTTCGCCATAGTAACTGTCAGTAATCTGAATAAGTTTAAGCCAATCAGCCAAAATTGGTGGTAAACATATATGGTGGTAAAGCATGTTAAGGTTTGTAGCTTTATGAGCTAGTAGGTGTCACCATTTTGACAACCTATGCTTTTGTCACAGTTGTGGTAGCATACCAGTTTATATATTACTTCAATGTTCTTTGTTACTGTGTACAAAAATATCCATTTTGGATGACTATGAGTCATGGAAGAACTAAAGTTTCTGAAGAATTAACATTGAAAATCATCTAAAAGGGGAACCAAAGGAGAAGTGCATGGTGGGTATGAGCAGGCTTTACCACATTGCAATCATGGCATTATAAAGGAGCTGCAGAGTAAAGTATGTCATTAAAGAAAAGTATATGCAAAATAAAGATGAGCGGGTTGTGTGGTTTGTCAAGACGATGAGATGTCAAGAGAAGGCAGGGTAAGCCCCTGGTATGTTGCAGGAAATTCTTCTCAATCCCTAGGGCAAAGTTACAGGAAGACATGGACAAGAGTCACACAGGATGAGTAAGTATGAATGGATTGCCATCTGAATCACTGAAGTAAATCCATACCACTGAGGACATAGACCATCCTTCTCCTCTTATTCAGCAACAGCCGTGGAGCAGAGCAATCCTAGCATTCCACCCTTTGAATGCCTTCTAAAATACATTATTTTAAATTACTTGGTTAGCTAAATGCAAATGAGGTTTGATATTGAAAATACACCAGATGTACTTTTATAGATATTCAGAGAATGAATGGATGAAAAAGCGTTTTTTAAATACTTAAGGTGTGCCAAGTGCAGGGGCTAGAAACAGAAATTCACAATAGTCCCTAGTTCATTGGGTGAGATAACACATATAGATAGGAAAGTACAGCTGCAGAGCAGAGGGGAGGGCCCAGTGGTCTGGAGGGTATGATGGCATAGCAGATGGTAAGGACAGGTGGTTCATAAAGCACCACAAGAGGGCAGAGAGCACAGCTTGGTGGTACTCCAGTGCCCCTTCATCAAGCGTTTATCGAATACTCACTCTATAACAGGTACCATACTAAGAATCTTGGCCCAGCCCCCAAGGAGCTAACAGCCTACGGGAAGCAGCAACATGTACACAGATAAGTAAATAGAAAATATATGCAAAGGTATTTGAGGGTCAAGGATCACTAACAACTGGAAGAATCTGGAGCCTTGAAGGGATTCCAAGAGAAGCTGAGGAAGAAAATGAGGGGACAGCCCTTGCAAAGGACAGGCTGAGGGGACAGCCTTGCAAAGGACAGAGGCTGAATATGCATGTTGAGTGTGGTAAATAGCTAATAAGCCATTTTGACTGGAGGGTAGAGTGTGCAACAGGGAGTAATGTGAAATCAGTCTAGGATGATAGGTTGGAGCCAGAACGTGGAGTGCTGTAAATGCCAAAGAGAAAATAAATATTTTATCGTAGAAATGATAGGGAGCAACATGGTCAGACTTGTTAGGAATATTGTTGGTACCTATACAGAGAATGTATTCAGTAGGGGAGAGGCTAAATGCAGGGGAAACAATTAGAAGACTGTTACAATAATCCTAATCCTCATAATAGTCTAGAGTAGAGATGAAGTGGTCCTGAACTAAGGTGGTGGTCTATGAGTACAGAGAAGGGGGTAGAATCGACAAGACAGGGTCACATAGTAACTGTCTGAGCCTGGATTTGAAATCAGGGGTTCTGAAACCCACTGTGCTACCTAACTATATCTACTACTGTAAAAAAAATATTAAAAGAAGGAGGGCACATTATTTTTAAGACTTGCAGCTTCAGTGGGCCAAGTGCTGTGTACAAATAACATTCAATTTACACATCCAACTTAAAAATATTGATATTTGGGGACTTCAAAAGGATTCAGAAGATTGTTCATCGATTGAGAAGAACAAAATGAGTAATAAAAAAAGAAATAGCAAAAATCAAACCCCAAACGAATAATCTGCTTCCTCGACATACAGCTTCTGTCCATAGTACAGAAATTCAGTCTTGGAAGTCACCTAACCTTTTGCCCCTGGTTCTGGCAAAACTATACAAGAAACAACACGGGTACATGAGAATCTGGTCTGTTTTTAAAAACTATAGAGAAGAAACTTCCTCTATCTTCTTAAGTCTTTTACCTTACTCAATTCTTTTTGCAATCATCATTGCCAGGAAATCTAACCTTCCTCTTTCAAACCTAAGACTTCCCAGACTACAGTTTCAGCAGAAGCTTCTTCTTTCTTCTGTTGTCTGATGGTTTAGATTTATACAGAGATAACTTTAAGCATGTATTAGAAATAAGTACACAAACTGAAATAAGTTTCAAATAACATTTGTTAAGTCCTCCAAGCTGGCAGCTAGGTGACTCAGTGGATAGAGCCCTGGGCCTGCAGTCAGGAAGACCTGAGTTCAAATCCAGACTCAGACACTAGTTGTGTGACACTTAAGTCACTTAACCCTGTTTGCCTCAGTTTCCTCATCTGTAAAATGAGCTGGAGAAGGAAATGGCAAAACACTCCAGTATCTTTTCCAAGAAAACCTTAAATGATGTCATCGAGAGTACAACACATTGCTGTTGTCAGGCACTGTACTGGAGTATTCCTAAAAGGAAGAGGACAGAGAGGGGGAGAAAGACAATAGAAAAAAAAAATCAGTGTCTTGGCTCCATGGCAGTGACCTCTTGGTTACCAGCTTCAGAGGCAGCTTTGAATCCCAGCTTTGCTACCATCTACCTGTCTATTCTACCTTCTACAGTAGACTTGTACAAGAAACCTTTCCCCATACCCCTTACTGCTAGTGACTCTTCTCTGTTGATTATCTCCAGTTTATCCTGTGCCTATAAATTGCATGTGCTAGGCCTTTTCATGTTGTCTTCCTGTTTTGCCTTATACTCTGCAGCACTTAGCAACGCCTGGTATATAGTAGGTGCTTAATACATGCTTGTTAACTGACTGATTCTCTGACCCTGGGCAGTCAGTCAGGCAATCAACAAATGTCACTTCTTAGATCTCAGCTCATCTGTATTTTGAGGAGGTTGAACCAGAGCCATGGATTACAGACCAGAATTATGGGTTATTAAAGCATGGTTGGACCAGAACCGTCAGTTATTAGCGATGTGGGACTCTTGACGGGGAATCTCAGTGTCTTCCTCATGTTAGCTCAATAGGGCAATCCCCTGGCCGCCCATCTGAAGGGACGGACAGGACCCGCTAGGGGGAGCCCTGGAGCCGGACTCGATGGGGGCCCCGGAAGCCGTGCATGAGCGCCGAACTACATTCCCCAGAAGCCAGCGCGGCGGGGGCGGGGCCGGGGCCAGGGACATTTCTGGACCTGCCGGGCCCGGCAAAGCCAAGGTAAGTGCTGGCGCCCCTGGGGACCGGGGGAGGAGCCCCTCACCTGTCCACGCCTCCTCCCACATCCCAAACTGTCCCCTAGCGATGAAACGTCCGGCTTGTAGTGACCTCCGGGGCCTGGGCAGCCCCTGTACTCCTCCTTCTCTCCTCGTTTAGAGCCCCCAGAACACGGGTGCCGGTGTAGGAGAGGACGCCTCCTGGGCTGACCGGAGGCCTTTGGAGAAGGGAACAGAATAATGAGGAGGGGTCCGGCTCGGCCCCCATTCTGCCCCTAGCCGGGGGAGGGTGTGGAGGGGAGGGGGAGGAAGGTCTGGCCCAGGGGCGACGTCGCGGAGGCTGGTGGGAGGGAGCCGACTCGGCCCACCAGGCAAACTGGTGAATGGGGTGATGCAGCTGCCCGGGGAGTAACTTAGTGCCTAGTCTCTTCCCCCCCTCCCGGTCGGGGACGGCGGACGGGAGGGGGGGGGCCTTGGGGGGGGTCTCCTTTGCAGCTTCACGAAGTACTTTCCGTCTCTCCCTCCTCACCCCCCACCCCGCTGTCGTCGTCTCCGTTTCTCCCCTTTTCCTCCCCTTCCCCCCCCCGTATATTCCATTCAAATGGGGAGGGGGCGGTCTACGGCTGTTGTCCCGGTCTTAGGGGTACATTAAGGGCTGGGGTCGATCTTTCCCAACAAACCCTAGAGAAGAACCCATAGATGACTCCTTCCCTGTGCACCTGCCCCAGGTGGGTTTTGGGTTTTGGGTTTTTTTTGTTTGTTTTTTTGTTCTGTTTTTTTTTCCTCCTGGGGGAAGATGTTGAAGCGGGGTCCCGTCCCTTGGCTTCTGTGAACGAAGACAGCGGGAGAGGAGCTGCACCTTGCTGCGGCCGGGTGGGCGCAGGGATGGGGCACCCAGGAATGTGGGTGGGAGCTGTGGAAGGGGTCCCTCCGATCAGCCGGGCTGCCCCTCCAGTGCCCTGCCCTCTTTCCCAACGCGAGCCGTGGCCTCTGGCTATCCGTACGTTCCGGCCCCAGGGTGGGCCGGGCCAGCCCCGGGGGGTGGGGAGAAGGAGGAGGCAACTGCATGCGGGGTCATCTGAGTCCCTGCGCGAGCTGGGCTCCGGCGAGCACTAGGGGGAGGGTTGGCCGACCCTTCGGGTCCCCTCCCCCACCCCCACGGAGATGTTAATCGGCGGCTGCGCTTGGTGTGGCTAGTTTCATGCAGGCTCCCGGGGAAGCTGCTGCTGCTGCTGCGTGATTGCTGCCCATTGACTTTGGGACGTCGCGGGAGGGCCGGGCCGGGGCTGGTGCCTGGAGATGGCGGACACCCGATCTGTGCACGAAACCAGGTTCGAGGCGGCCGTGAAGGTGATTCAGAGTTTGCCGAAAAATGGTAGGTGCATCCATGAAGTCCTCCCTGCCCGCTGCCTCCTGGGACCCTGCCAAAGAGGCCTTTGGCCCTGGGCTGCTGTCTAACTTCTCCCTCCATTTCTTTACACTTTCTTAGTTCTAGTCTTCCTCATGTATATAAAGGAGAAAACATAATTGGAGGAGGAGGGAGCTGCCGAGCCCTCCCGGTTGCCTTTTCTGCACTGAAACGCCTCCATTACCTAGTTTTAAACTAGTGCTGATGGATGGGAGATGGTTATATTTTAATAAACAGACTTTCAGACTACCTTGTTCCTGCTGGCTCTGGATTGGCCCTGATGAAAATAAGTCTGACCTATGGATACCCATTATGGATAGCCCTGTAGTTTATATGGGAATTCCCCAGAGTTATATAGGATCATAGATCTAAAGTTGGAAGGGATCTTGGAGGTCACTTAGCTAAATTCGCTCATTTTACAGACAAGGAAACTGAGGTCCAGGATAGGTTAGATGACTGGCCCAAGGTCAAAGAGGTTGCAAATGACATTTGAACTCAGATTCCTGCCTCCAAGTTCAACCTTGTTTTTACTGCACCAAAAGAGAGAAGCAGCAAGATTCTTTGGCAGTACTGTACTATTTATGAATACATGTATATGACATATAGGTCTCCCATTTAAGCTTAAAATTTAGGCATCTTCCCTTCATATGCTATGCAAGTTTACTAGTGTTGCAAAAGAGTGCTTATATTACAATGTTACCAGGATATTATAATATTAATTTAATATAATAATATTATAAATTCTTACATCTGGCCCACGTAATGTACACATAAAAAGACAAAGTCATTTTTGAAATTCTTTGTTTCTGCAAAAAGTAAAATGGACAAAACAAAACAAAAGCCCAATTTTCCTCCACTAGTATCCTGTTGGATAAGAAAAAAACATGGGGGAAGGCTAAACATTAGGGAATTGAGAAAGGAAAACAAGAAAATTATAGGGGGATTACATTACTTAGGAGTCATTACTTAAAATGCTTGACTAAGAGTGCTTTTTATGGAATGCAATTTTGAGAGTTGTAAAATGCTTAGGGCATCATGGAGTAAGATTAAGGGTAGTGGGCTAAGAGTAAGAGAGATCTGGGTTTAAATCTTAGCTTCTCATGTTTGACCTCTACAAATCTCTTAGTTTTGGTGTACCTTCGAAATTGCAGTGACAGGATTCACTGGTCAGAGGTAGGTCTCCAACCTTTTCTTTGGTTGAAAGAGCTCTCAAACCGGTCTCTCCCCATGTGCATTTGGAGTAAAGGGCAATAAACTGTCCCCACCACTCCCATCTTTTTTTTTTCCCTGTCCTGCTAGTTGGAAAAGTTGCATTTCTCAGCCCTAGCTTATTTGGCTTCTCAACACTAAATAGAACTTAATAAGTACACAAGTAAGAATGACTACTGATGACTATACAGAGCAAGTTTGTCTGCTATTCAGCGTGCTCTGGGCAGCATAACTGTTGAATCAAACCAGGTGAAGTTTTAGCCTAAGGGTTATATTTTTATTAGTCTTGTGAACCAAGAGTAAAAGGATGAGTATTTAGAATGGATAATTAAAGTTATTCCTACTTTTCTCCTTGAAAAGTTTTGGGGCTACTTGAAAATATTATGTAAATTATTATGTAAATATTATGAAAAATATGTAAAAAAACTGCTTGAACTGCAGCTTATTTTCTTTATTCCTTAATCCTTAATAAGAGCCTACAATAAACCTGAATCTTCTGTAGAGCTTATATCTAGCATGTCCTTGGCCTGTAGGAACTTAAACTCTCAGGGAGTAATAGGGAGACGATGGTATTAGACATACAGGCTTATACACAATCTATTTTTAAATTTTTTGCTTAACAACTGAGATGTAATGGAAAGAAGCTCTTTGGTTGTTTTTTAAGTTAAGATAATATTTCCCAAACAGGTAACAGTATGTAACAGAGGCTCCTCTCCCTCACTTTATTTATGTCCCTCCTTGCTAGATATATGTTTTATAGTTACTTCGAAATGCATGTTTACTGTTCTTTCAACAGATATTAAATGTCTGATATATGAAGAGCATTGTCTTTGGTGTGGCGTGATATATAAAGATAAATAAGGAATGTTTCCTGTCCTTTAGTCACTTATTTAGTAGAGGGATAAGATAAGCATAATGTAGTAACTAATACAAAAAAAGAGTATGATAAATACACAAAAGAGATACTAAGATCCGCAGTGAGTTTCAAACATCCAAAGAACACTGGAAATTGACAGACTTATCTTTTGGCTAAATTGGACAAAGTGTCTTTTAGATGTTCTAACTATAGAGTTAATCATCAGGATACTTTTGTAATTGTTTATTCTACCTCTACCAAGACTAAAATAAAAACTAATGGCTTTGTCTGTGATTTCTAGCAAAGTTCCAGCCTCAGACTCACTAGCTTGTGAAAGCCACTGAACCTCTGTTTCCCTTCATTTCTTCGTCTGTAAAATGGGGGTTATAAGAAGACAATTTCCAGGGCTGTTGTAAGGATCACATAAGATAATAACTGTAAACTGTTTAGCACAGTACTTGGTACATAGTAAGCACTATATTAGCTATTAGTGTGATTATTTTTAAGAATTGATAAGCAAGAGGTACCATCTCACAACTCTCAGATTTGCTAATATGACAAAAAAGGAAAATGACAAATGTTGGAGGGAACATGGGAAAATTGAGACACTAATGCACTGTTTGTGGAGTCATGAAGTGATTTAACTGTTGGAACTATGCCCAGAGGACTATAGAACCATGTATACCCTTTGACCCAGCAAGAATTGATAAGTAAATAATTATCTTATCTATACTGGAAATAACATGTGTCTAATTATATGCACACGTATATATACACATGTGTGTGTGTATATATATATATATATAGAGAGAGGGAGAGAGAGAGAGAGAGAGAGAGAGAGAATATGCATGTGTTAAGGTTAGAGAGCGCTTTTCTCCCTGCAACTTTGTAGATTATGTAATGTAGGTATTATCCATGTTTTACCCATAAAGTAACTGAGACTCTGAAAGGTAAAATACCTGCCTATGGCCATGTAGCTAGTATTTGTGGCAGGATTTACACTCAGAGCTTCTGACCTCAAGTCCTGCACTCTTCACATTATATCATTCTGCCCCTCTTCATACAGGTTCTTAATAAAAATTGTCATATAGGTTCTTAATAAAATCTTTTAATAAAAATAATACTTATTAATCATTATTAATTATTAATTAAATGGTATCAATAAGACATAAAATAAAAGATAATAAAAATAAAATTTAATAAAATCTTAATAAAAACTTTTAAAGTTTAGACTAAAAAAATTAGCCATGATGGGAAAAATAGCTATATATGACATTTAGAGGAAAATGTCTTCCTATGCTTCTTGGGATTCATCATATCCATCCCTTATCATAATACAGGAAGATTCCATTATCTTCCTATTCCAGTTAATGTTTAGCCATTCCTCAATCAGTGAGCATCTACTTTGTTTCCTATTCTTTGTTGCCAGAAAAAGTATAGCTATAAATATTTTAGCATGCATGAGACCTTGCCTTTTGTTATTGATTTTGCACACTACATTTTAAATCCTTGCAAAAAAAGAGAAACAAACCAGTCTTGAGGCAACAGAAGCCCCACGGCATAGTGGAAAAGTCCCTGCCTTGTGAAAGTTGGGTTCTGACTCTACTACAAACATTCTGTGTAACCTCAAACAGTTTATTTCCCCAGATCTCCAATTCTTCATCTATAAAATGGAGAAACTGCCCTGATGATTTCTGCGCTTTAAAAGTCTTTTCTAGCTTTAAACACTTAGGCTTTCTCTATGTGGGTCAGGTGAATCAGGTGGCACAGTAATTGGTCCACTTCTGCTAATTCACTTCTTGGGAAAACATTTTATAACTGTTGCATATTTCATTGTGGCTTGGGGCCCGACCTCACTAGAAGTTGGTATCAGATTTGATTATTGTTTTCACTAAAATCCCCTTTGAGAAGCCTCCTGGATAAACTGTACCAGTCTTAGCCCAGTCTCCCAGATGAGCATTATTAACACACATTGAACCACTGTCTTCTCCTAGTTAGAAATGTAGTTCTGTTTGTTACATATTACTGGTAGAAAACATGAATTTTTTCCTCATAGCTCTTTGTGGACTCTAGCTCCGCTGGCCAATATCTTGTCAGAGTTTTTTGATTTCACCCTTCCGACATCTCCAGAATATGCCTTCTTCTTTCTTCTGATACTGCCATGATCCTAGTACAGGCCTGTCTTACACTTGGGCTATTGTCATAGCGTTTTGGTCATCCACCAAAGGTGACAGTCCAGCCACGTCACCCCCTTCAGCCTCCCGTCAACAAAATCTATTGGCTCCTTATCGCCTTCAGCATCAAATACAAAAATCTTTGTTTGTCATCCAAAGGCCCTTTCCAGTCTTCTTTCACCTTACTCTGCCAGTTCTCTTCAATCCAGTGACACTGACTCTTTTGCTGTTCCTAAAATTTTTGTTGTTCAGTCATTTCAGTAGTGTTCTATTTTTCATGACCTCATTTGGAGTTTTCTTGGCAAAAATACTGGAGTAGTTTGCCATTTCCTTTTCCAGCTCATTTAACAGATGAGGAAACCAAGGCAAACAGGGTTAAGTGACTTGCCTACGGTTACACAATAGTAAGTAAGAGTCTGAGTCTGGATTTGAACTCAGGTCTTCTGACTCCGGGTCTGGTGCTCTATCCACTGCATCACCTAGCTGTCCAATCCTAGAATAAGACACTCTGTCTCTTGGCTCCAGGCATTTTCCTTGGCTCTCCTCCATGCTTGGAATACTCTCTCATCTTTGCTTCCTAACTTCCCTGCCTTCCTTCAATTCCCAACTAAAATCCTATATTCTACAGGAAACCTTTGCCAACTCCTCTTAATTCTAATGCCTTCCCTTTTATCTTGTATACACTTTGTTCATACATATTCCTTTCCTTGTCTTCCCTGTTAGATTGTAAGCTTCTTGAGGGCAGGTATTGTCTTTTGCCTCTTTTTGTCACTTAGTACAGTGTTTGGCCTGTAGTAGGTACTTAATAAGTGCTTATTGACTGACTGCTAGAGCTCCAAACATGAAATTCCTTTGCCCTCAAGGAGCTTATGTTCTAATGGGGATATAACTAGTGATAGAAAGTTAAAAGAGTTTTGTCAGTACGGGTTGAGGCATGGAGAGGGTCAGGAATGATAGCCTGTAGGAGGTGTCATCTGAATTGCCCTTAAACATGAGAGTGAGGAGGGGGTGCATTTCAGGCATGGTGGGCATGGGTTGTACAAAGATGGCGAGGGAAAGAACACTAGATCTTGAGTCTGATGACCTGGGTTCTAATCCCAGCTCTGCTACTTATTCCCTGGGGGCAAGTTGCTTCCTCTCTCTGATCCTCAGTTTACTTCAATGAGAATTACGGGAATTGAACTAGTAGATGACCTCAGAGATCACTTGCAGCTCCAAATCTCTAATCCTCTAAGATGGATTATCAGTGTCAAATCATCATTTTTCCCTCCAGGATCAAAACACTGTATTTTAAATTGTTTCCCATAGGTTCATTTCAGCCAACAAATGAAATGATGCTAAAGTTCTACAGCTTCTATAAACAAGCCACAGAAGGACCCTGCAATATCTCAAGACCTGGATTCTGGGATCCTATTGGGAGATATAAATGGTAATTATGGATGTGTGATGGAGGTGATTGTAATGATGTGTGATATGTAATTAGTATGAGGGATCATTCATTTCTCTACCATCCACATAGAAAACACCATAAGCCTTTCACAAAGCTTAGATTGCTACCCTCCAGGAGCTTAAATTTTAAACAGAATCATATTCATACAGGAAAAAAGATCTTGGCAAAGAGAGAGGGAGAAAAAAAAACAATAAGAGGGACCAGGTATCCTAAAGGTTCTAGATGTTTTTCCATTCTAGAAAAGCTAGAAAAGTAAATACACCGAAAGAAATTTTTCATAACTGCCAAAGTCTATATTTTTCTACTTCCTCAGGTAAAATATATGGTAAAGTAATTTCTGTTTACCATCTAAAGTAACTTACTTTGGTCTTTTTTGATAGCAAATAAATGGGGGAGGGGGACTAAAAACTCATGTGGGATTATATCTAAAATTCCTCCCCTCTCCTACTCTACTGGAAAACGTACTTCATGGCTTTCTAATAGGCATGTGAAAAGAGTCATCAGCTGCCAGGAGCCAACTCTGCCACTGTTTCAATGCCAAAGTCTGAGCAAACACTGTTTGGGGACACTTTCCCAAAAGGCGGGCTCAATAGGTAAATGGCGAGATTGCCATCAACTTCTTGAAAGACTTCAGACCCCATCTAAAGTAATGTGTTTAGTTTTGGGAGCCAGATTTTGTGAAAGATACTGAGTAGTTGGAGGCTATCTAGAGGAAGGCAGCCAGAATGGTGAAGAGCCTTGAGCTTCTGCTGCGTCAGGACTAGTTGACAAAATTGGCCTGAAGAAGGGAAGACTTAGGAGGGACGAGAGAGCCCCCTCTCCAAATATTTGATGGTCAAACGCGGAAGAGGTGTCGTACTTGGCCCCACAGGGCTGAGCTGGAGGGAATGGGTGAAAATTTCTAAGAGGCTGTAATTAGAGATAACCGGAAATGAAATGAGCTCAGGAAAGTTATCACTTTAAGCAAAGTCGGTAGTCAGTAAACTTTTATGAAGCACCTACTCTGTGTCAATCACTGTGCAGGATACCTCTATGAAAAAAGAAAGAATTCCTGCCCTCAAGCAGCTTATAATCTAATGGGGGGAAAACAAAACAGAAAGCTGGAAAGCTTGGGGGCAGGGGGACAGGAGAAGGCATCTAGGCCTAGTGGAGAAGTCAGAGAAGTCCCCAAGTTTACGTAGCCTGATGAGAAATAGGATGTTCTGAGCTGAGCTCCATTTGGAATTCATGACCCCGCCCTCTAATCCAGGTAGTGATGAAATAGAGTCCCAAGGCTGATGGGATTTTAAGATACTGAGCTTATCCCAGTAATGAGCTTTCTGGGGGATAGTAGAGAAGGTAGCTATGTGGTATGTGGTGGAAGGGATTCTTTTGGAATAAAGAATCTGAAGTCCCTTCTACCTCTAAAATAAACAGTGATTGTGTGACTTTTTTTGTTTTTCTTAATGCATTTATTATAAAGTTAGTAACCAGTAACAAGAACATTCACATTCAAAAGCAAGATTTTTAAAAGGATTGTATATGAAACCAGAAACTTTTATTGTATACAGTTTGTTTTTTAAGGTATTAGCTTTTTTCAAAAGTATATTAACTTTAACAAGGGAAAGGAATAGTCACTACTAGAGCTGTGATTTTGTTGCTATGGGGAGCTCCCAGGTGAGTGAGCTCCTCCCAGTGCAGCTCAGTGCCTTCTCTGTCCCAGATTCTTAATTGTTCTAGCTCACCGAGAGGTTAATCGACTTTCTTGTCCAAGGCTCACACAGCCTGTAAGTGTCAGAGGCCAGACTCGATCCCAAGTCGTCCTGGCTCTGAGAAGGAGTCTCTCTGTCTCACAGGCTGCCTAGGAACAAAATATGCATGTTTGTTTTCATGCACCCTCAACCTTTTTTTTCTTCCTTCTGTGCATTTTCCATATTTTGTTGCTGTTATCTACACAGTTGTAACCAGTGTGTATACTCTTGCCTTGTTTGTCATTCATTTCTTCATATGTCATCCCATATTTCTTTGTTTGCATATTTGCATAAATTTGTGTCAATTCTTAGAATTTTGGGTATTGTTTTAAAAAATCATAAATGTTAAAAAGCAAAGATGTTTTCCCCCAGTCTGTTTTTCTTCTTTATTCTGAATCCCATTTTATTGTGTAAAAGTTATTGATTTTCTTACAATCAAAATACATTTTGTCTGATCTCTGCCATATTTTGTAAATTATTTGTTTTGTTAGAAGGAAATATAATCTTCCTCATTTGACTTAATATCAATGTGTCCCATACCTAGCACAAGCACACAAATACACTCACAGAACACTAAGCACATTTTAAAAATATTTTACACAGTCTGCTGTTTTGAGTTTTGCTAAATTTTGGCTTCCCCACCATCTCCTCTACTTGAGATACGAGTGTTGTTCTGATATTGTCTCTGGGACCCAGCTCTACCTTTCTTGGCCCTATTTCTCCCTCTCCGTTATCTGTGAAGCCCAAAGTCAACTCTTTGCTCTCCCTCTGTTTGCTGCTTTTTTTTTTTTTCCCCAAATGGGTCTCTCATTCAGTTGTTATTCACACAGTTCCAACTGCAGGGGCTTGTAATCTTATTGTAGCAATCATCTTAGGTTAGAATCTGGTTAAACCATATTTATCTTGTGGCTTCTCAGTCTCTGCCCTGATTAGTTTCGCATATTAAATCTACTTTAGGATTATTTCTGGCCAAATTTGTCTGAAGACTGGGCAAGATATGCCTCTGTTTCTATAAGAGAAACATGGAGATAATATAGTACTTTCCAACGAATTACTTATAAATACCTTAAAAGATTAGAGTGGATGTATTGGTAAACAGATGTATCTTATCTGTCAGCTAAGAAAAACTGGACTGGCTTAAATTGACTAAATTTTCCTCAAGACTTTCCATAAAATTAAATTGCCTCTGAGATAAAGTTTATAAGCTGGAGAGAAGGGGATTTTTGTATGTTAAGTGATGTTTTCAGGAGTCATTTACACCATCTAGCAAAACAACTTTGCTGTTCCAAAATGATCCTGAAGCTAAAACTTAGCCTCATAAACCTGTCTTCATTCTTTTTGCTTTTTTTTGGTGAGGTGATCACGGTTAAGTGACAGGCCCAAGGTCACACAGCTAGTAAATGTTAAGTGTCTGAGGCTGGATTTGAACTCAGGTCCTCCTGACACCAAGGCCAGAGCTCTATTCACTGCGCCACTTAGCTGCCCTGTCTTCATTCTTAAAGTTGAGGCACATCATCTGTGAAATCTTTGAGGTTAGGGTAGTGTTGGTAGAGTAGAAACAGCTGAATTTGGAGACCTGGTCTGCCACTTTTCACTTGGGACTTTGTCAAGTGTCTTGAGCCTTTTTCCATGTCAGTAAAATGGGATCGTAATATTCAGCTCTGCCTACCTGATAGGGTTAATGGGGAAAAGGAAACAAATGAAAACTTACCCAGAATACTTTGTGAAATGTAAAGGGCTGTAGAAATATCTGCTAGTGTTATCTTCTGTTTAATGTTAATTTGTAACCAAAATGTCTCTTCATTTAAGAGTCTACTCCAAATAGCTCGTTTAACCTTCCCAAAATGTCCATATCACTGATCTTTCCTTCTGTGTAATAATTTAATAAGCATCTTTTAGAGAATTCTCAGAAAAATCTTCTTTATAGTAATATAGATGAGATATGGAGTAATTATGCATTTGGCTTTTTCGATCCACGGTTTACTTACTACACCGTCTTTCTGTGGGGTGAACTACTTAACAATGGGGTGAGGCCCCTCTTCCTAGGATGGCTCTCTAAGAGCTTGTTTCAAATTAAGAGTGCCATGTAGTTTGGCTTCACGGTCTATCTTGAGAAACTGTAAGTTAGATATAAGATCTGAGACATTTGTGTGGGCTTTCTTATTCCAATATTGTGATTTCTAGGGATGCTTGGAGTTCACTGGGGGATATGACCAAAGAAGAGGCTATGATTGCATATGTTGAAGAAATGAAAAAGGTAAGAAAAATCATTCCGCGTAAAAGAAGATAAAATGTGGTTAAAACAGCTCCTAATTTAATTTTCTTAAGTTACAAGGTCTGAGGAGATTATAATTTGTCATATGAAGCAGCAAACTGTGGGGCCACATTCATTGGACTGTCGATTTTCAACTGAGAGCAAGTTTTCGGAAGAGGGACGGAATGGTGATGCTTTTTTTCCCCCTAAGATAATATTACCTGGAAACGTTCTTAAATCGGGGGCTTGGTGTTTTTCACTGTCATGTGATTTTTTTTTTCCAGATTTTAAGCTTCTTCACATTTAGAGACTGCTTTCATCTCCAGGCATTATGATGTAGTAGACAGAGTGCTGGCTTTGGAGACTGGAAGGCCTGGGTTCAGATCTTACATTCGACCCTTAGTAGAGCCTCAGGAAATTCTCTAAGACTAGAAGTTAAATTTGGAGGGAGTTCCTACACCTATAAGATCTAGAGATTATAGGATCATACATCTGTAGCTAGAAGGGACCCTAGAGGCCCCGTATTCCAACCTCTTCATTTTAAAGATGAGGAACTGAGGTCCGGGGAGCTAAGTTACTAACCCAGAGTCTTACAGGTATTAAGTAGCAGAGCCAGAATTTGAATCTGAGTCCTGTAGCTTCAAGGTCAACATCTTTCCCACTTAGGCCTATTAGCTCTCTCGCTCAGTGAGTCACTGCATCCACTGTATCCTGTGCCTTGCATGTGCGTATTACTTGAATGCATGGTTTCAGACAGGGAATACTGCCTCTTTCAGTACCAATTGCAAGTTTCTTTATGATTCTTAGAAGTTTCTGAGGGCTAAAAATTCAACAACCTGTGGCCAACATGGCGATTGGTGTTTCTGGACCTGGCTGGGCTGGTTGGCAGGTGCCGGACATATAATCTGTCCTCAAGCCTTTCTAGTCAGGAGGAGGTCCTTCCTCCAGGGAGGCATCAGATGCTTAGCACATGCAATATTACCACCCCACCCACCTCCAATAAAGGAGAAGCCACTTCAGTGGTATTGAAAACTGGGATGCCAGTGAACTTCTCCTTTAAGGGGTAGCATTTGGCAGTTTTGTCCATAGAAAATCAGCTGTTAAAATGAATCTTCCATCACAAGTATGAGCCCCCACTGCCTGATGTTAATTTTTTTTTTAATTTTTAAATTTTTTTTAACAGTACATTTTTATTGATATCTTTTTGTATCACCTAAATTTCCCTCTTTATCCCTCTCCCTTGCCCTTCCCAGGAAGCCATGTTATATAACAAAGAACTCTGCTGTTAATTTTTGAGTCCCTAAGTGAACACTCTCTACTTTTTCTTTATGAAAAGGAGGTGGGGGAAGGAGGGCAGGATTCTGTATTCTTTATTTGATTTAAAGCTAATTTTGGAACTTAATAAGGAACTTTTAAAAATTGAGGGTTAAGGGGGCAGCTAGGTGTTACAGTGAATAGAGCACCGGCCCTGGAATCAGGAGGACCTGAGTTCAAATCTGGCCTCAGATACTTGACATTTACTAGCTGTATGGGACCCTGGGCAAGTCACTTACCCCAGTTGCCTCACCAAAAAAAAAAAAATTGAGGTTTGATTGGTTTGGGGGTGGGGTGGGAAAAGAAGAAGGAAAGGAAGAATTGACCAAGGAAGATAGGGGTTTTAAAAATAATCCAGAGAAGATAGGAAGAGAGGACTAATGTAACCCCTTGGTTACTAGTGAAATCTGGGCCTTGGGGGCTGCCTTGCATGAGACTACAAACTTTAAATTTATAAAATTGAATAAATATTTAGTAATACTGAATGTTTTTGGTCAATGTCTTCTTTATGTTTGGTAGACTAAACTGATTTTTATCTTTTACACTTTGACCAAAGTCTGTCTCTTGATTACATTTTTACAACTTCTGCTTCGTGGACTTTGTCGATGCCTTATATGTGGCAGAAGTTAGTTCTTTTAGGTGTAACCACCAAAAAGTGAGAATATTATAATTAGAGAAACTTTAAGTCTTCTTTTTCCCTGAGTCTTTTGGTTACATAGTTCTCTTTTTACTTTATTGTTTTCCTGCCAAAAAAACCTCAGTTGCATTTTTAGAGACTATGTCTGTACTTGGTGAAAGTGAAAGTTCCATTGATACATAGAGGGAAAATTGCCCATTATTTTCAATTCAGTTTATATTTTGAAATTATCTTTACTGTGCCTGTGGAACACTTTGCTTCATTGGAAGAACTTAAAGGACTCAACTTAATGGCTTGAATTATTTACATTCTAAATTCAGTTTATTCTCACTTTTTACCTTAGCAGGAGAACTTTTTGTTTTTTTCAGCCAAAGACTAGGTTTATTAGAACATCAGTCATATTGGGCAGACTCTTAATCAGTCTGAACGTTAGTGAGCTATTGGCTAGATTATAAGAATCTGAGCTCCTTAATGGAGACAAGATGGACCTTATATACAGAAAGACTGTGGAAGAGATCTAGGAGTGGCCAAGTAGTTTGGGGTGACTGGAGGAGGAGTCTAAGGAGATCTGCATGGGAGTGGCCAGTAAGCTGGGGTGAACAGAACTGCTGGGAGTCAGACCAGGTGGCCAAGAGAGAATGGAGCCTAGCTAGGATTAAGGGTGGGAAATGGCCATAGGGAGATAAGACAATGGAGGGCTAGGCTAGGTTAAGGGTAGGAATTGGGAGATTGGTGTAGCCACAATGAAAGGCCAGTTGATGGGATTATAGCCTCAGGGGAATGTCAGAGATTGGCCTTGTGGCAAAGTCCAGGGTTTTTCCTTTCTGGGGTCCAGATCCCAACCTTATCATTCCCCCCCTCAAACAAATGAGACCCAAATTATTTTGGGGTAAGGAGCGAAGAAGACGGCTTCTGAAACTGCTTCCTATTGGCAAGGGGCATAGAGGAGGTTGACTAGAACCGAGCACAGGCTGCATCCAGTGAATGATGGGGGGACGTTGGCTGGTACCCACTGTTTGCTACCAACTGTAGGTGAATGGCCTGTAGTCTGGAAGACACAAATCTGACAGAAAAAACTGCAGGACCCAGATATAGTGAGTAGTAAAAGTATTAAGAGTGTAAGAGCCCCATTAAAATTATTTGCATTTGACCTGTTAGCTCTCTTACTCAGTGAGTCACTGCATCCAAGTGTAAACTTCTGTAGAAAGAAAGATGTTTTCAGGTCTTCTTAAGAACTTATTTTTATTGGGGATTATCTTTAAGTCTGACTTTGTCACTTAGCCATAATCCTAGTTCCAGGAAAAAAAAATTCTAAGAGAAAGCAACTCTATATAAGTTTCTACTGAGAGACAGCCAAAAATAAATAAATGAAAACATATACTTAGCCATATCTCAGTTCTAGAAGATGTTTGAGGAACCAAATCTTTGTAAGACTCTACTGAGAGAAAGCTGAAAATTTGATCTAGAATGGACTTGGGCTAGAGAGGGAGTTGGCAGGATGGGATAAATTGAATTAGCAATTAGGAGATCAATCTCTACAAAATGGTTTTGTAATTTGGTTTGAAATAAAATCCAGTAATCCTATTCATTGTCATCATCAACAACTCTTTATTGAACACTTTTGAAGACTGTTTTTAAAAAGAATTTTTTTTCTTAGTCTAAACTTTTTTTTTTAAACAGTTGTACTGCACAGACTTTCCCATTCCAAATTAATATAGATACACACAATGAGGGGCAAACATTCAATAAGCAATGGACAGCTCCATTATGTGAAGACCTCCCCCAGCTAATCAGGATGGTTGGTGATAAGCTTTATGTATAAGGATAATTCTACTATGAAATGTTAATCCCCCAAAACTAATGTCACTAAAGATATAATAGTCTTTTTTTGGGGGGGGGGGCGCAATCAAGTTAAGTGACTTGCCCAGGGTCACACAGCTAGTAAGTGTCAAGTGTCTGAGGTCATATTTGAACTCAGGTCCTCCTGACTCCAAGGCTGGTGCTCTATCTACTGTGCCACCTAGCTGCCCTGAGATGTAATAGTCTTAATTTGGTGTGCTGGGTAGTATGGATCTTCTGTTAATGCTAATGGGGTGGGGAAAGGTGGGCTGATTGAGAGGGGGAAGCAGAAGGTTACACTGAATATAATCACCTTTTAAAAAGAAACAGACTCTTTAAAAGTATACTTCCCTTTCCTCCAGCCCCAGTAATAAAAAGTAGTGGGATCTACAATTTCACATTTGGTTTTCATTCTAACCATTTTCATAGAATTCCCCAATGACCAGTGTCATCAGAGTTAAGGATGAACTATTGTCCAGTCTCTTTGAGAGGCTACCTCACTATCCTCTTCTTACCTTTGTGTTCGTGTTCCTTAGGGCAACTGCTATCTCTATGTTATTTACCTTCTTCCAAAAACTTGTCCAGAACAAAGGGATCTTTACCAAATTGAACTAGTTTTTCTTGTTCTTGATGCCTGTGATCCAAGCCAGAGAACTCCTCATTGGGAACAAATCTGTTGATCTTTGTTCAGGCTTCAAGGTGATCGCCATGCAGATCTTTGTCCAGGTTTTTACTGGGTCTGTAGATGTTCGAGGCTGTATCTTTGCCATTTCTCCATGTCTGATCATAAACATTACACATTTCATCTTCTGCACCAGCAGAATCACTGACCATACCCTTAGTCGGGTTGGATAGCTTCTGGTCACACTGAACTTCATCAGAAGGCTGAGGATTGGGCACCCCAAGACCAGTGACTTCACTGATATCTCGATTCTCATTTCTCTGTCATGCTGGCCTCTTCTCAGGAGCTGCTCTGGAGAGATTTCCCGTCATGTTGTGTCTCTTTGCGACTATCAAGTCGCATTTCATCCTGTTCTGAGCTTCCCCATCCTCTTTTTCTGCATGGATCTTGATTCCAGCTCTTCTGTCCTGAGCTTTCTGGGCCATTTCTCAAAGATTCTCTTCATGTTTCTCCCTTTCCTTTCGGGCCATTTTTTTCTCTACTTGAGCCCGCATCTCCATTACCTCACTAGCCTTCCTGTCATCAATGAAGATAGCTTCAGCAAGTGTGACAAAGTCTTCATTATTGTGACCTGTCTGCAGTCCTCTCCCATCAGAACCAGATGTTTGTCTAGTGAAATATTATAGTCCTTAACTGTTTTCCAGTTTGAAAGACAGAGAGGAACTTTCCACCCTTGCTGCGCCTGCACAGTCATCTTTCAGCTAGGAGAATGCATGACAAGTGCAGGAGGAGAAGGGGGCCCTTGAGGAATTTTATTGTCAGTTTTGAATCTTGGAGGCTCCATGGGATCTCTTTGCATTTCCACCATCTGAATAACTCTCTGCTCAGTTCCAGAACTGAATGGCTTTCTCCTTGCTGACATGGTATATACCTGATTCATGAGCTGGAGCTAGTTTATCTGTAGCTTGAACTGGCATAACCTGTAGTAACCTTCTGAGACACAGATTTCTCTAGGGCTACCTGTGTCTTTTTTATAATCTCTTTAATGGCATCATCAGGGCTCTGTCAGTCTGGGTCATCTGCATTCATAACTTCTTTGGGAACCAAGTCAATGTACTTGCTGTAAGTGATCTTATCCTTTGATTGTCTCTGTTGAGCAATTGCGTCATATTTCATTTTTCACTCTGCATCCACCTGAATGGCCAATGCATTGGACATTTCCTTCCTTCTTCCCATATCCAGTGGGTGTTGGGCCACAGGTATTTCTGGAAAGGCACCTCCAACAAATGAGGTATCCAACTTTTCTGATCCCTGTAAGGGGGAAGTTCTCTTTGTGATCCAACCAGTGCAGTCTGCTTTGATCTCTGTGATCTTACCCTTTCTCTCAGCCTCAGGCTGGTCCTGAGAAAGTTGAGTTAGAGCAGGTAAAAATCCGGTCAGTGGTCATCTTCTTCCCCTTTTTCCAGTGCTTGTGGCCACTGAGCTCAGAGGGGTTTCTTAGGCCAAAAGAAGAATTTTTAAAAATTTGTAAATGTAATAGAAATACTTTAAAAATTACCTTTTTCTTTGCTTTATTAATACAAGTAATTAAATGTTTGCTTCAGACAGGTAGTTAAGGGTCATGACCTGCACACCTCAGGACTCTCCTTCATAAAGAAGAAAATTTGAAAAGCATCATTTTTATTCGTTAACATCTTATATGAAAAAGCACTCATTAATGAGAGCAGTCAGCCATTAACAGTTTAACGGGTATACACTGCCAACCTCAAATTTGCCAATATTAAAACCACTAACTGTTGTCATTTCAAGTATATTTTATTTTGTTTCTCTCTTCATACAAGTTAAAACCGGTAGTGGTAATAAGTATGTTTTAAATTAAAATAATAGACTTATTAATTACTAACTTTACAGTAGGTTGTCATCCATGTAGAAGTCATTTAGAAATGAAAATAATGTTACTAGTCACGTTTCTTTGTGTACCAGGCTCAGGAAGTCAGCCTGATTTTAGGAGAGAGAGCCTTATTTGAGGGGGTAGAGAAAGGGGGATAGGGATGGGAAATAGGTGGGGAATCCATGTGTGACCAAATAAAGCATGTACCTAACCAATTTATTTTCCTTTCTCTTCTGCAAAGGTTTTTCTTTTTTTAAAGTTCTTTTACTTTATAAATGAAATCTTGGTTTGCAGATGAGGCTAACTGCTTTTGAGACAATATATGAGTTGGAGTGTGTGTGTAAGAATCTCCATTTTTGGGTGCAGCTAGGTGGCATAGTGGATAGAGCATCAGCCCTGGAGTCAGGAGGACCTGGGTTCAAATGCGGCCTCAGACACATAACACTCGCTGTGTGACCCTGGACAAGTCACTTAACTCCATTGCCTAGCCCAAAAAAAAAAAGAATCTCCATTTTTGGTCTTGTTACCTTTTCAGCTGATTAACTTCTATCTGAAAAGTAACAGGCTCAACATGTGATGAAATGCTAAATGGATGCATAATTCCTGAGTTCCCTGCTCCCGATTCATTCTTAGAGATTGGGACAGGGTGGGGAAGCTGGGATGAGAGGAGCTCTTACATTGTACACATTCACTCAGTATTATTAATCAACCTTCTTGTATTCCAGTACCCTAGATTTTATTACACTGATGACTAGTTAACTGATCAAAGACCACCATGCCTGTCTTCTGCTTAACAAGTCAGTTGCTTCATAAAATGGACTTCATAGTAGAAACACTTATAGATACTTAATTATTTTAGCCATTGCATTAAGCTCATTTAGGAGAACATGTGCACTTATGTCTACTGTATTTAATGAATTTGGATATTTCATGTAAATGAACTTCATGTCTCAGAAGTTAAAAAAATTGGAATATTTGAAGCCAGTGTAAATCAAATGAATCCTTTATTTCTGATTTCATAAGACTTGTATTTTGATCACAGATTCTTGAGACCATGCCAATGACGGAGAAAGTTGAAGAATTACTCCATGTAATAGGTCCATTCTATGAAATTGTAGAGGACAAAAAGAGCAACAGAAGTTCTGATTTAACCTCAGGTTGGAATACGGTATTCTTTGTTATTTAGCAACTGACTGTACCATGAGTTGAGATTATTGTGTTTTCAATGGATGATATATTTTACAACAGTGCTGTTTTTCTAAGCTACCTTTAAAAAAATTCATTCTTTTATTTTTATATACCAGTCCGACTGGAGAAAGTCACTAAATATTTAGAAGGTAGGAATGATGAAATTTACGTATACATGTTCTCTTTTTCATTTTATCTGTCCAAAAGAATGCTACTCAGATTTTTGCAACTACTGAACTTGCCACCTGTGAGTTGTCACTTGAAAATAAATACGCTATGTGCAGTTCCAAAAGAGACACATTTCTCTTTTACTGCAGAAAATTCTCTTTTAAAACCTGTCTTCGTGACAAAAGAGATTTGACAGAGGTTTATTATAGGGATGATTTTTTTTAAGAAGTGCATACTACTACAAATAACAATATAAATTGCCTTTTCTTTGCATACTTATAAGTACAATGATAGTCTAGATCCTTTTATCTTCGCTCTGATGGCCGTGTGCTGTTCATCGTAGTATCTGGAACTGTCATTGTTGTAGTTGGCTTGCTTCCCTCTAGGCATGCATTAGTTTAAACAGGTTGTTTATTTACTAGGGTCAATATGACATGCAATGCAAAGAAGAGACTTTCAGCTTGTCTAAAAATCTGACAGGTGGCAACTTCGTCATTATGTCATTGTGACAACATTCTTCATACTTGATTTTCTTTAAGTTAAATCCATGTTTTCCTTACCATTGCAGAAATCACATTGTAGCAATACTATAGCTGAGGTAACCTTTTCCCCCATTTACTGTTTTTAGACTGTAAGATATTTTCAGTAAAATTTAACCAAGATGAGTCTGACCCATCAGTAGAGTTATGGGTTAAATCGAGCTTTCAAATTCTTTGTGATAAAAATGGAAAAACAGAAGATTGAAAACATGATTTTTTTATGTATCAATTGAAAATGCTTTTGATGGAAATATGAAAATTGTGCTATTGTGTGTTGAAATTAATTGGGGTTCTTTAATTTTGCAGAAAATCACAAAGGTGTGAGAGGCAAATATTTTTAAATGTTCACTTTGAAAGCTAGACTAATGGTTTAAGGTAAAAATTTATTTATGATTTCAGCAGGAAGCTGGGACTGTGTCTAGCATTGATTTTTAAAATAAGGATTGTAATAGCTCTGGTTGAGGTAGTTGAATTTGAATACATAATCTTTATAAATATTTCAAACTTCGATATTCACTGCTGCCAGATCTGTGAGGGAATGATAATGAAAGCTCTCCCTTCCAGTTCATGATTTCTTTTTGCCTTTAACCTTTTTTATAAGACAGCTTTTGTTGTTGGTACTGCTTCTTTGGCTGCTTTGTATGATCTGACTTGGCCAGATTCTTCCTAATAAGTTGTCCATGTACTAGGTCCCTTCAGGTTGGAATGAGAAAAATTAGATTTCAGAGTTTAAAGGCCAACTTAAAGTAAACATAAAAAACTCATGTTACTTATACAGCACTTCTTAAACTGTGGGTCACAACCCCATATGGCAACAGTAAGAGGTTTCTAAACACCCAGTGACCAAAAATTAATTAAAAATTAAACACATAATGAATCTGAGGTGTTTGTCGGAGGGCATGCCTGGGTTGCATCATGCAATTTCACTTTTGCCGTTGATTTTGTGTTGGTTCTGAACACAGAGTGTGTGTACTTTGTACTGTGCATGCACTCAGGCTACGAATGCCAACAAACACTGCCAGAACTGGAAAAGGAGAATGAAAAAGAGGTTTAAAGTGGAAAAAGTTTAAGAAGCCCTGATTTATAAGTGGCACATAACTCACATAGCCGTATCTTGTCGTATTTTGTACTGCAGTTATTTGCATTAGAAAAGTACAAAATACAGTACACTGTCCAAAGAAAGAAAGACCAATCTTAACTGGGGAGGTCTCAGAAGGCTTGCTGGATGAAGCCAGGTGGTACCTGAGAGGAACCTTGAAGGATAGATTGTATTTCTGGAGGCGGAGACGGAGTGATAAGGCATAAATCCTAGAAAGGGCAGGGACACATGGAGAGGAGAGGCCAGTCTGACTAAAGAGTGCTGCGTGCTGGGGGAGAGGGCTCCAGTCCTTTTCACTGCATCTCCCCACTGCAGTCTGTCCCCCACACATCTTCCTAAGGCACGGTTATGACCGCGTCACCCTCCTGCTCAAAAGTGTTTAACATCTCCCCGAGGCCACCAGGAGAACAGAGGCTTCAGCCTGGCATTTTAATAGAGCCTCCACAGTACAGCTTCACCTTGTCTTTCCAGATGTGTTTTACATTATTGCTCATCATATCTTCTGTGTCCCAGTCAAACTATCTGTTATCATTCCCTGACTTTGGCATTCCTGCTCTTGCCCCTTTGCCCCCACTTCCCCTCATGTGTGGAAGGCAGTCTGTGCTCACTTTGACCTCCTGCTGTTCTGAGCTTCCTTTGGGGCTCAGCTCAGATGCAGCCTCCTACATGAAGCCTTTCCTGATTTCTGTAACCTCCTCAGTTATTAGTGTTTTTGTTCATCCTGAAATTGTGTTGTATTTACTTATCTGCGTGCCTGGCATATGCTTTTTGAAGTCAGAGACTGATTCTTTTTTGTCTGTATTTCCCAGGCACTAGAGCAGCTGCTCATAATGTACCTAGTAGACACTTGATGTTTGTCTAATTGAAGTGCATTTAGTGGCACTAGATTCTGGAAGGCTTTGAATGGAATGCCAGGATGAGATACTAGGTAGATAGTAGTGAGCAACTGAAGGGGGTTGAGCAGAGGGGATACCCTGATTGTTTCTGTGTATAAAGAAATTAATCTGGTATCTGTGAAAAATGTTTTAGAAGAGGCAAAGTGGCTACGAGAAGGCCTAGTAGGAGACTCCTGAATTAGAAAAAATCAGAGCTTTTCAGTAGTTTTTTCGTGTTTTGATCAGGGATACTCTTCATGCAGAATATATGTCTTCATATATATTTGATAGAGATGAGAAAGTATGTCTTAATAACTTTCATAATCTTTCTATTCTTTTGGAGTATTTCCATATTTGTGATACTTTGAAAACCAATCTCCGAATGCCTTTAAAATGGTCAATTTTAGCAGAGGTTGTGTGTGTGTGTGTGTGTGTGTGTGTGTGTGTGTGATGCAACAACATCTCCTCCTGACTTTATCTTCCTAAGTGATGTTTCCGCTTCCTCATTTGGTTATAGAAATGCTAGTAGGTCTGTTCCCTTTCACAGCTATTTGTTGTTTCATTTATTAAAATTTATTGACTTTTTAAAACTTGTGCTAGTAGTTTATCAAGATGGGATTAGGAATCTGAACAATAGTAATCATAGAGTTATTCTTTACTTGGCTGATTTTCATACTTAATCCACTTGTATTGTTTTTTTTTTGTTTGTTTGTTTTATTTTGTTTTTTGTTATTTGGGGTTAAGTAACTTACCCAGGGTCACACAGCTAGTAAGTGTCAAGTGTTTGGTCTGAGGCCTGATTTGAACTCAGGTCCTCCTGACTTCAGGGCTGGTGCTCTATCCACTGCACCACCTAGCTGCCCCTCTTGATTAATTTTTAAAGAAGTCATCTAGATGGTACACTGAATCATTGTACTATGTTGCCTCCTCAGATTACTAAAGACTGAGAATTTATCTTGGATCTCCAGTTTTATCTATCTTCGCACATTTTAAACTAGAGAGGATCTGTTGTACCAGAGTAGTTAAGCAGGCATGATAACATCTCATAACAAGTTGAGCCAGTCTTGCCAATGTTTTATAAGTATTCCACCGAAACTGAAAACTGTATTTATGAAACTTAGATTAACCCATTATGGTAGAGTCAAAATCCCAGCAATATCAAGGAAATGGGAAGGACACGTTTTAAATCACTGCATTTAAGTTTGAGCATATTCCTTTTCTCTTCCCATCCACCCTCCATTTCCATACTGGGGAGTTTTGTAATCATCAGATTTTACAAGCTGAACAATTTTGAATTATGTCCACATGTGTATAATAAATGCCAAGGAACACTGAGGTGTTTCAGGAAGTGGAATGAGTGATTGAGTAGATAATTCTTTTCATTTACACATAAAGGAGTCTTTCTTCGTTTATTATGGACTCATTCCAGAGCTCTCTACAAATAGTAAAATAAGCTAATACTGTGCCATACTTATGGTCCGTACAGTACTTAGAGAAAAGCTGCGAAGTGGAGACCACATGTCAAGGTACTAACAAGAGAAATGAGCATATTTTATCTAGGCACAGGATAGATGCCCAAGACCAGTACATTGTTGGCAGTGTTTTGGCCGGTGGCTTGTATTGGTGCTGAGATGTCTGATGCATGAAAGTGTGAACTGTGAAACTGGTAATAGTAGTAATGTATTATTTTTGTGGCATCTAAGTGCTTTCCCCACAACAAGCCTCTAAGCTGGGTAGTGGGAGAAGCGTTGTGTCCTCAGTTGTACAGATGGAAGACTGTGGAGCTCAGGAGCAAACTGAATTGTACGTGGTCAGGAAGCTAAGAAGTGTTGGAGGCAGAATTTGAACCCGGGCCTTTTGATTCCAAATCTTTTCACCACATCAGGAGTGTAGAGGTTTCTCATAGTGATGCCATTGAAATCAGAAATGAGCACACTTGTACAAGGGTCTAAGTTTTCCATTTGATTATATTCTACTCTACCCTAGCCCCACCAGGATATAATGCTGCTGTGGCTTTGGGAATGATACTCTTGAGGATTTACAAGTCTGAGATGTGTTTAACTGCAGCTGCCAGCTGTTAGCTGTTTTTCAGGATTCTGTAGAGAAATCATTTAGTCTTGTTCTACAATTTTGGCTTATTCAGAGCTTATGCCAGAGCAGAGTAGGTATAAGAAACAGTTTTGAAATTGGTTATTCACTAGTACTTGCTTTCCACTTGTAGATGGTGACTGTCAGCTGGCTTCTAGACTTTCCAGTCAGGATCTGAACTGTATACTTTCTGTTGCCCCATTCTGTGCTCCTGATTCTTTCCTCATCCCTGCCTCTGTGTGTGTGTGTGTGTCTGTCTGTGTGTAGTGTGTCTGTGTGTGTCTGTGTGTGTGTTGGGAGAGCTCCATTATCACCTTCTTCCATTAAAGAAGGGAGAGGGAGGACAGAATTTGGGAAGACAAACAGGAGTCTTTTAAATAGTGATCATCTCTTTGAAAATTTTCTACTGTAATAGTACAGTAATAGCTTGAATTCATATGTGCTTTTATTTCAGGAAACTTAAAAATGCTTTGAAATACTGGATTATTTATACCTACAAAACACTGTAGAGTGGTAAAAGTACCGATCCTTCCACTTTATGTATAGAGTTTAATATTTATAATTTTCATATAATTTGGAGGTCCTTTACTGAATATTCTTACTCATATTAAATAAATCTTAGTGTTAAAAATGATCCTCAGACAGCTAGCTTATTTGTCTCTTAGCTGTTTTCCACTGGGATGATAGGTAAATCATTTAGGGATAGTCATTGCACTTGACCAGACTGTACAATATTGACCTCTTCTTATGACAGCAGAAGTTATTTTGTATTCAGCCTATCCATGCACAGTTGAACAGTAAATTGGCTCACTAAGATATTTTCCCTCAAGTTTGGCTTAAGAGCTTTAGGCTCTGTGCTTTATGTGTTTGTTCCAGATTGCAAGGCTACCTATACATGTAGGGCAGAGATTGCAGGAAATGACTGTTGACAGGCTGACACATCAATAGTTATTATAGGATCAGAGGCAATCGGGGCTTCCAGTTAAGGTGACCATATGAGAATTCAGAGAGGAGCCAGGTTCTCCCACTCGTTTTCCAGCAGTAATCTAAAAGGAGCGCCAGATTGAACACTGACAAAGAGAAACATCAGTATGCTCCTTCATCTAGCTCAGAACCTCACAAAAAGACAGCCAAAAGCTATAGACACTGCAAGCGAAGTCCTGCTAGCGTCCTTGACCAAGGAAGCGGGAAGGGAAACAGATGGAGCAGAAGACTCAGGACAGCCAACTGTCCTGAAGGGTCGGATGAGGGACGTTGAAGACTGGGAGCACCCTCAGTGTAGACACACTTAGGGAAATGGAAGTCAGCACCCAGAATCCAGGAAAGTGAGGTTAGAACCAAATAGGGCCTAACTGCACCCCATTTAAGGAGGGGATAGAACCTGACCCTGGCAGAGTCCACAATCAGGACATGAGTCTGGAGATGCGTAAATAGAAGAATACATTCACTGTAATACTTTAAAGAAATTTCATGGGTCCTGAGACACCCAAGAGAGTACTCAGAAGAGAGTAACTGTAGTACCTACAAACAAACCTCAGGAAAATGTGGCTTGGCCACCAGGGCAGCAAGAGTTCCTGGAACAAATGGAGCAAAAAAGAAGCATTTGAATTCGAGGTAAAATAAGAGCTCTGGAGGAAAAGAATAACTTAGAAGGTGAGAAAACTTACCCAAGTTGCAGACTTGATGACAGGAATGGACTAACGAGAACTCTGACTCCATGAAACCAAAAGAAATATTAGAACAAATTCAACCTTAGAAACAAATTCAGGATTAAAAAAAAAAGAAAAGAAAAATGTGAGGTCTCAAAGGGCACTGCAGTATTTAAAACCAAGGTGTCAAACTCTCAAGGGTCATAAGTGACTTGATTAAAAGTCAACTGGAAGATGTTTAACACGATAAATAAAAATACAATACAATACAGGTAATGTTAATTTGTGGTTTTCTAAGTCAACTGGGGATCCCTTTCTATTTGAGTTTGACACTACTGCCTTAAAGTACTGTATAAATACTAGCTATCACCAAACTGTCAACTCATCTTATTTTGAAAAAGAGAGAGGAAAACCAAACTACCAATATCAGCAATGAAAAAGAATTCTCTTCAAATGTAGAGGAATTAAAGGGAACTGTTAGAACTTTTTTCCCCAAAACGTTGATCAGTGGACAGATTAGGAATTCAAAACCCAGACACAAATGAACATAATGACGTGGTGTTCAGCACATCAAACAAATCTGATAGAGTATGCAGTATTCTGTATCCATAGTTCCTCATCTCTGCAAAAAATAAGAGAGATATTTTCACAGTTCTTCTCTAGGGACAGGTGTGGCCACTATAATTACACAGTAGTTTCATTTTGTTTTTTAGTTTATGATGCTGCAGTTATTTTGATATCTACGTCTTTTCATCCTGAGCGTTCTTGTCCATGTCTTTCTATAAATCTTTTAGAAAGGATCTACCTAGTGAGCTAGAGATCTTCCTCCCAATCTTTAAATTAATTCCATAAATACCAGGGCAACACTCAGGCTACCCATTTGTTTTCCTTTGCTCTTACTGAAAAGAATTTTAGTGATGCTTTTTGCTTAGACACAGGAATCATTTCCTAATATGTGAATGTGCTGTCTGTTCTCTGATAGTTGTTGAGTTGTTCAGTTTTGTCCAATTCTTTGTGACCCCGTGGACCATACTGTCCGTGGACTTTTCTTGGCAATGATACTGGAGTAGCTTGCTGTTTCCTTCTTCTGTGGATTAAAGCAAACAGAGGATAAGTGACTTGCCCAGGGTTACGCAGCTAGTCAGTGTCTGAGGCCAGATTTGAACTCAGGTCTTCCTGACTCCAGGCCCAGTGTTCTATCCACTGAGCCATCTAATAGCCCAAAGGTACCTGTACTTATCTTGAAAAAAAAAGTTAGCAAAACAATCTGATAGCTCTTGTGATTGATTAAATATATAATTACTGGAGAGGAAGGAAGAAATTCAATAGTCTACTTCTTAGCCACATGGATTTCTAGCTAATATGAGTCAGGGCAAGAAGTGATACCTAAGGTTGATGTTAAAATTTGACTTCACTGCTTTCCTGTAGAATTGACCTTGTGTGACATAGATGACCAGAGGAGATGATGTAATCAGTCATAAATAACTGAAATTCGGGGGCAGTTCAAAATTTTTATTAACTCTTTGGATGGTAGAAGAGTCTCTGAAATACTTGGGCTTTGTTCTTGGTGACTCGTTTGCTACTTTAAAATACATATTTAAGAAAGCCAGTGTTTCTACTAGGTTACTATTTAGAGCATGCTCTGTAAAGTCTCAAATATTCACTGAATCCCAGAGTCTGAGTGGGGAGGGACCCCATAGCCTGTCTCATACAATGTGTACCCCACAAAGAATCCAATCTACAACTTACCAGGGGTCACCCCAAAATCTTCCAGGGAGGGGGAAACGCTACCTCTGAGTCATCCATTCCACTTTTAGATAGCTCTGAATGTTAGGTGGGTTTTTCCTTACATGGCACCTAAATCTGCATCTCTGAAAGTTCCCCCCTTTGTTTATAGCTCTGTCCTCTGAATTAAAGATAGTTTGCATAGTCCCTAATACATCTGATCTCTTCCAGATTCAGTATGCCCAGTTCCTTCAGCTGATTCTTATATGGCACAGTCCTGGCCTTTGGCCATTCTGGTCACCTTTTCCTCAATGCTCTCTAGCTTGTCAAAGTTTCCTGTAAGGTTGCAGACATCTAGAAATTCTTTGGTAGAAAATTGGACACATAGAGTGCCACTTGGTCCTGTAGTGAGCTGCAGAAGTTAATACACTTCCATAACCACCTAATTTTCTGCTGTGGAATAACTTAGGCACTGGGAGGCTTGGTTTCCCTTACCAATTCTAACCTTAACCAATGTTAAACATGTAAATTCTGAAAGTAACTTTCACTATAGTGTTGCTGCAAGTGATCTAGACTAAAGATACTGCATTTTTATTGTCAACAGCATGACAAACATGTTACATTACAGACCTAATTAGTCACTTTAAAGAGAATTCTTAATTTGTAGGTGTATTTACTTTGTTGATGTTGATATAGTAAACCGAAAAAAGGAGGGAATAGAAGTTTCAAATGAAGTATTTTGTGGGAAAAAGAAATAGTATAATTTTCATTTCCATAATTTAAAAAAAAATTATAATATGTATCACAGTCATTGGTCATTCTTAAAGACCATTACAGAGTTAGTGATGAAGCAGTTTGGTTGAAGATATTAAATTAAATGTCTTATTTTATATTTTAGATCTTGGCAACGTTCTGTCTTCCACTCCAAAGGTCAAAACTGTAAATGGGAAAGCTGAAAGCAGTGATAGTGGAGCTGAATCTGAGGGAGAAGAGACCCAAGAAGAAGTAAAAGAAACCAAGAAAAGTAAAAATGATAGTTTTCAAACAGTTTGTTCTAGTAATTCAATGTTATCTGGGGTTGCCGAACACTTCGGTGTGTATCCGATGACCACTTGTGATGTTAGGCACAAGACCCAAATCAGCCAGAACTTCCCTTCTGATAGGCCAGCTTAATACACCAGCAGAATAGGGAGACTGCTACCTATTCAATGGAAATAACACCTGAGGTTTGAGTTGAGAGGTGTTGAGAAAGAGTCCTTAGTGCAAACAGAGGTCAGCCACTGGCCATCCATGGTACTTAAAATGCCACCATTAGAGAAGAATCCTTTTGGGTTAAGGAATTACTTTCCTGTTAAAATGCATGTCTGTGTCTCCATGTGTGTGTGTGTGTGTGTGTGTGTGATTTCCACATTGTCCAAATACCATATGTGGAGGTGGAGATACAGAGAATTTTGTACATTTCTGTTACAAGTCCAGATGTTTAGAGGAGGGGTTTTCTCTGCCTATTATAATGAAAGCAGGTTTCAAAGGATGTAGAGGAGGTCAGGGTAGTTTTAAAGCTGTCTTGGAACTTCTGTGCATATGAGGAAACCTACTATGGTCCACAGCTAAAAAAGGGAACCTCTTTAGGAGGAATGTAATCACTAGGGATGACAGCACCTGGTTGTAAGAGGGTGGTATGAAACATGGGTAATTCTCATCTGGATGTTCAAAAGTTGACTATCTGACTTACACTTAATTTCTTTTCTGTATAAAAGGTAAGAAAGTGATGCCAGAGCCAGCTGACGATAAAGATTTGGAAATTGTTTTCACTAGCGGTTATGACAAAGACAGCGTTCTCCTAGATACACCAAATGATATTCATGCCAGTTCTTCCCTAAATGGCTCAAGCACTGAAGAAGTAAAAAATGGGGACCAAAACTTAAAGCAAACTGGACAAACTCCTGTCAGCATTCATCAAGGTATTAAGCACTATGAATTCTGTACTTACTCTCCTTAGGCAAGACTCGACTTACCTCAAGATTCAGTAATTTCATGGTCAGTTTCTTTGAGAAATTTCACATAAATGAAAACTTATTTGGACAATTTAAGCAAGTTTGAATTCTATACTATTTTAAAAAGAAGTACATTGTTGGTACTTTTAAGTCTGTATGGTAATAGATTGTTAACAAAGTAATTTCTAAGAAGCAGATCTTCCTGGGCTAGCTTTCATGAATCTACATCTGAGGAATTACATTGTAGTTTTGAAAACTAATAGTATTTGGGCCCAGGCTAGAAACTGTTTTTGTGTGAGGAATTGGGAAGTGGAATTTTCTGCAATTGTGTAACATTTTAAAACATAACCTTTGTAGTTATTTACTTTTGTTCTTGGCCCTTGTGCTCTTTAGCCGTTGTAAATCTAAATGTCAATTAACTCCTGAACTGCCGCTTTGTAGGAAATTAGAAAGAATATCATTTTGTAAATTAGTTGTTTTACGTGTGGCTGACCACTGCGTTTGTGACCTCCTGCCAGTTCAGCTAAGGAGTATTATGATTATACTTTACCTGATCTATTTTGTTAGCTTCAACTCATGTAACTGCATCGAAAGTTTAGGTATTTTAGGTATTAGTAATTCCAGTTACAGAATTATTAAATGGCAGTATTTCCAGAAAGCAAATCTCTTGTTGTTTAGTCATTTTTCAGTCATGTCCAGCTCTCTCCGACCCCTTTTGGGGTTTTCTTGGCAGAGATACTGGAGTGTTTCGCCATTTCCTTCTCCAGCAAATTTTTTACTTCATTTTTATTATTGTTATTGAAGTCCGTGATTTCATCAGGTAGGGAGTGTCCAGGAAGGAAATCCCTCTGCCAGTGTAGATCAGCGACTTGTAGTCTTAGAGAGTGGCTGAGGGCCCTGAGAGATTGTGACCATGCTGGGTCACACTGTTAGCTAGTAGGTGTTACAGGAGGGATCGACTTTGCAGGTCTCCTTGACGGCCTGAGCTGGCCAGCCTGATCCTCAGTGCCATACTGCCTCTTTTCAGATTTTGCTTAAAAATTCTCAAAATGCTATATTTATATTATCTCATTTGAGCCCCACTACATCCCTCTGAGACTGGCGTTATCCCCATTTTACCACTAAGAGAACTGAGGCTCAGAGAGCTTAAACTTACCCAGAGCCACACAGCTAGCAAGCGTCAGGATTGAACACAGGTTTTCTTGACTCCAAAACCATCACTGCATCCAGTGCACTACCAAAAACCCCGCAAACAACTTATGTCCCCTGTGAATTTGTGTGTGGGATACAACGATACCTCCCAGAGAGGCATTTCAGCAGGTTAGGCATTAATGTAGCTGGTCCATCCTTAGCACCAACCATATCTCTCAGCATATGCACGCACACATAGGCAATACGCTACTTCCTTCTTACTGATCGCTTTCCCCCCAACCTTTACTTTTCTACTCAAAAACTGTCAAATGAAAAGTATGCCTATCTCAGATATTGTGACTCACTAAGGTTTTATTTCATAATATCCAAACATCTCAGTTCACTGGTTGAAACAGTGGGTTAAAGCATGTTGTGAATGGGTCAGCATCATAAGGCAGTTAGTTCCTTCTGTTTTCAAGTCTCATATTGCGCTTGTAAATCTTGCCAGCCATCTCTCAATATTGTCATAAGAAGCCTAGACCAAGAGATTTTGGGTGGTTTACCTATCACTGCCACTAGAAGGAGAAAAATAAAATCAAAATCCTTGTCAGAACTGAATAGGAGTTATCATCTTCATAAATGAAGAACTACAGCCTTAAGTTACTTACAGAATTTGTGTTGAAAACTCTTTTGTGTTAACAAACATGACCAGAGGCAGAGTTCAGGTTCATCCTGGGAGAGCCGTTGACCACTCTGTTTTGCGTTTTGCCAGTTTCTCCTGCAATCTTTATGTTGTTGGTAGTAATTTATTTCATCAGTATTTTGTGTTCTATTGTAGTGTCAAGTACTTTCCATCAATCAGTGGTAGCCACCTGAAACCTTTTCAGATGAGCATCATCAGTTTCATTTAAGAATTTGGCAAGTTAGAAAAAAAATTTAAATTTGATATAGGTAAATCCAAGTTTGTTTTTTTTTTTCCCAGTTAGGAAATTTGAATGAGTATTAGTTTTTACACAAGATCTTTTGATGATTGAATTAATGCATTTTTCTTCTCTTAGGGGATAGTCATACTAACTGAGCATTTGTTAATTACATTCAGGCACATGTGATGATCATGTTGAAGATATTTCAGGAATTCAGCATTTGACAAGTGATTCAGACAGTGAAGTTTACTGTGACTCTATGGAGCAATTTGGACAAGAAGAGGTAAAAAAATGACATTTTCTGATAGGTAAGTTTTCAAAGTGGTTTATCAGGAATTACATGCACAGCATCTATTCATCACTTTGAAAACATACCTCTAAAATTTTAAATTGTTTGTATTTTATGATCGTTTAATAATTTAAAAAAATTTTTTGTTTCCTTAAAAATTATTTAAATTCTCCAGAATCCTCAAATTACTCTTAAATATTCTAGAACATATGAATTAAAGAAATGGTGACTTCTTTAAGATACAGATCTCAATTATATGTCTAACTTAAGTTTATAGGAGCTAACTTTTTTTTTTGTTTTGTTTTGTCTTTAGGCAGTTGGGGTTAAGTGACTTGCCCAGAGTCACACAGCTAGTAAGTGTCAAGTGTCTGGTCTGAGGCTGCATTTGAACTCAGGTCCTCCTGACTTCAGGGCCAGTGCTCTATCCACTGCGCCACCTAGCTGCCCCAGGAGCTAACTTCTTAAGAAGGCAAATAATTGTTTTGAAGCATTGAGGAATACCCACACTAGTCCCAAAACATTTGACTTAGACTTTGATTTTGAGTGTTATTAATATTCATATTTCCTGATTTATCCCTTCAGATGGTTGAAAGTCAGACTAGAAAGATGTTTGCAAAAATTTCTTTAAAAAAAAAAATCTAACCATACATTTATTGTCCAGAATTCTTCTGCTTTATGGTCCCTGAAGGCAGCTCGAGGACTAGTTGCCTCACAGCTGCTTATATGTGATTGAAATTTGTAGGTTTTTCTCTCCCTTTAAAATTGTTCTGATATTTATCCCTGAAAAGAAATTTGTAGGAAGGAAATAAGCATTTACTTATTTATTTATTAGGAAATAAGCACTTATTAAGGACCTACTATGTGCCAGACACACTGTGCTGAGTGTGCTATAAATATTATCTTAAGGCAGACAGAGGTTAAATGACTTGCCCAGGCTTTCTGAATTCGGATCTTCCTGCCGCCAGGGCCAGTGCTTCAACCATTGTGCCACGTAGCCACACCAAGGTTTCAGTTACTTTGAGAGTTAAATTTTTTTCTCAAAAAGTCAAGTTGTCCAATCCTTAATTTTCTTTCTTTTTTTGGTTAGGCAATGGGGTTAAGTGACTTGCCCAGGGTCACACAGCTAGTAAGTGTCATGTGTCTGAGGCTGGATTTGAACTCAGGTTCTCCTGAATCCAAGGCCGGTGCTCTATCCACTGCACCACCTAGCTGTGCCCCAATCCTTAATTTTCATTTTGGCAACTATAGTCATTCTCTTATTTGATAGATATTAAGGTCTGCCATATTTTGACTGTGTCCGTTTTCACAGCACTAAATAGAAGTGATTGGATAATTAGTTTATTGTGTATCCAGGCCAAAAGAAACCCCACTTTGAAGTCTGCGTTATCGACAGTATTCTAAAATAGAATAAGCTCTATGTATTCGTTTTCTTTTTCATTGCTTACTTCAGAGTTTTCTACTTCAAATTATTTTTAATTCCTTGAAAAAAAGAACAGATGTACCAAAGATTGCATTTTGAAATGTCTTAATAATCGGGTCTGGATGCTAAAGACTGTTTTTCAAAAAGACAGGATCCCATTCAAGCTTGTTAGCTGTTCCTTGTGATGCCCTGGCTATTACCTAAGTTCTCTTCCTCACTGAAAGTATAATTCTTTTCTCAGTGTTAAGCAGAAATTTGATTCCTTTTGTAGGGGAAATGTGTATGCTCTTTTTTCTCCCTTGGCATCGAAGTAACTTTGGCCAAATTCCATCAGAGCAACCTTGCAATTTAATCAAATCAGTGGAGAGTAATCTGACGAACCTTTTGTTTGGTTTGTCTTAATAAGTTGTTAGACTAAATCACAAGTTGAGTCATAATGTATATGATGTTCTGGACATTTGTCTAAGTGGTTTTCACCTGTTTTGCTATTTTAAATTAGTTGTGACCTCTTATTTGTCAAGGGCTGAGTGTTTGTATTTTTCTGAATGTGGATGTGTATGTCCCATTACATTTAATGTTCAGTAAGGAGGAGGATAGATCTTAACCTGTTAATGAGCCTTGAGATCTGTTTAAAATTCAGTGTTTAATGTAAACCAATGTGTGTGTAATTCCTCTTTACCTACACCTTTCTTGTATGAATTTTTTTTATGGTCCTTTGCACATAATAGGCATTTCATGTTTGTAGAATTGAATTTACAAAGTCATTCAGGAAAGATATAATGAGGACATCAAAAGTGTAGTCACCACTCAGGCTACTGCTGTACCTTAATACACAGTATCTCAACCATTTACTGAATGTTAGCTTCCCCCCCATTGTAATTGCATTGATATTGAGAACTCTCAGTGATAAAATTCTCTCAAGGGAGGCAGATCTTGTTGTTCAGTTGTTTTTTAGTTGTGTCAGACTCTTTGTAATCTCAATTAGGATTTTCTTGGCAGAGATACTGGAGTGGTTTGCCATTTCCTTCTCCAGCTCATTTTATAGATGAGGAAAGTGAGTCAAACAGGGGTAAGTGACTTTCCCAGGTCACACAGCTAGTAAGTATCTGAGGCAAGATTTGAGCTCAGGAAGATGAGTCTTCCTGGCTCCAGGCCTGGCAGTCTATCCTTGGTGCCACCTAGCTGCCCATAAGCAGAACTGCTCTTCTTTAGTTAGAGTTGCCTGGGGCCTTGAGAGATTAAGTGGGTTTGTCCCGCTGTTATGCAGCCAGTGTGTTTCTGAGGCAAGACTTGAACCCAGGTCTTCCTGACTTTGAGGTTGTCTCTTTAGCCACTACACCAGTGGTATCAAACTCAAATAGAAACAGGAGTGACTACTCTGTAAATAAGAATCTTGGGGGTGCTAGATGGCGCAGTGGATTGAGCACCAGCCTTGAAGTCAGAAGGACCTGAGTTCAAATCCATGCTCAGACCAAACACTTGATACTTACTAGCTGTGTGACCCTGGGCAAGTCACTTAACCCCAATTGCCTAAAAAGAAAAATAAGAATTTTGGTGGGCTGTACATCTTGATTTAAAAAACCAAATGTTAACATTATCTATGTTTTATGGTATTTTAATTTTGTTAAATATTTCTCAGTTACATTTTAATCTGGTTTAGGCTGCAGCGCTGTGGGCTGTGTGTTTGACCCCATTTTGCCTTTGGACATTAGCTTACAGAGAAATAAATTATGTGTCATGTCTGTTAAACACTGTGTTTTTAAGCACAGGAACATGTACTTATTATTATATGTATATTACATGTACAAGAACATTTTTATTTCCCTTTGCCTTTTGATCATTTTTGTTTCTGTTTCTGCCATATGTCATTGCATCCTCTTCTTCTCAGTAGCACAGTACTGCAGTGAACCAGCCACACGATTCATCCACCCAGGATTCTGTTTCTGATTGAAGCACTGATGACATTTTGGAGAAGTGCATGATTGTCCTCCTTGATCTCATCTTCACAGCTGTTAGTGTACCCTAAACATCCTAGTTTCCCCTAATAACTTAAGGTCCGAAGTATATCTTAAGTGTTCAGAGTTTTAGGCAGACCTTTGCGTAGACTAAAGAGATTAATATTCTTCAGCTCAGAAAAATGAAGAATAGGATGTAACCAGAACATACAAAAATCATTTGGTTAGAAGAAACACAGACTTGTTACCAAGTGCTGGAACACCAACATGGGAGAATACCAAGATGGCTGGAAGGTTCATAATAAGGGTGCACTAGCCAGCAAAGTGGCCAGATACCTCCCAGGGTGCTAAAATAAACTTGTGGGTGTGAGCTTTGAGCCACTGGTTGTTGTTTGAGAAATCACAGAAAATTGAAAAGTTACCAGAAGTCTGGAACCAGGTCAGTGTATTTTCCATTTCTCACAAAAGGGAAAAGGGCAGATTCTGAAAATTGCAGGTCAATAAACTTCATAATAACTACTAGCCAAATCACAGAAAGAATTATCAGATCAATTATTTGTAAACTCATTGAAAAGAAGATGTAAGTTATTACTAGGAGCAAGCACAGGTTTATGAAATAACAGGTCATGCCAGACTAACTTCATTTCCCTTTTTAATAGGTTTGCTGAATTGTTAGATCAGTATATTGTAACATGGTATAGGTTGCTTTCATCAAAGCATTTGACAGTTTTTCACGAATACTCTTTTGGACAGTCATGGGGCAATGGGATAGGGGAAGCTGGATGATGGTACATTTAAATGACTCTAGTTCCTAACAGAGTTATGCCAAAATGGAATGACATATCTTAGGAAGACATCCTGATTCCACCCTTAAAATGGAGGTCTTCAAAGCAGACTTGTTGATGAGGTTACAGAAGGGGATTTAGGTCTGGGCTGGACTTAGCTGGTCTCTGGTTTTCCCCTTCCAATTCAGGGGTTGGGAAATTGACTCTGTGTCGCCATGGCTACTCCCACAAAGTGTTCCCCACATCTGTTCCTATTTTCTATTCAGAATTAATTCCAGTCTGTTTCCCTTCCTTATTGATCTTAGAGTGGCCTGTTCAAGCATGCAGTTGTTAACTCTGTTCTTCTTCCATTAGCTCTCCTCCTTCTCACACTCTCTTGATCTTCTGTATTAACCTCGGTGCCTAGAATGACGTTTTGTTCCTTGAATGTTTAAGTGAATTGAGTCTTTCTCTGCTTTTGTATAAAGATCATTAAATTTAACTTTTGCTGCTCCTTGGATTTTTTGGATTTTACAAATTTCACATGGATCTCAGTATCCCTGTCAGATAGCTAGAAATCTATCCTTATTTTTTCATTTTTATCATAAAAGCATAGAATTTTCACTCTGAAATTCACACAGTACTTTGTTTTTCTAATAAGATTTTTACTCTGTTCCTGTTTACATTGCTCTGACGTCTTCCTTCCTTTAGATCTTGTACTCTGTAAAGACCGTACACAATGATTACATGCTTTTCATTAAGTTATATATGACACCTCTATCAAGTTCCTCAGATGAAAAAAATTAATGAGCTTTATTTCAGTTATATTTCAGCCCAGTTACTCTTTGAGAGTTTGAAGTTTAGTTCACAGAGAATTTTTTACGGTTTCTACATTACCCAAAATTACAAATGAAAGAGGCCCCATAACTACTTAATGACATGGATAATGGTTTGAAAGTTCTCTTCTAAACCTAAACCAAATACTTGGTGATTTTAAAGGTTATAAACAATCTGCTTTGGTCCATTACCTTGCTATGAGGTTCCTGTTTTTATTTTCTAAAAGATCTAATGAAATTCAGTTTCTATTCAGCCTTGAATACCAGTAGCAAAAGCCTTGTGTGGGTATGGATGACAGTTCCTGTGTGAGATGGTAAAAAGTCTCTTTTTCTGGCATTTTATCCATTTAATCGTTTTGAATCTTTTTGGTTTAAAACAAATTTTATTGTAGTAACATTTCACTATTTAAGTAACTGCTCATACTGGAAATTTGTTTTTTCACCTCAATATCTACCTTTAGGGGATTAGAAAAAATCATTCACTCATTCATTTATTCAGTAAACATTTATTAAGCATCTACTATGTTCCAGACACTATAGTAAGCACTAGAAAAATAGAGAAAAAGATCACAAAACTTCATGCTTTTTAAGTTAGCAAATATTTTCTACCTCACCTCAACCTAACATAACAGAGTGAATTTTATATTTTTGTGTAAATTGCAAATAGGCTGCCTGAATTACGTTATCTTAAATTTTAAGCACTATCCCTGAATTGTTGTAAAAGTCAGTTTTCAGTGTTCTGAATCAACTATTGATTAGAGAAATGCAAATCAAAACAACTCTGAGGTACCACATCACAACTATCAGATTGGCTAACATGACAAAACAGGAAAATGATAAATGTAGGAGAAGATGTGGGAAAATTAGAACACTAATGCATTATTGTTGGACTTGTGAAATGATCCAGCCATTTTGGAGAGCAATTTGGAACTATGCCCAAAAAGCTATAAAAATGTGCGTATCCTTTGACCCAGTAATAGCACTTCTAGGGCTATATCCCAGAAAGATCATACAAATGGGAAAAGGACCTACATGTACAAAAATATTTATAGCAGCTCTTTTTGTGGTGGCAAAGAATTGGAAATTGAGAGGATGCCCATCAATTGGGGAATGGCTGAACAAGTTGTGGAATATGAATGTAATGGAATACTATTGTGCTATAAGAAATGATGAACAGACTGACTTCAGAAAAACCTGGAAAGACTTGTGTGGTCTGATGCTGAGTGAAGTGAAGAGAACCAGGAGAATGTTGTACACAGTAACAGCCACCTTGTGCAATGACTAATGTTGATAGACTTAACCCTTCTCAGCAATACAAGGATCTAAGACATCTCCAAAGGCCTCATGATGGAAAATGCTATCCACATCCAAAGAAAGAACTATGGAATTTGAATGCAGATCGAAGCATACTGTTTGCTATTTTTTTTTCTTCTGTTGTGTTTTGTTTTCTCTTTCTGGTGGTTCCTCCTATTGGTTCTAATTCTTACAACATCACTAATGTGAAAACATGTTTAATAGGAATATATATGTATAGCCTATATCAGATTGTGCACCATCTTGAGGAGGGAGGAGGAGAAAAATTTAAAACTCAAAAGCTTATGGAAAAAAATAAATAAAATGAGCTGGAGAAATAAAAAAAAAAAAGCTGCTTTAGGAGACATTTTTAAAAAAGTCAGTTTTCAGAGTAATCTTAATGTTTAGGGTAGATGGGCCTTTTTATTATTAAATTGAAAAACTCTAAATAATTACTTAATAGGTCGTATTTTTGAATTACTTGTTTTTAAAATTTCCAGCCAGCATAATGAAGTTTAAATTCTGGCCCTAATCCTTAATGTGCCTGCCTGAGAAAAAATGTCAATATGTAAAACTTTCATCAGATTGAAAATTAATTGGAGAAATCTTTTTAGAAAAAGGATTTGCCTTCATATAATCATGAACATTTTATGGGACATTATTTTAATGAAATGCTGTTTTTGATTTTTAGTCTTCAGAAATCTTTTCATCAAGTAAAGGACCAGTTAGATATTCATCTCATTACTTGGGAGGAGATCACAGTCAACTATTGGAAAATTCTGGTCTTCCTGAAGAAGTTTGCATTGCCTCAGGAAATCTCCGAGTTGGAGAAATGCAGACGATTGCTATTGAAGGAAAAGGAGAAGTCAAATGTGGTGGGGAGGATGGCAGACCCAGTAGTGGGGCACCCCAGCGAGAGAAATGTGGTGGAGAGAAGGAGGAATTCTCTGGCATGCGGAGGGGGAGAGGTAGGTCTGGTCTGGTTTGGGTTTTTTTTTAATTTGTCTATTTCCAAAATTATGCAGTTGAATCACAGGTATCAGAACTGTCATATATGCCATCTGACAGCTGAGATTTCAATAAACAAACAGTGTCCAGCGCTTTGTGAAGCCCTGGAGGAGATACAAAGTGAGATGAGAGGCCTTTGCAGAGGGGAGGAAAGGCCGTAAGACCAGTGTCGATGATGTAAAATTCTGCAGAAGCCTTTTAGTGAATTGCCGAACAAAGATGTTAAATTTGAGGGGAAGGATGATAACAGACCAGACGGAGCTGAGGGATTTGGAAAGGAGGAAATGTGTTTTAGGCATGTGAATGAAGGCACAGACTAAGCAGCAGCAGCAGGGCCCAGGGCGTGATCTGGGGGTAGAGAGAAGTCTGGTCTGGTCTGGGGTGTTGAGTGAAGAGAGGCTAGAAAGGTAGGCAGTGCTACAGTGTGGAGGCTCTCTACTTATGCACAAAATGAAACATTTCAAAAGTTTAATTGATGCTTTGTGTTTTTACATCATAGCCATTTCCATATGTCCTCCTTCCCTGCTCCCACCTGTTGAGCCTAAGCCTCGTAACTAAGAAAAAAAAGTTAAGCAAAACCAGCCAGAGCATAACCTTTTGTAACAGCATATGTAATGTTCTCCACTTAGTCTGCCATCTCCCCAATGAAATGTGGGAGATATAGTTCCTCATCTTTCTTCTAGGGCCGAGGTCAGCAGTATAATCATACAGGGCTGTTTCATGTCATCATTTCCCTGACTGCTTATTTATCTCTGTGTCAGCGCATGTCCGTTTAGCCGTGGTTCCCTGAATTATTAATATCTTACTTCTTTTGGTGAAGTGATATTCAATTATATTAATTCCCCAGTTGATGGGTACCCACTTTGCTATTGAAGGTTTTTTTTTTTAACAGAGAATTGACATGACCAAACCCTGTCATCCTGATTCTTGCCTGATTCTCCCCTTTTGGCAGGCAGTATAGGGCACAGTGACTTTCTTGACATGGTAGGAGAGACAGTTCTATCTCCGTACTTCTTTGTGGAATCTTTGAAGTAGCCACGTAGCCACTCTGACTGTGCTCCTAGTCATGTGGCAAGCCAGCAGAGATTTTTCTATGCATGTCAGAAACTGAATTTCTCCTCCATTTTCCACAAAGCTAACCCTTCCAAACTCTCCCATCACTCAGTATGTCACCATCTTTCTGATCCCTCAGAGTAGAAACCAGAGTGATTTCCAAGTCTTCTGTCAGCCATTTCGTAAAAGCTACTCCATTGTAAATTCAGAAAATTGTTAATTGGTCATATGACTCAGGTCTACCTTTTCCTTTTTCATTTCCCAAGCCAGTACAGTAGTACAGTTTTTCATCCTGGACTACAACTAGAACATTTTAGTTGTTATGCAAATCAGTTATAAAAAAGAACATTACCACATTTTCCAAACAATATTTTATAGCAATATAAGTAACATTTATATGGCAATTTGAAGTTTGCAAAGCACTTTACATACATTGACTCATTTGAACTTCAACAATCCTGTGAAAATAGATACTACAGGTGTGTTATCAGACTCATTTTATAGATGAGGAAACCGAGGTGGCCAGGGTGACATGCTTGGTTGCAAAGCTAGTAAAGTCAGAGACAGGCATTGGACCCAGATCTCCTGAATGTGAAATCTAGCACTCTCTCCCTACACCATGCAGACGTTTGGGGGCGCTCAACATGTACCATCCCACAGAAAGAGAATTTCGTTTCAGTGAGTCTCTGGCGACTCTAACAGTGACTGAAATATCTTCAGTTTGATCCAGCCGACTTGTGTTATGCACCCCCTCTGCTGAACCCTGGGGCTACAGATATAAAAAGTAAACAAAACAATACCTTCAGGAAGCCCGTCTTCTAGTGGGGTGATGAGATACACACACAAATCCAAAGTTTCTGCTTAACTGCATTTTTCTTGGTTACGAGGGAAGATGATGTAAAAATAATTTTGAGTTAAATTTATTTAGGGGAAGAGAGAAATCAAGGGGAAGGTGTGGAGTGACACTGGCTTGCCTTGTCTAGCCAGAGCCAAAAGCTTCCAAGCTCTCCTTGCCAGGTCCCTTCACTAGGTGGTCTTTCAGGATGCATGTGCTCTCAGCTGTAATGCATCCTGCCCACAGGAATTAGGATAATCTTCTTGGCTATTTTTAACAAGTAACTCATTGCTCAAGAACTGAGTTTTGCTTTTTTGTTACCTCTCCTATAAAGCCCAGACTCCTCTGCCAACTGTCCTTGTTTGGCCTTCCGTTTATTTCATTAACCTCTCTTTTCATTACTTATTGCCTAATCCTCCCTGGAAGGTGGTACTTGTGAGAATAGATGTTAGGAATGGTCCTCTCACGTAGAATTCTTATAGCTCTGTGGCCTGTGCTAGGATTCACTCTCCTGTTTCTCATGAACAGGTATTAAGATTTGTGCATAAAGAAATGCAGGAGAGGAGAATTAATCACTCGTGGTTGCCTCCTCAGTTTTCTCAGGATTAATCTTTTCATTGTCTGCCTGTTTTGATTCCTTCAACACAGGCCACCGGATGCAGCATTTGGGCGACGGGCTTCACAGTGGACACATGGGCAGCGGAGGTGACGGGGAACGGCGGGGCTCTGACAGAGGATGTAGAGGCAGCCTCAATGAGCAGATTGCTGTGGCGCTCACGCGCTTGCAGGAGGACATGAAGAACATCCTTCAGAGACTGCACACACTGGAGACACTGGCTGCATCTCAGGTGGGAAGACGTTCCTTTTCTTGTCCTCTGATTCCTTCATCATTTTGTGCTATGTACCTGTGCTTTGAAGGTACTGAGTGCCTGCTTTCCTGAGAGATGGCGCCTGAAAGGGAAAGGAGGCAGAAGGGAGGGAGACGCTGAAGAGGAGCTCATTCAGTTTTGTCCCAAGCTGAAACGTGTAGTCGGGCCTAGAGACGACATTGAAGTTGCCGCTGGTGCTCCTGCCGGTCCCCTTACTGTCCTTGTGACCTTGGGCAGGTAGCAGAGCAGCACCTCCTTGCTCTTCTGGCTTTCTTTGGGGCCCCTATGAGCATGGCAGTACTCTAGGCTCTTGGAAGGAGGTTTTCAGTTGTTCATCAAAGAAGACATATTCCCTGCCTGTGTTCCCAGGTGTACGCCTTAAATACAGACGTTAGTACTTGGCTCTCATCACTGTGGGCAGCCCATCCATGCCTCGCATCCTGTGTTACTCAGGGCCCTGCCGTGGAGCTTGCAGGCGCTCCATCGGTTATGCCTCCTTCTTGTACGTGATTAATACCTCTTTTTCTGCTCACAAATCTCTGATGATGCCCTTTATGCCATTTCTTTGTTGGTAATGTGTTGCAGCCCACCATCTGCCTCCCTGTGAGTGACTTACACCTTTAATTCTTTGGAAACTGGGATTCCATGCCTTGTAACCAAACAGCATAACTGGAAGAGTAGTGATATTGAAAGGATGTGCCTTTGTTTCCCAGAGAATGGACCCAAAGAAGCTCTGGGTCAATAAAAGCACATGACACTTTGCAAAAGACAACTTGTCCAAAAGATTCTGCTGGGCCCAGTTTGTGGTCCATGTGCAGTGTTTTTTTCTAAGGTGTATGTACTGATGGACCATGGGCTGGCTACCCAACTGTATAGCTTAGTTTGGACAGTAAGGATTCTGCATGCCTTTAGTTTTTCCTGTGTTTAGATTGGCTAAAGCCTTTGGAGTGATTATGGATTCTACTCAGGAATTTTTGCCCTATCCTGTGGCTTGATGCAGTCAGTGCATCATCATCCATAAACACAAGCATCTAGAGAACTTTACCATTCATCAAAATTAGCATTAGATATCCTCTATTACATTGACAAATACTTTTAGTGCAGAGACAGACATGTTCTTGTTTTTTATTTCACATGATATAACTAATCAAAGGATCATCACATAAAGATATCTTTGCTCTTACAGCTTTCTAGCAATCACGTATGATCTCCACATGTGTGGGAAACATCTTATCAGTGGAGAGCCTTTCAAGTTGCATTTCATTGTACTAAAATCAAATGCTTTTTTATAGTCAACCAAAAAAGAAACTCAGTGGGATTTTGTATTCTTTAACCTTCCAGTGAGTTTTGTGACTGTAAAGACGGGGACTGTGATAAAGTATTTATGAAAGCAGAATGTGACTAAATGGTGGTCTTGTCCAGAAGTGTAGATCGCTTCACCTTGTGCCCGATACACCGCAGATACTTAGACTTACTAGTAACTTCCAGGTTTTGTATGACTCTGACTCTAGTTCCTTGGTACTTGACCCAGTTCTTTCTAGATGCCTGCGAGATGTTTTCTTTAACATGGGAACTCTGGGTATTATTCGTTATATTCCTGGGATTTTATCCTTTGGGTTTTCTTACATGATGTGATAGGTAGAGTCTTTCCATTTTTACTTTGTCCTCTGGTTCTAACAGGCATGGGCAGTTTTCCCTTATAATTTCTTGAAATAGTGTTTAGGTTTTTTTGTTTCTGTTTTTTTAAATCATGGTTTTCAAGTAGTCCAGTGATTCTTAAATTATTACTTGACTTGTTTTCCAGTGCAGTTTTCATTATTAGGTATCATACATTTTCTTCTATTTTTTTTAGCCTTTTGATTTTGCTTCAGTATTTTTTGTGGTTTCATGGAGTCACGGATTTGCATTTGGTTTATTTAGTTTGTATGGGTTCAATTTCTTTGATAAGGCTGATCATTTTCTCTTCTAAGCTATTTATTCTCCTTCCATATCTTGTGGAAAACCCATTTTTCCTTTTGATTCTCTGCTTACAGTTGGTATGGAGTTAGATTTTTGATGCTGGTCAGTGTTTTCTTAGATCTATTCCTCTCTAGCTTTACACTGAGGCTTTCTGGCCCTCTTGGGGCTTTCTTTTTTTTTTTTTTTGGTAAGGCAATTGGGGTTAAGTGACTTGCCCAAGGTCACACAGCTAGTACGTGTCAAGTGTTTAATCTGAGGCTGGATTTGAACTCAAGTCCTCCTGACTTCAGGGCCGGTGCTCTATCCATTGTGCCACCTAGCTGCCCCCTATCTTGGGGCTTTCTTAAAGGAGCCCTCTGCCCTTGCTGTCTTGACACTGGCTTCGCCAGACTCTGTTCGAGAAGAAGGAGGACAGCTGACCTTTTGTGCAGATATAGGGTAGAAGTCACTGTAGTTGCTCTTTGAATTTCTTGCTCATCATTCAGTGTGGGCTTTTCTGGAATAGGTATGTTGACGTTGAACGTCCTAACTTCTATTCAGACTGCTGTCTGGGCAGAAGTAGACTGTCCTTTCTAAATGTATCTCCCACAGGACCTAGAGTAGTGTAGACATAGTAGGCACTGGATGGTATTTGTTGCACTGAATTGCATTATTATTCCTGAATCCCTTGGTTTCCCTGTTCAATTTAAGGGGAATGTGGTTTGTAAGATAATGAGAGTGTTCTTGGTTGAAAGGTGCCATGCCTACACAATATTTTTGTAATACCTGCAACATTAGAATGACTGTCACTTGTTGAGCCAGATTCTCCCAGCATTAGTCTATTATTTTGTGCACCAAAGCCATAACTGAATGATTAATACCACAGTGGGCTGACCAGTTTACCTCACTTTGTGGAGGGAGTGGTACCTGTTTTACCTAGTCTGAGCTGGTTTCCCTTTGAGGGGGTGGTAAAGCTGTTCTTGGGATCATATTTGTTTTGTGTCCTTGTTGCCTGAAAAATAAAAGACCTCACCTATCCCATGGTCAGCTGGGGATCAGAGGTTTTAATGGAATTCTCCACTGCCTTGTGGAGAACCTGCCTTTCTCACCTAGCACCCAGTTGCCATGGTGAATATTCAAGTGAAGGGATCTTAATTACTGTCTTATAACCTTATCATCAGTAACCTTTTAATCACTGATTATTAACAGAGTCATTTTTGTTGCGTTTTATAATCCACAAGGATCTCATTGTATTTTTCTTAAGTATCTATTTTTAACATTTTTTTTTTAAATTGAGCTCAGAAATCTCTTCCTCCTATCCCTTCCTGACCTATTGAGAAGGCAAGCAATAAGATATCAGTTATACCTGTGAAGTCATGAAAAACATTTCCATATTAACCATGTTGGAAAGAAAAGGGGAAAAAAGGCAAGAAAAATAAAGTAAGTGAAAAAATTATGCTTCAGTCTTCACTCAGAGTTCATCAGTTCTCTTTTTTGGAGGTGGATAGCATTTTTCATCATAGGTCTTTTGGAATTGTCTTAGATCATTTTATTGATTAAAATAGCTAAGTCATTCATAGTAGATCATCATTACAGTAGTGTTGTTACTATATACAGTGTTCTCCTGGTTCTGTTCACTTCATTTTGCATCATTGCATAGATGTCTTCCCAGATTTTTGGAAACTACCCTGCTTGTCATTTTTTATAGCATAATAGTACTCCATTACAATCATATACCATAGCTTGTTCAGTCATTCCCCAGTTAATGGGCATCCCGTCAGTTTCCAATTCTTTGCCACCACAAAAAGAGCTCTTATGTTTTTGTAAATCTGGGTCCTTTTCCCTCCTTTTTTTTTTAAATCTCTTTGGGATACAGACCTAGTAGTGGAATTGCTGGATCAAAGGGTCTGCAGTTTTATAGCCCTTTGGGCATAGAATGGATGGACTAGTTCACAACTCCACCAACAATGAATTAATGTCCCAGTTTTTCCAAATCCCCTCCAGCATTTGTCATTTTCTTTTTCACCTCATTGCATTCTTATCCAAATCACTGGCCTGGCCTGAGTTATGCCTGGTCCAAAATACATTCATAGAATATAGAATCTGGCTCAATATTTTATGCACATTGTTACTCTGAAGCAATAAACTGTAAACATATTTTATTTCCTCTAGTATTCCTCAGACCAGAAATTTGTTGCCAGCCACTCTTCACCACTGTGTGTTGTCTCCTATTCTTTGGATGTCTGCTCTTCAAGCACAGGGACTGTTTCACTTCTGTATCTGTAATCACAGTATGTCTAGCATAGCCCCTAGTGCAGATCAGGTACCCCTTTTTTTAAAAAAAAAATTTAAATTTAGTATTTTATTTTTTCCCCCAGTTACATGTAAAAACAATTTTTAACATTCCTTTTTTAAAACTTTGAGTTCCAAATTCTCTCCCTTCCTCCTCCTCCCCCCTATTGAGAAGGCAAATGTTTCTGAATAGATTATACATGTGTAGTCATGCAAAACATATCCGTAATAGTCATGTTGTGAAAGAAAACATAGGGCCCCCCTCAAAAAAAAAAACCTCAAGAAAAATAAAGTTTAAAAAGTATGCATCAGTCTGTATTCAGACACCATCAGTTTTTTCTCTGGGGTGGATAGCATTTTTCATCCTAAGTCCTTCAGAGCTGTCTTGGATCGTTGTATTGCTGAGAATGGCTAAGTCATTCTCAGCTGATCATCTTACAATATTGCCATTACTTTGTACACAGTACATTTCACGTTGCATCAGCCCATGCAAGTCTTTCCAGGCTTTTCTGAGAGCATCTTGCTCATTATTTCTTATAGTGCAATAGTGTATAATATGCATACCACAACTTATTCAGCCATTCCCCAGTTGATGGACATCCCCTTCCTTCTAATTCTTTACCCCCAGAAAAGAACTGCTATAAATATTTTTTGTACATATATGTCCTTTCCCTTTTTGTTTCTTATCTCTTTTGGGATACAGACCTAGTAGTGGTATTGCTAGGTCCAAGGGTATGCACGGTTTTATAGTCCTTTGAGCATAGTTCCAAATTAGAGCAGGCCCTTTTAATCCATGTGTTTTCATTGATTAATTGTATCCACATGATCATATGGTTAAAATGTGAAAATCTCTTCTTAAGATAAGTAAAGGTAGACTAGAGAAATTGAGGTAGCTGTGCCAGAAAGAGCCCTAGTCTTGAAGTCAGGAAACCAGAGTTTGAGTCTCACTTCTCCCATTTACTAGCTTTTTGGCACTGGTGAGTAACTTTACTTGTCTGGGCTTCAGTTTCCCCACCCATAAAACAGGGAGGGATTTGAATTAAATGACTTATAAGTTTCCTTCCAGTTCCAAGTTCCTTGCGTCAGGGGCAAAGCTAGAGGTAGGAGAGGGCTCCTCTGGTGTCTGATATGGCATTTAGTGACCCAGCCTAATCTGCCACTCATTAAAGCAGAAGCACATGTACTAAGCAGCTATAGAGTAGCAAGATGCAGTCTTTTTTTATTTTTTAAAAAATAATTTATTTATTTTTAGTTTTCAGCATTCACTTCATAAGATTGTGAGTTTTAAATTTTCTTGCCCCTCCTCAAGAGGGTGTGCAATCTCATATAGGCTCTGCTTATAGATTCATATTAAGCATATTTTCCTACTAGTCATGATGTAAAAAAGAATTAGAACTGATGGGAGGAACTGTGAGAATGAAGCAATAAAACGAAACAAAACAAAAGGAGAGCAAATGGTGTGCTTTGATCGGCATTCAGACTCCACATTGCTTTCTCTGGATGTGGACAGCATTTTCCATTATGAGTCCTTTGGTATTGTCTTAGATCATTGCATTGGTGAGAAGAGCCAAGTCTATCAAAGCCAGTCATCGCACATTGTGACTGTTATTGTGTACAGTGTTCTCCTGGTTCTATTTCGCTCAGCATCAGACCATACAAGTCTTTCCAGGTTTTTCTGAAGTCTGCCTGCTCATCATTTCTTATAGCACAATAGTATTCCATTACATTCATATACCACAACTTGTTCAGCCATTCCCCAATTGATGGGCATCCCCTCAATTTCCAGTTTTTTGCCACCACACAAAGAGCTCCTATAAATATTTTTGTATATGTGGGTCCTTCTGCCGTTTTTCTGATCTCTTTGGGCTACAGACCTAGAAGATGCAGTCTTTTGTAAATTAATACTCACATGTCATCTCTCTCCCCGTGAGTTTTAGAACCATGCCTTGAAATACCAGAGGACAGTAGGCTCCTTGCTGGCTCCAGAGTGTGGCTCATGAGGACTGGCTAGATATTTGCCAGTCTGATCAAGAGACCTGTTAAGTTCCAGGTTTGTCTTACAACTTAAGGTATAAGAAACAAGGAGAAGAGCTACTCTAGATTTAGTCCTGACCCATAGGGAAGACCTGGCTGGTTGAGTGAATGGGGTGGAACTTGGGAGAAAGGGACTGTGTTGTCCCAGAGTTCAGACACAGTATTTTTTTCAACATGGTTTAACAGCTTATTGAATGCAAGTTGAAAAAGTATTGCCACATTACTCAGTTTACCATGTTTCTTATTTGCTTTTGCTTCTTTTTGTAGGCAAAATCATCAGCATTGCAGACTGATAATCGGCCTCCCTTGGTAAGAGCCTTTTCTTATGAGCATTTTGAAATATCAAAAAGAATTAAAAAAGTGTTATTTCCTATTTCACCATAATCGGAAGGAATTCTACCTTTTTGATCCCAGAAAAGTTCTGTGTTGTATTGATCTAAATCTGAAATACTCATATAAACTTCATGATCACTTTTAAAATTTTGAGCACTTTAAATAAAATGTAGTCTTATGTCTGACCGTAACATTTGCTGATTGGTGACAAGTTTGTTTTGCTTTTCTTAGAGACCATCGTGGTGGCCATTTGAGATGTCTCCTAGTGCATTGACCTTTGCTATTGTATGGCCTTTTATTGCTCAGTGGCTGGTACACTTATATTATCAAAGAAGGAGAAGGTAATACTAATTATTGATAATTTTGTTATTCAAAATAATGTTTAGTTCCTGTCAGAATGACTACAGTAATCATTGCCTACCTTTCAGTGACTGTTGAGGGAATGTTTGTTTTATAGATACTTAGTGCATTGCCACACTGAAAAACTTGCGTTGAACATGAGTACTAAATTTGACTGAAAATGAGATTTAATGGGGAATATACTCTTTTGATTTCTTCATCTGTTCTTTGGAAGCCTCTTTCACTTTGCACAGTTGTGGTTTGGCAACTAGAAAGGACAAAAATAATCTCACGCCCCAGAGCTTTGCGGCAGTGCTTATTGTGGAAAATCATGCTTACTTGGGGGTGTTAAAGAGAAAACAGGGAGGAATCCAATGGGTAAAAAATGTCCTCTTGCACCCAGACTGTAGACTAGCTTGTTTCTAGTGAAAGTCTAGGCTTGATCGTAGATGGCACCTCAGCTTGGGTCATCTTCAGTTCAGAGGGTCTCTGGGGAGGGGTCAAAAAATCGGACATTATCAGACTGAGGGAGTTCTCTGATTCAGGCCTCCAATTTCACTAAAGGATTCTAAGTGCAGAATTGAATTGACTCTTAAAGTGATCCTAAAACTGATCTAAAAGTGGCAGCTAGGTGGCGCCATAGTGCATAGAGTACTGGGCCTGGAGTCAGGAAGACTCATCTTCTTGAGTTCAAATCCATCCTGAGACACTTACTAGATGTGTGACCTTGGGCAAGTCACTACCCTGTCTGCCTCAGTTTCCTCATGTGTAAAATGATCTGGAGAAGGAAATGACAAACTGTTCCATTATCTTTGCCAAGAAAACCCCAAATGGGGTCACAAAGAGTTGGGCACGACTGAACAGCAACAACTGACACAAATTTCTTTGGAATAGGGATGACATGAAGCCAGATCTTTGAAGTTTTATATGTGTGCGTGTATTTATTTTTCCCAGATTCTGAGCTCTTTTTCTGTAACCAAAATTTCCTATATTTAAATCAATGCATATTATAACAGTGTCTAAGAATTGTTTAAATTTTATAGTTTATAAGAAACTTCTCCACAAGCACTTTCTACCATACCATACAGCCCTCGTGGAGGAGAAACTTAAATGCTGTTGGGGCAGTGCATACGTATGTGTACATATACTCATGTATGCCTAGCTCTGGGTGACCTGGTTATCACCTGCGATATATGATGTGGGAAAGATCTCCTTGGATATACCTGTCCAAAAATAAAACTTAACCATTTCTGAGTTGAAGTTTCTACTATTGGAGTCATTCTCGGGTTAGTTTGGGAAGGTGAGTCTGTTACGTAAAGGAGGCTATTTATTTTAAATTTTTATTGATGCCTTTTGTTTTTATATCACATGAATTTCCAAATATATGCTTACCCCTCCCCTTACAGCAAAGATTAAAAAGGAAAAACAACAGATAAGCAAAACATCAGCTACATCTAACAATATGCAAAATGCCACGCTGGTAGTCTTTACTTCTGTAGAAGGTAGGGAGGTATATTTTTCTCAGCTCTTCTCCAAGGCCAAGCTTGGTCATTTTTATTATAATTTAAATATCCAGTTTCTTTTTCCTGTTCTTTCCATTTACATTTCTATAGTCATTGTAGATAATTTTCTTGGTTCTGCTTACTTCACTCTGCATCAGTTCATATTATCTTCCCATATTTCTCCTCAATTCTTTAGAAACTATTCCTAAAATGCCCATGTCACGCAGAGAAAAGGGAGACACTCCAACCCTTTCCCATTCCAATCAACCACAGATTCTTTATGGATTAAATAGTTATTACCCTAGACTAAGTCACAGAAGACTCAGTCCCAAGTAAATGGATTATGGGGCAGATAACTAAGAAGGTGTTTTCAAGGAGTGCAAAGATAGAAGAAAAGTTGGCCAAGAACGTGTCAGTGACTCTGGAGTAGTACTTTAAAATAGGCAGTCTTGGACAGAAGAGGCAGAATGAAACATTGAGCATTGAAATTATCGATGGTACCTGGTTAGGGAGAGAGAAATCTGGGGAGGGGGCCCTGTAGGTTGGTTGTACCACAAAGGGATAATTGCTCTGCTAAGCAATTCATCTATTCAGTGTCCAGGAATCCTGAAAAAAAAAAGATATTTAAATTATAAATTAATTATTAAAGAGGCTTCTAGGTGGCACAGTGAATAACGCAATACTGGATCTAGAGTGTCAGGGATACTTTGGACACTTACTGGCTGTATGACCCAGGGCAAGTTACTTGACTTGTCTGCCTTGGTTTCCTCATCTGTAAAATAGGTATAACACCTATCTCCCAAGGTGGTTATAGGGATCAGGTATTTTTTAAGTGCTTTGCTTAAAGCACTGTATAAATGCTAGCTATTAGTTCACCTTTTTCAGCCACTTATAGTTGAGTATTTCTTGTCATGCGAGGCAGTTTTGTAATAATTGTTTGCAGTGCTAATGTTTTCCTTTTCTTTTAAACTGTGTGATTATGACACCTGAGCAGTGTTATTCTTAGGGTTCCTTCGGGTTGAAATGTTTAAATATTCACATAGAACTTAGGCTAATTGACATTGGCCTTTTCTTTCTTTTCTAAGGAAACTGAACTGAATGGGGGTGATTTTGCTTTATCCAAGACTGCTGGGCCTCAGAGACATCCGAATGAAAAGGAGCGTGGTGCGCTCCCAGGAATCGCAGGCTCCCCATGACTAGACTTCGCTTTTGTTACGTCAGCAGCCTCAGTGGGGTGGGGTGGTGTTGGGCTTTTGTTCTTTTAGCACTACAAAGATGTTATCTTCAAGACTAAATAATATTACTGATACTTGAATGATCATTCTCAACTAGATGACAAATAGCATATATAAAATTATCCCACCCTTGGACTTGAAGGACATTAAATTATTAATTATTGTTTGGTAACATATTTACCTGATTATCTCCAATTGTAGAAACATGAACTGCTTTTTCAGCACACAGTGATAATGAGACCAGATTTTTGTTGGCATTTTGATTTGGGTTTTTTGGTTATGAACTAATGGTGGGGATGGGAGTGGGAGAGGAGGATGTGACTCAGGGGCAAAAACCTAGATGTCAAATGAAAATAAATTGACTTATCTTAGTCCCTGAATTACTATGGCGAAGGACACGTTGCCAAAGAAAGCTATTTCAGAGTTCACTTTGTGGACTGCAGAGTGCTTCCTTATCCAAACATGGGGGGCATTTAAAACCCTGATCTTGATTTTGGCATCTTCCTTCACTACATAGGTGGGTTCCAGTGCTCCCCCCCCCGGCCAGAGTGGAAGTGACTTCCGTCGTACTCAGATCTTTTGGTTTCTAGAAACAGTTCAAGGGAGGTGCATGTCCTGCGTGATAGAAGTGATGAGTTGGGCTTGATGTTTCAGAGTATAGACTGATGCTGCAATGTACAAATAATAGTTTGATTCAACCACCTATACGTATTCCTTGGTAATCACTTTCTTTAGGGGAAGTACTAGTTTATGCACGGGGTGCTTTGAAATATAAAACAAAAACTTATTTATACTGGTCTTTTTTTTTTTAACAAAGTACAGAAAACTCATGACTTAACAGTTGCTCAACAGATGATTTCAGTAATTCATGTTGCCATGAATAAATCACTTAACCTCTTAGTGCCTCAGTTTACCCACCTGGGGATAATATTTGCAATGTACCTAACCACAGGGATGTTGTGAAGATAACGTGAGATATTAGGCATCTGGCTGCCAATGATTAAACTATACCTCAAGTGACAGAAACTTTCAAAGGCATGGCAATGTTTGGGTTTTGAGGACAGAAGGATTTGAATTGGTGCCCTGGGAAGCCCTCCTTTGGGAATGATTACTTTTATGTACAAAATGATCCTTGTGACAGGAAAAGACCTTGGCTCATTCTACTAGCATGTGCTTTAAGAATCACTGATAAAGTCATGGTGTCACATATTTACATCAGAAAAATGATACCCGGCACAGCAGAGTGCTATACTGAGGACAGTGTATTTTTAATCAGAAAAACTAATCTAACCCTAATTCACAAGGATGGCCTTTTTCTAGAGGGAAAATATATATTTTTAACAGGCATTGCCAAGTCCTTCCTTTTCCTTACGTATCCCTAAGCTTTTTCTTTTATCCCATCTTTGTGAAAGGGATTGATTGCTAACATCTGCCTAAGAAGCAAACAAGCAAAAATTACCTTAACTTTCTGAGAAAAAATAAAAGGTCACTGAATTGCATATGGAAAAGATCAAACCTATATAGATGAAGTAGCTGTAAAACTTTATTTTCAAAAAGGGTAGTAAAATTAGGGGCTTCTCTTAGTGTGATGGGGGACACAAATGACCTTTTTGGCTAGTTTAATCAGACTTTTCGAATGTAAGCAGCTGTGATCAACTGCAGGTAGTCCAGGGGTTGTCATCTCTTGGGGTTAATACTTTCTATCCTGTCCCAAAATCTTATTTTGTAGTTTGAAAAGCACTTTGCACACAGCTCTTGTATATAAAAAACAAAGATGTAATTTTAGGATTTAATGTTCATGCTTTGTTTAACAAAACCTGATTTTAAATTGACAATGGTATTTTTTTTAATGAAATATTTCTTCTCTTCAGTTTCTTTACTGTAAAGCTGAGTACAAAATAAAACCAGTAATGAGAAATTACTTTGCCTATGTTCTTATAGTCTGAATTAGAATTCAGAGGCTCAGTGAACAAGCATTTATTAAGTACCCACTGTGTACCTGGCTTTGTACCTGGTCCTTGTAGGGAGAAAGACAAAGAAACAGTCCCTGTCTTCAAGGAACATACATTCTACTGGGGAAATAGAATATGTACACATAACTAGATACAAAAGATATACAAAGTGATTGGGGGAGGGGGAAAGGCAGGCAAGGCCTTAGCTTTTGGGGACCAGAAAAGTCTTTGTGTGTAGCGAGCTGAGCCTGTAACAAACTGGAGAAGGGAGAGAAAGATTCAGAAAGGCAGAAGTGATTGAAGAGTCCACTCCAGGCACAGAGACTAGGTGAAATGTGGCCAAGGTAATATTTGAGGGACCATAAAGGGTGTGAAGACAAGAGCAGTGGGTCAAGGGAAGGTTTCTCTAGAATTGGGGAAGAACTACAATTTGTAAGGAGACACAAGGCAAAAGAGGCACAAATAGGACGAAGGAACAGGAGAGAAAGCTGAGAAGCTCTGAGCATCTGATAAGGGAGAGTGAAATTCCAACAGAAGCATTCACCACATGCAAGTCACTGTGCTGGGGCTGGGGCTACAGAGGTAAAAAGTTAGCATCCTCTCCCTCCAGCAGCAAACATCAAAGCACAGTAAGGTTCCACCACATCTTTCACTAACAACTCATGCTTCAGACAACTGTATCTCTAACAATACTTAAATGTAAAAAACAACAAAAAATGTTTAAGAACACAGCTTTTAATTGTCTTCTCTATTAGCAGAGAATCTACATTCAGCCCTTCAAATTTGACATTTGCTTTTATCTTTTAACAAAGTGCACAAGGTTTCTGAACAAAACAAAGATGAGTTTTTTCAATCTACGTTTTAAATTTTGATTAACACTGATTTTTAAAAAACCGGTACTTTCTCAGACTGATACATGAACTATTAAAATGTGTTACAATTAATTTTATTAGTCATTTTAGAGGTAGGCTTTAATGTTGCTTATGAGTATTTTTTTCGAATCATTTTAAATAGACAAAATATGAAAACACTCTTAAAACTTGTAAAAATACTACAAACGCAGGAAGTTCAAAGTTTTTCAGCAACACTACTAAGCATAATACCTAGCTATAACTGACCTAGGTTGGTAATGCATACTTCTCTTTTTCATTTCAAATTCCTCAAAAGAATTACACTATGAAATGAAGGGAGTTTTCTGCTGGGTTAGGACATAAATCTTGACAGTATATTTTAGACACAGCCTGAAAGTACTGGCCTTGAGAACAGGATTTTGTTACTAACCATATACAACCTAAATAATGTTTAAGTACATCCATGATATATTTTTCATTGCAAACAATTCTAGAAACTGGATGCATTAAGAGCAGCAGTTAAGGGGGAGGGAGGGAAATCAGGTTCACTCTCTCTAAAGTGATATTTCAGTTTTGCTAATACCTTAGCTTTTGTAAAGTGCAATAAAAATAAAGTGGAAAAAGGAAATTTGAAGATATGTACAATAATTATTTCTCAGATTAAGATAAACTATTGATTTTTGTAACCTGAAACAGATTGAAAAAATATAAATTTAAAGTCATACAGTAATCTCTTAGATGAAGATAAAACTAGTGATTTTACAAATTTGTGTATCTGTAGTCACTATAAAACAAAAGCAGACTGATCCAAATTAACATGCAGTTTTCCTTAACCTAGTGACCTAATCTGGCATTACAGAAAATGTAAGCCCATTCTTAACACAAGGTTGATCAAATAGGAAAGTTAGTTATCTCTTAATAGAGCTATAAACTAAATCCTGACACAGTCAAATGCTGAGCATTGTTCCTGGCTTCAAAGTAGGAAGTGTCTGTTTCATCATCTGGTTGTGGTATGAAAGGCATCGTTTGATTTGGTAGATTCTCCCAGTCGACATCCCTGAAGAGAGGATGCTGTCTCAGCTCTTGAAAAAAGAAAACAAAAACCCAAGTATAACATCATCACTAAAATTCTGCTTCACTCAAAATGTTTTCATGTGAAAACATTAAATGAAAATGTCTCCCAATGATATTTTTCCTTACTGTGGCACTCCCATTTCATAGAAGCGTAAAATGATTTTTCTATAATCAAGTTCTATAATCTTCCACTTTCCCAGGCACCACCTACCCCACTGTCAAGTGGGAAGGTAGAAAGTTAGGTAGCAGCCTACCCTCCCTGCGATAGCCAATCATGGAACTTCTTTCCAACACAACTACATCCATCCTTGTGCCAACACTCCTTCCCTCTGGCCCCATTCTCCTCTGTATGAGTCCCACCCTTTCATCCCTCCTTCAGGGCCCAGAGTACAGCCTATGTCAAGAATTTTGCAAATCTTAAAGTGTTATATACATGCTAGCCATTATAAACTACTGCCCAGTTACCCTCAGTAGCAACTAAACAAGTGGCACAGGAAAAACTTATTTCCTCCCCCTCCCAGGGCAATGAGCACTGAATAAAAAGCCACCACCCTCCTCTTCATTTTGGCCTAATGAGCTGTACAGGATCAGCAGACATGGAGGGTTTGCATGATGCACTGTAGATCTTATCCCATCATCTTTCGCCACAAATCTATTCCTCTTCTAAGTTTCCCTATTTCTGTACAGGGCAACAGCATTCTTCCTGTCTCCCAGGTTTGGAGGCTCAGCGTCATCCTGGCCTCCTCATTCGCCTTTACTCTACAAAGTCCATCATCAGATCTTATCACTTCTAAGTCAGACATTTCTCACATCCATCTATCTCCTCTCTATTCACAGGGGCCATGATCCTCATCACACCTCCCACCTGAATTATTTCAAAAGCCTCCTAAAAATGGTTCTCATTTTCAATCTATCCTCCACTCAGCCACCAAGGTGAATTTCCTAAAACATATTCCCGACTATGTCATTTTTCTACCCAAATTCTAATGGCTTTCCCTACTGACTCTACAATCAAATAGTATTTCATCTTTGTCTCTTCCTTTTAAACTTCTATTTTTTGTATAAGTTTTATTCTTATTTTTTAGGAGGCAATTGGGGTTAAGTGACTTGCCCAGGGTCACACAGCTGGCATGTGTCTGAAACTGGATTTGAACTCAGGTCCTCTTGACTCCAGGGCTGGTGCTCTATCCACTGCACCATCTAGCTGCCCCCTCTTGTATAAATTTTACAATGTATATAATTATTAGTATAGTAGTAGAGGAATATAATCTTCAAATATGTAAATACACACAAGGGTGGTACATACACAAAAATTTTCTACTAACCATTTATCTATATGCTTAAATTAAAAATTGTAGAAAGGTTCCTTATGGTCCAAAAGTATTATATTAAAGTAGATAAATTGTTCAGCCATTCCCCAATTAATGGGAATCTACTTTGTTTCTATTTTCTTGCTACCACAAAAAGTGCTGCTATGACTATGAAGCAATGTGACACAGTGAAAAGAAAGCTGGCCGGCCAGGGAGTCAGGAGAGCTGGGTTCAAATTCCATCTCAGACAAATACTGACTATGTGATCCTCAGCAGGTCACTTAACCTCTAAGGGCTCTAGGTGACTCTAGTATATAAAGTTGCGGAGGTGATAACCTTTTGGTAGAGGAAATTGGGAACACAAAGAAAACTTCTTTAGCTGCCAAACAAAAAGAAGCAAATAAACTAGAAAACAAGTGACTATGAATTGGGCATTGGAAAAAGCCCACTGAGGAGAGAAAGAAAAGATGATGTGGATAAAGAGATACTATCACTTCAATATTGTTTTTCTGAAAGTAGAAGGAATGATGGTTAAAAAAACAATATAGCATCGATAGCATGCATTCAAAGAATTCAGATTATTAACTCAAATCTCTGAAAGAGTCATTTCAACCAGGATTACTTTGGAAATTTGACTTCACAACTATGTGCATCCCCAGCACTTAGCACAGCGTCTGACAAACGGAGGGCATTTAATAAATGCTCGCTGACTTTCAGAGTGACACTTTTTTAGACCATGGGTGAAAATCAAAGCACCAAAACATAACCATTCTTCTTGAAACAGCAAATGTGCTCCTGAGAAAAGAAGAACAGAGTTAGGCAGGGAGAGAGGCACAGGACTAACCCTAAGGCCAGGGGAAAGTGGAAGCTTTCCTCATCTTTCTGCATTGGAGAAGTTCCTCCAGGACGAGGAAGGCAGTTATGAAGAGAAGGTCGCACCGTTACTACCTTGCAAATGTCACTCAGAGGCTTATTCATGGACTTTCTGCTGCACTGAAAGCTTAACAGTTACCAGCTAGCTATGTCTAGGTAAAATCTGACACCCATTGAGACATTTTAGGTCTTATCAGTCAAGACTGCTCAGTAGAGCAATCTTCTTAGCTCAAGTCCCTATTGCTGTAAATGTTATCAGTCTTTGTTAGCAGTGCTGCCTTTCTGATTTTCATTGTCTCTGTTCTTCTGGCAATTGCTTTTTCTTGGCTTACTGTACGGTGACATAATCACCTTCAGTACAATAAGGCCTAAGAGCCCAATGCTAAAAGAATGGCAGCAGAGCATGAGGCTGTATTTTCCCTCAGACTCTCACTAGCCAGGTGACCTTGGACAAAACACTTAACCTCTCAGACTCAGTTTCCTCATCTGTAAAATGGGGATGACAGCACTAGTCTTACAGGTTGTTGTAAAGGTCAGATGACATAAGATATAAAACACTTTGCAAACTTTAAAGTCCTATAAAAATGCTAGCTATAATTACTGTTGTTATCTTAGCCTAATCTCAGAAAAAGAAACTGAATAAGTCATAAATGAACTGTCAAAGAAAAAAAAAGCCCAAAAGCAGATGAATTTGTAAGTGAATTCTACCAAACATTCAAAGAACAATTAATTCCGACATTATATAAAGTATTTGCAAAACTGGAAAAAAGGATTCTAGCAAATTCCTCCTATAATACAAATCTGTTCTTGATATCTAAACCAGGAAGAAACAGAGAATGAAAAGTAGAGATCAATATTCCTAATCAATCAAAAATTTTTTGAAATAAAACATTAGTAAAGAGGTTACATATTAGTAAAGAAGCAACGTAAGATGAAGATTAAACACTATGACGAGGTTGAATTTCCATCGAGAATGAAGGGCTGGTTAAATATTAGGAAAACTGTAAACACAACAGACCACAGTAATAACAAGAACAATAAAAATCATGTAATTATATGAATAGGTGCAAAAAAAAAAAACCAACACCAAAAAAACAACTTGTGACAAAATACAATGCCCACTTCTATTTTTAAAAAAAGAGAGACAAAGAAAAACAAATATAACTATCAAACACTCTTTATAGAAAATAAGGCAAACCTAATAATTGGGTGGACCAGACCAAAATACTAAAGATGAAAATACCGGTTAATTTAATTATTTAGTGTCCTAATAATCAAACAACCAATAGATAGATATGATAGATATCCCACTTTGTAGGGATTTATCCCTTATGAACTATCAATAGATAGTTTGATTAGTTTTTTAACGCATTCATTTAATGCAACTCACTTTTTAGAGTTAGAAAATATAATAATGAAATTCAGTTGGAGGAACAGATCAAGAGTCTTAAGGGAAATAATGAAAAGAACAATGGGAAGAAAGAGGGCCTCAAATGAAAGCAGTAATTATCAAAACTACTTGGTGTTGGTTAAAAAAATAGATTTCAATCAGTGGAACAGATTAGGTACATAATCTACTGAAAAAAAATATAGTGTTTGATAAACCCAAACACCCTAATTTCTGGGGCAAGCACTCATTATTCTAAAGAACTGCAGGGAAAACCGGAAAACAGTTCAGCGGAAATTGGATTTGCACCAAGACCTCACAACATATCATAAGATACGTTCAAAATGGATATACATTCTAGATACACATTATAAACTAAGGTCACATTATAAACTAATTAGAGGAGCAAGAAAAGAAATATTATTTATACCTGTGGACAGAGGAGGAGTTGGTGACCAAACAAGAGATAGAAAGAACACACACAAAAAATGGATAATTTTTCTTCAAAGAACTGAAAAAATTTTGAACAAATAAAATGCAGTTAAAATTAGAAGAGAAACAGTTAAGTAGGAAAAAAATCTTTGTAGAAAAGTTTCTCTGATAATGGTTTCATTTCCAAGATATGAAAAGAATTGATTCAAATATATAAGAATGACAGTAATATTCCAACAGATAAATGACAGATAAAGAATAGAAAGATAAAAATAAAGGAAAGAACATGCAGTTCTTAAAGGAAAAAAATCCAAACTATTAATAGTCACATGGAAAAATACTTGAAATCACTAACAAGAGAAACATTCATTAAAACTATTAGGTTTCACACCTCGCAACCATCAGATTGGCAAAGATGACAAAAAAGGAAAATGACAACCGTTGGAAAAGAATTAATGCGCTACTGGTGGAGCTATGAACTGGTCCAGTTGTTCTGGAAAACTATCTTAAATTATACCTAAAAAAATCACTTAACCATGTATACATTTTTATCCAGCAGTACCACTACTAACAAAGAGATCAAAGAAAGAAGGACCCCATACATACAAAAATATTTCTAGCGCTTTTTTTGTAATAACAAAGGACTAGAGACTAAAAGGGAGTCCATCAATTGAGGAATGGTTGAATCAATTATGGTATGTGGCATTAAAAAATTAATTTTAATTAAGAAATGACAAAAGGGACGGTTTCAAACTTGGACAACTTATATGAACTGATGCAGAGTAAATGAACAGAATCTGGAGAACGATTTGCACAACAGCAACACTGGTAAGAAGAAAGATTTGATTCTGATCAATGCAACGACAAAATATACTTCCAAAGAACTAGAGATGAAATATTTTATTCACCTCTTGACAGAGAGGTGATGAACTCAAGATGCAGAATCAAAGATCTACTTATGGACACTGTCCATGTGGGGATTTATTGTACTTAACTATGCATATCTGATACAAAAGTTTTATTTTTCTTTCAATTTGCAGCTAGGAATAAGGTCACCAAAATGGAAAAAGAACAGTAAGCATTAAACACACACACACACACACACACACACACACACACACACACACACACGGAAGAGAACAGGTCACTAAGAACATAGATAACAAATAGATCAGGTCTGAGTTTATATATACTTAAGAAAAACAATCTGTTCATAACATAGATTTACAGCTTCATGGACAATTCTACTTTGCATAAGGAAATATTCATTTTATTTGGCATTGGTTGAATTCAGAATTTTTAAAAGAAAGAAAAAGAAAAGCAACTGAAGCACAATATTTCTACGATCAACATAACAATCTTTTTAGCATTCTAACTCCCAGCACTTTGAACAATGCATTTGACTATAAATCTTTTTGGGAGGTTTGGTGTATCAATTCTTGGTTCTTTTTTAATGTAAGGTGCAATGGCCCAATTCTTCAAAAAGTGATATGTACAAAGAATTATTATTCTGTAGAGACCAGTCTTCCTCAGAAGACTGAAAAGATAAAGCATAGACTGACTGCATAGTACCTTCCATATTTTATAGGTGCTATTTCAATGCAGCTATTAATTTCAAGTTGGTGAAATGTAGCATGCAGAGTCAAAAAGTTTTTAAGGTCTAAAGCCTACAGAGCTGCTGAGGGCTCTCTTTATCTCTTTCTAAAAAATATTTTTCAATCAATAAGCACATATTCTTCCCTGCCCACCTCCCACCCCTATTTAAAAAATAGAAAAACATCCTTGTAACAAATGCATAGTCAAGAAAAACAAGTTCCCACATTGGCCTAAACACAAATGCATCATCTGGCACCCTGTGAGTGTGCTTCATCATTGGTCCTCTGGGACTGTGTCTAGTCACTACATCAATCAGAGTTCTTATATTTTTCAAAGTGGTTTGTTTTTACAACACTGTTGCTACTATATACATTATTTTCCTGGTTCTGTTTGCTTCACTCTATATCAGTTCAAATAATTCTTCTATATTTCTTTGAAGCTATCCCTTTTCATCTTCTCTTATGTCATAAAATTATTCCATTACCTTCACTTATCATAATTTTTATTTCCCAATTGATGCACATCCTACCTCTTAGTTTCCAGAGTTTGTTGTTGTTGTTTTTGCCTCTACAAAAACAAAAAAAACCCCTGCTAAAAATACTTTTGTCATGTAGGTTCTTTTCCTTCTTATTTGATCTCTTTCTGGGTATAAAACTAGTAGTGGTATAATTGGGTCAAAATATGTGTAGTAAAACTCTTGGGGCATAAAATTCTAAACTGCCTTTGGGAATTGTTAGAACAATCAGAAATACCTCTGATGTGGATTAATTATGTCTGCCTTTTCACAACGTCTCTGACATTAACTATTTTCATTTTATGCCAATTTGCTGAGTGTAAAGTGAACCTTTGTTTTAAATCACATTTCTCTTATTATTAGTGATCTGAAGCAAATCCAAATTGGTTAACTACTTGCAATTCTTCTTTCATCATCTGTCTGCTCATATCCTTTGGTCACATCCACAGGAACTGCTGTTGAGATAACATTTATCTATGTTAATTCCCTATCTTGAATACTGGACATTAACAGAGATGAAATCAAAATCTTTAAAAAACTGAGATGCAGAACTTAATCAGAGAAACACATTTCATAAACTAAGGGACAGACAACATAAAAGGAAAAAACTGAGGTTAAAAACAAAGGCATCAATAAAACTTAAAGTAAAATGATACTAAACCTTACCTTTTAGTCCAGCTCTTTTTGAACTATCTATTGTTAAAAGGACTTCTATTGCACTCTGACAATTATCAGACAATTTTTCTTCATTTTCAGGCCAAGGAATATCTACAAATACAAATAAAGGTTTGTCATTTGTTGTTCAAATAAAACAAATTAGTAAAACAGGTCTTAACAGAAAAAAAAATTACCCCTTTTCAAAATATTCTGGAATACATGCTGTGGTGTTTCATCATTGAAGGGTGGAATTCCTGTTAGAAACTCAAATAAGCAAACTCCAAGGGCCCACCAATCTACTGCTGGACCTGAAATTAAAGAGAAAGTAGCTGAAATTGTAGAGTCATTTTCCAAGGTCAAAGTATGACTTTTCTTAAATAATTCTCCTTTAATGCTTCCTTTCCTATCTTCTAAGAGATTCGGGTTTATCTATATCACAGAATAAGCCAAAGAAAAAAGTATTTCTTGGTTGGCATTAATTTCATTATTTATATTAACATTCTTTATACTCCTAATATGGCATCTTTTATACAAAATTTAAAGACTTTGATGAAGTGACTGAGAATAAAAAAATCATTTAAGAAATAAGAATTACATTTTGATCTACTGCTTCCTATTCTAGCACTGGGCAACTTTCTCCATTATTTACTTTTTATGTTCTTATATGTTATTTATGTTCTTTTCTGAATATAGTCATGATTAAAATCTTAGCACACAACCAAAATAAGGATAGGATAATAAAAATAAGTTTCTTCTAAGATCGTTTCTCTATTTAAATAATCAAACAACGTGTCATTATTCCAATATTGATTTAGGTAAGATAGTTAAAAATGAAGCAACCTTTGATTTGATATGCTAATGTTCTTTTTTTTTTTTTTTGCTTTTTTGGTGAGGCAATCAGGGTTAAGTGACTTGCCCAGGGTCACACAGCTGGTAAGTGTCAAGTGTCTGAGGCCAGATTTGAACTCAGATCCTCCTGACTCCATGGCTGGAATTCTATCCCCTACACCACTTAGCTGCCCCTAATGTTCTTCTAATGGCAAAGTTAGCTAACTCTAAATTATCTTTAATACCCTGCTGTTTCAATTTGATGTAATTTTATTTTGCAACAAAATCCCTTTACTTTGGGCCAATTTATAGGAAGTCAAAATGTGGATTTTTTCAAGTGTAGTTTCTACTTTTAATTACATATAGCAATCCAAATTAGGCTTACACATTCATTCAGACTATGGCTTTAAGTACTGCTGTTGTTGTCCAGTCATTTTTCAGTTTCGTCAACTCTTTGTGACCCTATTTGTGGTTTCTTGGCAAAGATACTGGAGTGGTTTGCCATTTCTTCCTGCATCTCATTTTTCAGATGAGGAACAGAGGCAAACAGAGTAAAGTGACTTTCCCAGAGTCACACAACCTGAGATCAGATTTGAACTCAGGAAGATGAACCTTCCTGACTCAAGGCCTACCATTCTCCACTCCACTCTCCATAAGCTGCCCTTAGTAAGTACTCTGGGGATCTATTTTAATGGATAAGTTGATTTTTACATAGCATGTAAATTGTGTGCAGATAAATGGATGCTTTTAATGTACCTTAAAAGTTATTTGGAAAAGTATTTCAAATAATGATAGCAAAATATGCTTCTGATTTGGTCTATATTTGAAGAAGTCTGCTAAATTAAATAAACTTTGGTCCAGGTCCTATCTTAATTAGCACAAGTTCTATGTAGGAGTTCTAATGTACTACAGTGTTAAGACATACAAATATTAATTTATTAAAATTAATCAGAAGATAATTTCAAAAATATTTTTAGTTTTATTCAAGCAACTGCCACCATTTTATTATAAAAGCAGGCAAAGCAGTATGGAGAGTGCCAATAGAGTGAAAATTTAGAATACTTTTGCACCTATAATACAAAATAATACCTTCTCCCTAAAGCACACAAAATACAGATACTTGGTAAGCTTTGTTTTTTTTTTGTTTTCAGAAAAGCAGAAGTCCTCTAAGTCTTAAAAGAGTTAGTAAACCATGTAAAAAAACATTTAAAAATTTGCTTCTGTAGTTTTGTGTCTTTAAAAATATTTTAGACAAGTGAAACTTCCTTACACTGAAATAAGAATAGGAAGCCTAGAGAAAGCACATTTTTAGTTTTTTAAATACAGAAATTAAAGCCCCTTTCCCAGCTAAGTCCAAATGCGTTTATACCAAGAATAAATATGTGGATGTCTACAAATATATGCCATATATGCACATATGCTTCAGTCAAAGTCTAATAAGATCACAAGTTTGAAAAAGAATGATAAATGCTGCTAAATAGAATACATTAAGTCATCCAGATAAATAGGAAGAATAACTTTGTTTTATAAAACCTGGATGCTAAGATGAAACCCATTTCTAAAATCAGAAATGATAAAATGAAATGTGAATTTTTGTACATTCCTATTTTTGAGTGGTAATGGAATCAAAGTGATCGAGAATAATTTCCTAACTTCTCATTCCAGTTTGTCTGTCAGGTGCTCTCTTTATTACAAAGTGAGAGATTCAACTTATTTTATTACTGTAACATACTCATATTTCTCTCCACAGAAGATGAATCTTGCCATCATGGTCCTATCTAGATGCCTTACTACTCATGAAATAGTAAGGTAGTTGGCTCATATATATGAAAATCAAATTTTAAAAAAATCTCCTTAGTAATATGATCTAGTTATACTTTGACTGTTCTGTTTAGTCAAATATATTTTATATAAAGTTCACTCACCAGAAGTCACAAATCCTGCATATAAGAGAACAGCAATTAGGCACAGCAATTACAAATCCTGAATAACACTCTATGAAGTGTTAATGAGAAGGACTTCAACCCCTGTTCATCCTTTCTGCCATATTAGTATCAGTATCTAATACACTGTGGCATAGTGGATAGAGCACTGGGCTTAGAGTCAGGAAGACCTGAGGTCAAATTAAGCCACAGATACTTACGAGCTATGTGACCTGGGGCAAGTCATTTAACCTGTTTGCCTCAGTTTCCTCATCTGTAAAGAGGGGATAATAAGAACACCTACCTCGGGGCAGCTAGGTGGCACAGTGGAAAGAGCACTAGCCCTGGAGTCAGGAGGACTTGAGTTCAAATCTGGCCTGAGACACATAACACTCACTAGCTGTGTGATTCTGGGCAAGTTACTTAACCCCAATTGCCTCACCAAAAAGCAAACAAACAATAAAAACACCTACCTCTGGCAGTTGTTATGAGGATCAAATGAGATAATAATGGTAAAGTGCTTAGCATAGTGCCTGGCACATAATAAGTGCTATATAAATGTTAACTATTACTATTATTATCATCAAACATTTACTTATTAAAGTCAGTCAATTGTTCCCTGAAATATAAATGCTGTTAATCAGCTAATTTTGTTATTTTAATAGAATAAATATAAACAAATGTTTCATAAGTCATTTTTCACTACAAAAAGTAAGTAATAAACCAGCACCCTAATGGTTACAGTTAAGGTAACTAGCTATACAACTAAAAATAGGATCTTGCGAAGTTACTCCTTAAATCTGGAATTTAAAAAAAAATTCTTACTTTTATAATATGATATGGAGAGATAGCTTTTTGAGGTCAACCATGGAGTACCAACTAGGACTGAATCAAAGACTTAGGCCTGGATTCACAGTCCCATGCCTGCACTGAAAGGAAAAGGGAAGGGAATAAGCTTTTATTTAGCACCTACTATGTGCCAGGCACTGTGCTAATTAAGTGCTTTACAAATATTATGTTGTTTTATCTTCACAGCAATCCTGGGAGGTAGGTGCTATTATTATCCTTTTTACAGATGAGGAAAGTGAGGCAGAAAGTGGTTCAGTGTCTCATCCAGGGTCACCTGGCCCAGCAGTTGGGTATAAAAACCACTGAACAAGGTGCTAGGCAAACTCGATTCTTAGCCCTGGCTCTATGACCCTGGGCAAAGAATCATTCGGTCTAGGGAGGCCTCAGTTTCCTTACACATAAAATGGGGGATTATTCTGGATCACCTCTACAAAGTTCTTTCTAGCTCCAATCACAAATTAATTTTAGTCTTTCCAAGAACTTTTTATCTAAAATCACAGGATCCTAAAGCTAGAGCTGCAAATGAATTTGGATGTCATCTTGTCCCTTTCAGAGGTCAGGCTGAGACCAAGAGAAAAGTCACATGCCTGACATCACCCAGGTGTGTGACTTTTATAAGCTGAACTCTTTTTATTTTGGAGCTCAACCCCAAAGCAGAATGAAATAAGTTTATCTTAAAATACAAATAAGTAATAACAAACACTTCAATAACTGAGTTTGTGTATCCTACCATGAGAGCTGCTCAACAACAACTCAGGTGCCAAGTAGTCAGGGGTTCCAAGAATTCGCCCACCATCCACTGGGGCTGCTCCTCGTCTCACACTCTTTGGGGTTCGGTATGGAGTCCCTGACTTTGCCTGATGTGGAGTCTGCTACAACAGTTTAAAAATCACAATAAAAGTCTTTAATCCTTTAATATTTAAATATTGTAGCACTTTGCCACCCCAAGAGGAATGAAAGTTGCTAAATTATAGCCTATTAGACATATAACATGTACTTGATAAATGCTTGATTATGTGAAATTACAATTGTTAAAGTACATTTTTTCTCCTGAAAATGGAATTATAATAGGGCATAATTCTGAAGACTTTCATAACAGTCAATGAACAATAATCCTGGGGGGGGGAAAAAGGATATTCGATGAATTGCCAGACTTTCAGAATTTTGTTGCAAAAAGACCTGAAATCAACAGAAAATTTGACATACAAGATTCAAGAGAAATATCAGGTAAACATCAAAGACTAATTACAAGGGGCTCAATGAGGACAGACTTTACTTTTTATACGAGGAAATGTAAATCATATGTCTAAGACTGTTATTAGTAATTGCGTAGTTCAAAAGAGAGATTGTGGTAGAGCTGAGTATGATGTGATACTAAAAAGTAAACTGTCTAGGAAAAGATAAAAAGAGTAATTATTTTATACAAATGAGGTGCAAGAGAATATAAAAATATATCCGTGCTTAATTGTAGCCTTCTTGGGGGATAAAGGGTAAGAGAAGAACAAAGCGCTTTGTAAAATGCAAAACACTATGTATGTAGATTTAAGTAGTGACATTTAAGGTAACACGGTAGTATTGAACTAAGGAGATTTAGATTTGTAGGAGCAGATAGAACATGCTTGAAAATTAACTTCTCGACAACAGGAACTGATCAAAATACTAGGACTCATTAAAAAGGGAGACAAAATGAGTTATGAAGGCAATAGAATAATTAGAAATAAGAAGGTATAAATAACCTCTTACACTTATATGGTGGTGTACAACTTTACAGGTATTTTCTCAGTACTTTCATATGAATTATCTCATTCGCTCTTTGTAACACAATACCCTAATAAAACAGTCAGGTTATTACCACTATTTAACTCAGAAGCTGAGGGACTTGCTCAAGCTCACTGTGCTTATTAAGCTACATTGTGTTGCCTCTTAAAAGAGGGGGAAAATGAGTTTGTAAATAAAAAGATTGTCAGGAAATGAGTATTTTCAAAAGAATTTATATTTATGAATTGAATTTTTGTAATGGAAAGAGAGCCTGTGTTTGAAAAAGAATCAGGGCAGCTAGACAGTGCAGTGGATAGAGCACAGGCCCCGAAGTCAGGAGTATCTGAGTTCAGACACTTAATAGCTGTGTGACCCTGACTAAGTCACTTAACCCTGACTGCCTCCCAAAAAAAGAAAGGGAAAAAATTATCAAAATGCCTAGTATACAAAGTACGCACGGTTATTGTTGCTGTTTGTCTTTTGTTTTCAAAGAAGATCAATGATATCACAAGGTGATGTCTTAACTTGCACATGAATTAGATTTAAGTAAGGCAAAGTTGCACAAAGTCATTAGCTGCACTCTCTCTTTGGAGAGAACAAACTGTTGTCATTCACCCATCCCACTGCGGGAAATCTTCACACGCTTCAGGTAGGCACCCTCCTAACTCACAGATGAGTCTGAAGCCTGATGGCTACCCTCAACCTGGTTCAGCCCATCAGCCAAAATGGTTTAACTGGGGTGTGGCCACTGAACATGTTATAGCTTCCCACGGGTAAGAGTTGGCTGATGGTGGACACCAAAGGTGCGTAAGCAGCCCTGAAAAGGGCCCAGCTGGCCCTCAGAGGAGCAAGTCCTCCCTGAACACCCCATATGTGAAACAACAATCAGAATACCTGGATCATAATCTAGTCCTAGCTATAATACAGATTCACATTGGAAAAATAACTTAGGATCTCTATATTTAAGTTTCTTCATCCAGAAAATGAGAATAGTACTTATTTACCTCACAGAATTATATCATTCAAATGAAAGAAGTCATATGAAAACACTTTGAAAGTATTGTGTTATGCAAACATTAGGTGGAATTATTGTTACATGATTTATGAGGTAAATACTTTTTTGCAATTAAAAGGTAAAAATTCGTTAGAAAAATTAGATGCATACCTGATATGCCAAAGATGACTTATCTTTTTGAGCAGGGGTACATGACATGGGATAAGAACCAGTATAAGCATAGGAGATGTCCATTCTTTCCAAAGAAGCAATACTAATTTTTGATGGTTCAGATGCATTGGATGTATTTATTTGACTGCTATAACTTCGAAAAGCGACGGCATTTTTCTTAAATAGATTTAATGCTTTTACCACCTCTGATGAGGGAGGGGCTAGCATGCTATAAAGTTTAGCATCCTGGATGTCCTCTCTGGGCAGGTTATTTTCCTGACCGCTTGATGATGTGGTCAGTTGGTCTTCAATTTTTGATTCTTCAAAAGAGAATTCTTTAATACTTTTATCTTGATCCAAGGAGTGGTTTTCTAAAGAGCTTTCAACAACAGACATTCCAGGGAAAGACGTATCAGACTCCATACATATACTTTTCTGAGCTCTATCATCATCAGAATATAGAAAACTAGAACCCAAAGACTCTCTCTTACTGTTTTTTTCACAGTCTTCCTCTAGTTCACACATAAGATTTTTCTCTATCATTACAGTAACTGATCTTTCTGGTGTCTGTTGCTCACAAACAGAACTGTTGACAATATTCTCCTTGTTATCACAGTCAACTTGATGGCTTCTGTCCCCAGACAGCATAAAGCAGTGGATGTCAGATGTCAAACCTGTATCTTGTTTTGAATAAAAATCAATGGTATAACCACGTCTATACTCTGAACTGTTTTTTTTGTTCTGAATAATCTCCTCACAGGGACTAGAGTCAACTAATTTAAAGCTCCTCTTTAAGCCTTTTTTCCCTTCAAGATCCTCAACCACATCACCTTTGCCAGGATCCACTAAAAAATGATATGGTTGCTGGAAACCACGCTCTACAGTCTCAGTACTAATACAATCTTTATTTATTGAAAGTTCTTTTGCTTCCCAAACTTTATTTTCAGAAAGGCATTTTCTAACAAGATTTTTGGCTTCTGAAGTAACTGATGAGGCAGTTCCGACATCAGCAGGTATGAAACCATTACTAACACCAATTGGAGAAATAGCTGACTCAAGATCCTTCGTCTTTAAACTTTTGGTTTCTTTAGCATTCACAAGTTTAGTACTTGAAGGCTTTTCCACTGCATCAACACTCATTTTCCTAGATACAGAACCAAGTACATCATCACTTTCCTAAAAGAAAAAAAAAATTACAACTTAATAATTCCACTCCAACTTTTGACAAATTATTTCACATTCCTTCTTCCATTCAAGCAGACTTTCAAAAACTATTGTTAATCATCTATTAGGTATTAGCATTATGCTAAGCTTTGAGGGGGATTCAAAGTCATGCAGGTTGATTCTTTTCTTTATGGAGCTTACAATTTAGCAGGAAATAGAACACACATACATAAAAATATGCAAATCACTTAAAAACTATAGTGTAGAAAATGAATAGTCATTTCACAAGAGTTCAGTGTGCTTTGTACGATTAGAGCAAGGCTTTTTCAAAATTAGCATTTGAGCTGGGCCTTGGAGGACGGTAGGACTTCAAAATGTAAAAGGGGATTAGGAGCTGGGGGCAGGGGGGTGAATGGTATGTCAGACACAGGAAGTGTTCAATGCACCTAATTGACAACAAGGAGACAGTTTGGATAAACAGAGGACATATGGAGGGGGTAGTATAAGAAAAAGAAAGAGACACAAGGTTGCAGAGAGCTAAGTTAGGCTAAAACATTTGCCAAGCAACAGGAAACCACTGAAGGATTTTAAGCAGATCTATGCACTGTGAAAGAAATTAAAGGGCAAAGAGGCTAGAGGCAAGCTGGAGCATCCACCACAACTAATGACTTGAAGAATACTTTAGCACTGAGAATGAGGAAAAAATAGCAAGCAAATAATTTTATTAAGTGGGAAACTTTCCAAATAATACCACTATATTGGATGGAGATAAGGGCTGGACCTATTACATTACTGGTACAGAGAACTCTTGGGTGAACACATTCCCTCCTCCAATTCAGGGTCCGTATCTTCTCTGTACCTTATAGTCCTAGAGCTGTAGAACACTGAGAAGTTAAGTGACCTTCCAAGGGGCCAGTGTTGTGTCTAAGGTAGGACTGGAAGCCAGCCCTCTATCCATTATGCCAGGCTCACCTTATATAATATCATTATGACAAGATTAAATCAACTTGTGGGAAGTACAAAGCTATTGCAACAGTTTATCACTTATCTTTTACATTTATTGCTTTGAACTGGAGCTGTGATTTTATCAATGGAGAGAATTCCTGGTGAAGAAACTTCTTCCTTGCCAATTCACATCAGTACATGCTCTGTAAGTTGCATTTCTTCAGACAGTTAGGGGAGGCACTAAAAGGTTATTCAGTTTGCCCAAGCACACAGCCAGTATGGTGAGACAAAGACAATACCTGAACCGAGGTCTTCCTGACTCAAAGCTGGCTCTCTATCCACACTGGTGAATGGTGGTGACTATAGTCTGCCTCGAATGAGGTAGTCTTAAAGATTATTATCAATTTTAATTTCACTTTACTAAAATTCAGACTAAACATGCAAATTAATGTAAAATAAAGTTGAAAAATAATCGTGCTAAATACTAAATTATTTTTAAGAGTATAGTTGCATTAAATTAGTGGTTAAAAGCCCTCTAGGCTAGAAAAAGTGACCACTGTACTAAGTATGTAGAATTAGCTTCCTCTTAATAAGCTTTGTGTATTGAGGGCAAAGATTCTAATTCTTTTAGCTTCTCATGGCTTGCTGGTTTGTTTTTTTCTCTGTTATGATGAAAGAAAATCTCATTACTAGCTACAGCTCTTATATCTCTGGCAACAACACAAAACCCCATCTTATTTAATTTTACCTTTAAACGTTGCCCTTAAAACCACAAGTTACATATAATTGTACTCATGGCAAAATATAATCTGCATTAATAGACACAAATGTTGGGAGAAGAAAAAAAAAAAAAAGAAAAATATGGCCTAACAAACATCTGTGAATCCCATGTGATTTCTGAGAAACACATGAACCTTATATGAAGATATTACCTACTACTCTTTTTAATCACTAATATTTGTAGAGACCATGAATTTTTAGTTAAAGGTGGAGAGTATAGCTATCACAAGTAAACCAACTAATCATACCGAAACACTGCATGGCAGGTATGGGATAAGCTCAAGACACTTCATATTAATATATTTAGGAAAACGAAATCTTAGCCTATCGGTGGAACAATAACAATTTAACATTTTTAAGGTCTATAATCCATCACATTCATTCCAAATTCAGTTAGGAATATTTATTCCACAATTTTTTTTCAGAAGACAGTCTATAACCCAGTCTAAGAGAGAATAGTTAGCAGAATAGAGAATAATAGAGAACAAAGAATATTAGGTTAAATATGGACAGCTATGCAGTTTACCACTATAATTTACATGACATACATTATTACTGGGGGGAGGGTAACTGCTACTTTAACCTGGTTGTCCTGTTCCCATCTGGGGCTGCTGCAGCACTCGGACTCCAAACTGGACACAAAAGTGTGAGACTGGCTACTGGTACTAGAAGTACCAAGCGTGTTTCTGGATTGTAGGAGATTTGGAGTCAGATACTTCACTGGCATTGCGGGGTTTAAAACAGCAGTATCAAGACCTTGAAATGAAGAAATATTAAAAGTGCACATACTTCAACACTAAAATTTAAAGTTTATGCTTATATTTCTTTTGCTCTAATTTAACTGGACTTTCCACTTTGCCTACAATCAATAGAATAAAATCATCTATGCTAGAAAGAGAACTATTTACTATGTAACATTAACATTTAACCCAAAACAATACTATCTTTTTCTGCCAGACATACATACTGGTTACTACATGTACAACTTACAGACATATTCATGAAGACTAGTAAATTATTTAGAAGCTAAAATATAATAATGAAAACCCAAAGTTAAATCAAGAGTCCGTTAGTAGAGGCAAATGTTATTAGTCTAAAATCAAGACTAAGACTAATCAACCAGTTTGTTTCATCCTAAATCTCTCTTCCCTTTCTCAGCCAAACTCCTAGGCAAAGGGGTCTAAAGTTCACATCTCAATAGCCTCTCCCCTCATGCCACTGCAATCTGGCTTCTAATTTCATTATTCAACTGAAACTACTCTCTCCAGAGTCATCAATGATCTTTTAATTGCCAAATCCAATGACTTTTTCTTGATTGTCACCCTTGACTTCTCTGCATCCTTTGACACAACAGTGGCACCATCTTCTTGATACTCGATTCTCTTGAGATTTTTGAGTCATTGCTCCCCCTTGATTCTCTGAACTCCCATCCATCTGACCACTCCAATGCTCAGAAAATGCTGGATCTTCATTCAGGTCACCGCTAAAGGTGGATATCTCTCCTCTTGTTATGGGTCTTATTCTTTTCTCCCTCTATACTATTTCATTTGGTGATGTCATCAGCTTCTACAGATTCAATTAATTATCTTCTCTAAGCAGATAATTCGTAGGTCTATTTTTCTAGCCCTAATCTCCTCTGACATTCAGTCTCACATCTCCAACTACCTATCAGACATCTCAAATTATAAGTCTCATAGACATCTCAAATTCAACACACCTAGGATTGAACTTTTTATCTTTACTCAAAACCCTCCCCCCACTTCCTAACTTCCCTATTAGTGTCAAAGGCACCACCAATCTCCCAGTCACCCAGGCTTTCAACCTAGGTACATATCATCCTGGACTCCTAAAGAATCTGTTGCCAAATCCTGTTGACTCTACCTTCTCAAAAGTCTCTCCCTTCTTTTGTTTTTCCTCCAGTGTTAAAAGCTCAAGCTCAGTTTATTATCCTGTGTCTTGTTCATTTCTATGTCAATGTATTCTTAAAGACTTATTTATTTTTAACATTTTTTTTTAATAGAGGTCCAAATTCTCTCCTTCCCTCTAGTCTCTCCTCCATGCATTAAGAAAGCAGGAATATGATATCAATTATACACATGAAGTCATGCAAAACATATTTCCACATTATCCATGTTGTAAAAATAAAATAAAGAAAAATAAAAGGAAATGGAAAAAGTATGCTCTAATCTGCACTCCTATCAGTTCTCTTTCTGGAGGTTGATAGCATTTTTCCATCATGAGTCCTTTGGAATTATCCTGGATCACTGTACTGATCAGAGCAGCTAAATCTTTTACAATATCACTGCACAATATTCTTCTGGTTCTGCTTAATTCACTTTGCATCAGTTCATAAATATTTTTCCAGGTTTTTCTGAAACCACTGCCCTCATTATGCCTTATAGCACAATAGTATTCTATCACAATCATATATCACAACTTGTTCAGCCATTCCCCAACTGATGGGCAACCCTTTAATTTCCAATTCTTTGCTACCACAAAAAGAATTGCCGTAAATATTTTTGTACAAATAGGTCCTTTCCCCCTTTCTTTGATCTCTTTGAAATACAGACCTAATAGTGGTATTGCTGGGTCAAAGGGTATGCAGAGCTTTATATATCTCTTATATACTTGTTCTCCAGAATGGACCAATTCACAACTCCACCAACAGTGCATTAGTGTCTCAATTTTACCACATCCCCGACAGCACTTATCATTTTCCTTTTCTCCCACGTTCTGATAGGTATGAGGTGGTACCTCAAAGTTGTTTTAATTCGCATTACTCTAATCAGTAGTGATTTAGGGCACTTGTTCACATGACTATTAAAAGTTTTGATTTCTTCTTCTGAAAATTGCTTGTTCCTATCCTCTGATCATTTAGCAACTGGGGAATGGCTCTTATTTTTATAAATTTGGCTCAGTTGCCTATATATGTGAGAAATAAGGCCTTTATCAGAGACGCTTGCTATAGCTGTAAATTTTTTCCCCCAGGTTCTTGCTTTCCTTCAATTTTGGATGCACTGGGTTTGTTTGTGTAAAGCCTTTTTAATTTCATGTAATCAAAATTATCCATTTTACTTCCCACGATCCTCTCTATCTCTTGTTTGGTTATAAACTCTTCCGTTATCCATAGATCTGACAGGTAGACTTTTCCATGCTTCTCTAATTTGCTTATAATCGCCTTTTATATCTAAATCATTCACATACTTTATCTTAGTAAATGATGTGAGATGATGGTCTATGCCTACTTTCTGACAAACTGCTTTCTAGTTTTCCCAACAATTTCTGTCAAAAGGTGAATTTTTGCCCCAAAAGTCTGTTCTTTGGGTTCATCAAACCCAAGATTACTATAGTCATTACTACTGTATATTGTGTACCTAATTCATTCCTTTGATCCACCATTCTATTTCTTAGCCAGTCCCAGATTCTTTTGATGATTACTACTTTGTAACATAGCTTGAAATGTGATGCTGCTAGGCCACCTTTCTTCACATTTTTTAAAAAAAATTTCCCTAATATTCCTGACCTTTCGTTCTTCCAGATGAGTTCTATTATTTTGTTCAGCTCTATAAAATAATTATTTGGTGGTTTCATTGGTGTAGCATTCAATAAGTAAATTAGAACTGTAATTTTTATTATATTGGCTTGGCCTGTCGAGCAATGAATATTTCTCTAATTGTTAGATCTACCTTTATTTGTGTGAAAAGTGTTTTGTAATTGTATTCATATATAGTCCCTGGTTTGTCTCAGCAGGCAGACTCAAGTATTTTATACTGTCTGTAGTTACTTTAAATGAAATTTCTCTCTTCTTGCTGGGTTTTGTTAGTAATATGTAGAAATGCTGATGATTTGGGTAGGTTTATTTTATATCCTACAACTTTACTAAAGTTGCCAATTGTTTCAACTAGTTTTTTCACTGATTCTCTAGGGATCTCTAAGTATACCATCATATAGTTTGCAAAGAGTGATAATTTTGTTTCCTCATTGCCTATTCTTATTCCTTCAATTTCTTTTTCTTGCCTTATTCCTATAGCTAGCATTTCTAGTACAATACTGAATAATAATGGTGACAATGGACATCCTTGCTTCACCTGATATTATTGGGAAGGCTTCTAGTTTATCCTCAGTACAGATAATGCTTGCTTTTGGTTTTAGATAAATATTAACCTTTTTGAGAAAGGCTCCATTTATTCCTATGTGAGTGTTGTATTTTGTCAAAAGCCTACATCTATTCACATAATCATGATTTTTGTTGTTGTTTATTGATATGATCAATTATGCTTATAGTTTTCTTAATACTGAACCAGTCTAAATTCCTGGTCATAGTATATGATCTTTGTGATATATTGCTGTAATTGCTTTGCTAGTATTTTATTAAAAATTTTTTTTGCATCCATATTCATGAGGGAAATTGGCCTATAGTTTTCTTTCTCTGTTTCTGCTTTCCCTGGTTTAGGTATCAAAACCATATTTGTGTCATAGAAGGTATTTGGTAGAATTCCTTTTACCTCTATTTTCAAATAGTTTACATAGTATGGCAATAATTGTTCTTTGAATGTTTGGCAGAATTCACTTTTAAATCCAATTTTTCTTTTCTTTTTTTTTTTTTTGGCTGTTGATAGGTATTTATTATTTCATCAAGAATATAAAATGTTGTCTTATTATTGAGTGTTTCTCATCTTCCCTTTCAACTGACATTTATACTAATGGATTTTTTACTCCAAGAGAGGCGATATGTATCCTATTTGAACAAAAATTCATTTCCTTAAGGCATTTTAAGGACTCCAAAATACACATTACATATGTAATTTAAAAAAAAAGATTCAATAGTACTCTAAAACCTACTTATTACAATGATATTTATCAGAACATGCTAAATCTAGCCAATATATTTCATATAGAATTAGATATCACTATATCCAAAGATTTACTGAGGTTTTAAAATTTTTATTTCATATATTATATTTATATATTATGTGTGTATATATATATATATACTTATGTATTATTTATATTTATACTTATTATTTACTGTATTTCCTGAAGACACAGCTTGATTCATTCAGCATGAATGTTGTACTGAAGTTCTAGGTTTTTGGGTTTTATTTGCCCCAAGGCACAAGCTAACAAGTACATTTTGTCGCTATCACACCTTCATATTTTTTATAAGCAACAGAATCATCAGGCTCAATAGTCAAGACACTCAAGGGGCTGGAGATCTTTTTCCTAGGGTTTCTCCCTCCTTATACATATGTCCCCTTCTCACCTCTGACAGTGATGCCACCCTGATGTAGGTTATTTCCTGTAGCCTTCAGTCTCCTTGCCTCCACTCTTTTACCATCCATCCTCCATTCAGCTTCCACAGTGATCTTCCCAAAATGAAGTTCTGACTATGTTACTCTTTACTAGCCCCTTCTTATCTACTCAGCCTTCTTCACGTTACTCTCTTCTAAACATTCTATGATGCAGAGACACTTAGCCTCCTTACTGTTTCTAGTACAACACACACCATCTCACAAGTCTGCACCTTTTCCCTAGCCATCCTTCACCACAGAGTGTCTACAAGCTCAGGCACACACTTGGCCAGTTAGTGCTCATAAATCTTTCAGGACATCTGAAGAGCAGTAGACCTCAATGATAAGGATTAATGGCACAGGTAAAGCTTTTTCACTATGTAAGCAAGAGCAATCTAAGATTGCACTGCTGGCAAAGACATATTACAAGCCTCACATGGATATGGCTATGTGTATCAGCATGAAAGAGGCTGCTGCAAGACCAGAAGAAACCTTACAGACTCAAAGAGTATGTCTTTCATCTAACAGTTTCTGAGAATAACATTCACACTCCAAGTACCTGCTTCTAACCAAGAACCAGCTGCCTGTAACCCAATTCTGCAATAATTCCTTTAATTAATCTCACCAGAACATACATATCTGATTGTGCCTGGATTTTGCTCTTGTCTTTATGTGATGCAAGCATAAAATATTTACCATGTAACTCTTCACTGAATGGACATTAGCTTTTAAATGTTGGGAATTGGGCAGGAAATCCTGATTACTTCTCCAACCCTTGGAATTAGCTCTACAAATCCACAACATGACTCAGTATAATAAATAGGCAGCCATACCTTTTGTAGATGTTTCACAACATATCTCACTATTTTCGAATGTATGAAAATACTGTTGTGATTAATAAAACACAAATCCATTTAGAGACACTACTAAATTCACACAGAAATCTTTTCATGTATTTTCCTTAATTAATGGAAACCAATAGTATATGACTTCCATCACGCACAAGTTCATGAAATTTCTTGACATCAAAAAAAGGGTGACTGTACCAAAAACGCTAGGAACCAATGGCACACCACATAGTATGGTATCATTTGTTTAGTGGTCCCTCAAACACTTGCAGATTATGAGGCATCTTTCCTGTACCTATAAAAACACTACCAAATTGTTGACCTAATAAAGCTACCACAATGCATATCAAAAAGGATATTTATGTATATAATTTGACATATCAGATTACTCCAAATATTTTCCAATATTTAAAATATTGTTCTTAATTGTGATCAGTGATTGGAGATTTTATCTTTTTATAGAGCTTTGCAAAGTAAACATTATTATTTAAAGGAAAGCATTTTTTATTTTAAACCATTCATTCAATAAATATTCACGGAACATCTCATGTGCAAGATATTATAAGCCATAAATTATTTGCTAGATATATTTATACATACTCACATGATTGAAGAAGTTTACTTGAATACAGAGCATTATCCTTTTGATCTATAGACATAGGACAATAAGAATCCTTAGAAAGCTGTGAAATTTCTGATACAGGGTTTGAAATAGCTTCAACTGTTTCTTGCATTTTCTCATCACTTGGTGTGTACTATGAAAAAACAACAACAACAACATAAAATAACCACCCCACTGTTTAAAATTCAATAAGCAGAACAATTAGAGTTAAATATACAAAACATTAAATTTGGCTAGAATTCCTGATGTGCTTAAAATTTTATCTGTCCTAATTTTCACCAAATTTTTTAAAGTATGGCATATAAACACTTAAAAATATTTAAATGTATGTTTGGAAGGGGATGGGTTACACAGATCTTTGTGGTCAAACACTTACAAATCCCAGAGAGCTGATGAGAGACAAAACTTGTCCTGGAGTTCGTGAATAGTCCTGTCTGGGTTTAGGCATTGATGGTGTTGTAAGAATATCCAGCATATTAATTTCTAAATAAGTAAGAGGAAATACTGCTATATCAATTCATTTAAAAATACTCATCTGTCACTAAGTCATTAGTCATTTCCTTGAAAAAGCCCAGCATATAACAAGCCCTCTTAAAAATCTATTTTGCATTACAACAATGTACCAGCAGAAGTCAGTATATCATAAACAAAGAAAAGAAATATCATACTAGCCAACTAAATCAGTTTACTGAATAGTTAATGTGATCAAGCTTTTCTTCTAAATGAACAACTAATCCAAACTGGAATTCTCAGCTGGTTATTTGTGAATAACCAGAGTGCTCAATAACTAGGGAAAATTGCTAAACTATATGGAGAAGAATATTCCTTGGAATGTCATTTTGTGCTATAATAATACTTCTTTGAATTATGACATTTATTGTCATTAGATGAATCATCATTATGACTCTGTAGGTAACAGGTTTTTCTACTTTTATTCATCCCTCACATTTATGAAATAGGACCAATGGATACAGAAACAATAATGGATGGTGTCCACCACCACCATCAAAAGGATTCTAAAGCAACATACTTTAATGGATTAATAATTTCTAAGGGACAAGTATTATCACCTAGACAGACCTAGAAGTATTCAAGGAATTGCAATTCCAAGAGTGTCTTTCTCTGAACAAAGTTCATGGCCATCATTTATCAGTAATGATCTTAAATGAAATATCTACTTTTGGAGATATAAGATTAGGAGGTAAGCAATTTCCTCGTGAGTTATCTTTAGTGGAGGAAGATATCATAGAACTTTCCACTACACCTTGGAGTAAATAATCACTGGGTTCCTCACAAGTGTCAACTAACAAAGAAAAAAGTCAAACAATAAAATATAACTAAAAATGTTTGTGTTTTTTTCTTAACTTACCAAATATTTTCTTACCTCTATTCAAAGCAACCTTGGAAAGGCCAAAATCTGTCAGTTTAATATGGCCCTCATTAGAAATAAGCATATTATCTGGTTTCAAGTCCCTGTATATTCAAAAAAATTACACAATCTAAAATTAGTTGGTAGAGAAAAGCTAGAGTGAACATACAAATCTCTTGAAGAAAATGGAAGGCAGTTCATGGACACTGGGAAGGCCAGCTTCTCAAAATTTAAGTCTTCTCACCCTCTCCAAAATACATGCATTTTGCGCTTTACCTTTCTAAAATCCCACCTAAAAAAGCACTAGATAAATGATTACATCTCAAAAACAACATATTCTCTATACTTGCCATTTTGCCTATCTAAGCTGGGATAGAAGCCTACTGATGCCATCCTGAATATTAGGTCACAAAACAAGTTCACCTATATGGCCTATATGATCCTCCCCTTATCTCTCTAGAGGAGGCAAGAAGAGCAGAAACAAAGTTTAAAAAATTTGGAAATACAGGTGAGTTGATAAATAAGAGGACTGGTAAGGTTAAAGAAAAGCCACTAAGATTAAAAGGTTCTGCTCTATCACACCTACGTCACTAAAAACAACAGGCTAGCTAGGTTAGTGCAAGGCCCTGCTGGAGGCAGCAAAATCAAGCAGTCAATACTGTTCCCACAAATGCTATGCTACAACCCCAGCAACTTTTCCAAAGCAGCAATGGAGGAGCAACGCAGAACTGGCAATAACTTGAAGATAATGGAGCAATGAAGCAAATCCCCAAATTCAGCAAGCCTGCTACTGGACTTCAGTATTTTAGTATAAATTATCACACTGTCGGGTAAATATTTAGAGATTAAAATTAAGTCAGTCGTTACCTGTGAATTATTCCATGTCTATGAAGGTAATCCAGAGCTAGTGCTACTTCAGAAATATATTTCACAGCCATTTCTTCATCAAAATAACCATATATATGTAAGAGAGATTTGACGTCTCCACCGATTAGATATTCCATCACCTGTCACAAAAGCATTAATACATTTTAATTATAGTTATTTTAAATATATTAACCATCTAGCATTATAATTTGCAATCTAATGAAAGTTTAATATAACATTTAAAATCACATGATGGTACACTACAACATAACCACAGAACTAAATAACTAAGAACATAGCCTACAGGAAACTTCACTATCCTCTACCAGTGGTGAGGAATCTGTGGCTTTGAGGCCAAATGTGGCTCTCTAGGTCCTCAGGTATGGTCCTTTGACTGGATCCAAACAGAACATATCCCCTTATTATAAAGATTTGTTCTGTAAAACTTGGACTCTGTCAAAAGGCCACACCCAAGGACCTAGAAGGCTACACCTGGCCTCGAGGCCACAGGTTCCTCACCACTGCTTCTAGACCAGCGCTTTTAAACCGGGGGTCTCGACCCACAGTGCAAGAAGTGCTGAAGGGGTTGCAAGTGGAAAAAGTTTAAGAAGCCCTGCTCTGGACAATGGGCATCAAGTTTTTTTGATCACGTAGTCTCATACTGTATATTTACTTATTAAGCATGACACTATGAATAGAGAGTTGGTTGTAGATTCTGGAAGACCTGGCTTTAGGTATTACCTCTGATAATACCTATCAGTATTAGGTATTAATACACAGTCACTGACTGTGTGACCCTAGGTATGTCCCTTAACATCTCACTGCCATGGGTAACTCTCCAAGACTATAAGCTACAGAGAAGAGAACAACCTTCATCAGTAAGAATTTCTCTACAAAGAAGTATGAAATAAATCACAGATCCAATCCCTATCTCTATCTAAGCTATACCGATGTACTAATATACAAATAATTATGTACATTATCAAACTTGTGCCAAAATAGAGATTTTTTGAAAATGAGAGAAAGATGAAGTAATACTTGATCCTAGAGTTGATAAGGAGTCAATGGAGTTAAACGAGTAGAGGAATGATAAGGTCAAACCTCACTTTAGGAAATTCATTCTAACAGTTATGTGAAGGATTAATTTGGAGAGACTTGCAGGGAAAAGACCAATTAGGAGGTTCTTGCAATAGTACAGGACGAAGGTAACAGAGTTCTAAACTAGGGTAGTGGTTACATGAATAGAAAGAACAGATGAAAGAGATATTTTTGAAATAAAAATGACATGATTCGACAACTGATTACATATATAGGAAGAGGGAGAACAAGGAAGGGGGAACTTTGGAGCCTGAACAGCAGGAGAGATCAGAGTGAGGTAAGGATGCATTGGGAATCGGTATAGTTATGTTGGAGAGAAGCCCCATGATTGGCTATTATGGGGAGGGTGAGATGCAAACCATCTTCCCACCCTTCAACTGGTTGATCATAAACTCCTTGGGGTCATGTGATAGTAGTACCATCTTTGGAGACTTAGGGAACTGAGGGTATTAGGTCAGCAAGAGGTTAACTGTGGGAACTGAGTAAACCACACTGACCATCTTGTGACTCAATTCTGTAGCTAATTCAGTTCCCTTTCTATTCAGTTATGAGTCTAGTCCAATTTCTATCTTGTGAGAAAACCTTATTTAATTGTAGGAACTGAGAGAAAACCATAAAGTACTGTATGAACCTAGCCCTATGTGGCTGGGAAACTGGACCACCTCTACCTGCTGTTTAGAGACTTTTAACTAAAGACGAAGGTAATGCTGACCAGAAACTCAGTCATATTCAAAGACTGACACAAGGAGTTTTCTCACAATTGTACATCTCAAGCAACCCACGTGTCTCATCTGAAAATTAGTCCCATAATGATTAATCAATTATTGTTTCCATATTCCTTTGATTGTTTACAGACGCTTGTGGGGGGGGGCACCACCTTTTTACAAATTCAGGGAATTACACCTATTTGCTCACCTACTCCCAACTTGTAAGACCCTAATCTTTCATCCAATTAGAAATCAGATTATCTAATGTTGTATAGTTTCCTTTTAATTAACTGGACATATTTGATTAATTGTTTTTAACCTATAAAAGTCTGTCTTCTCCTGTATTCAGGCTCCAGTACCAAAGCTGAGAAAGGCTACTGGTTGTGATTTGTCGGGCAAATGGCATGCATTGCTTAATAAATTGATAAGCTTGGAAGCTCAAACTTTTGTTTCCTCACTCATTTCATCTTTCATCGCCACAAAACCACTAATCTAGACCTCCAGTCCCAAATGATGGCCTAACCTTTCTGAATCCATACTACTCGTCTCATAAAAGTTCCCAATCAAATAATTTCTGTAATTCTTCATAAATTCAAACTTAACATGGCCCTAAAGAAGAGAAAAGGAAATGTACCTCTCTCCTTTGCAGAGGTAGGAAACAAAAAGTGTGGAACACTGTAGATACTGTCAGACTCAGGTGATATGTTGAATAGTTTTGTTTTGCTGAACTGCTTTTTTTTTCAGAGTTCCACAGAAGTTCATATAATAACAAAAAATCTCCATTCAAGATTGTATTCTTTTAAAGGACTAGAATCCTCTCCACCCCCATTTCTGTATTCCCAAGTACCTAGGACACTGCTTGGAGTATAGCAGGCACTAAGCAATTGCTTGTTAACTTAACTGCATAATAACCTCATGCTCTTGCCTGGAATTCCCTATTTTGACACAATCAGTTGGGCTATACCATCTGCCTTTTTAATACTCACTATTCCTGGTTATCCAGATCACTCTCCACACTTCTAGTGGAACAGAATCATGGTTCAGTGGTGTGAAACATTAAAGGGGGAGAATACTCCACATTAAGAATCATGCTTGAATATCAACAGATAAGAAATCTTGCAATAAATTGTAGAACTGTAATGTACTTTTATGGAAGGATTAGAAATATTTATTAGATATTAAAAACAAATTAAACAGAAAAAAAAAGAAAGTTACTATGGTGACAAGGAAGAGCAAAATAGATACTTAGAAGAAGACAACAAAGTCAAAGCTCCTACATCCAAAGCCTCCAAGAAAAATATGAATTGGTCTCAGGCCACAGAAGAGCTCAAAAAAAATTTTGAAAATCAAGTAAGAGAGGTAGAGGAAAAATTGGGAAGAAAAATGAAAGTGATGCAAGAAAATCATGAAAAACAAGTCAACAGCCTGGTAAAGGAGACACAAAAAAATATTGAGGAAAATAACACCTTAAAAAACAGACTAGACCAAATGGTAAAAGAGGTCCGAAATGCCAATGAGAAGGAGAATGCCTAAAAAAGTAGAATTGGCCAAATGGAAAAGGAGGTCCAAAGGCTCACTGAAAAAAATAATTCCTTGAAAATTAGAATGGAGCAAATGAAAGCTAATGACTTTATGAGAAATCAAGACACTGTAAAACAAAACCAAAAGAATGAAAAAATGTAAGACAATATGGAATATCTCAATGGAAAACAACTGACCTGGAAAATAGATCTAGGAGAGATAATTTTAAAATTATTGGATTACCTGAAAGCTATGATCAAAAAAGAGCCTAGACATCATCTTTCAAAAATCACTGCCATCTCCTACTGCTGTCTCTTAAAACTCATATAACATTGCAACACCTCCAACCTTTTTTTTTTAAACTACAAGGCTATAAACATTGGGTACACACACCCTTATTTTACTAATAAAAACAATTCAAGTTCTTTACTCACCAAGTAGACATTGTTGGCTGACTGTAGTGAATAGTACAAATGCACAATAAAGGGACTCTTGCTGAGTGCCAGTGCATCCCTCTCAGCTTGGACTTGATGAGCCATGTTTTTGTTGATCATATCTGCTTTTTTGACAACCTATAAAAAGAACCATAATACTTAGTATATATAATTTTTTCAATTATAAGATGTTTTCATATTCGGACATTTATACATTTTAAAAATCAAATAAACTGATAAAGACTAATCTAAATACTTCAAAGGTACAACTGAAACTATGGCATATTAGTAACATGGGTTATATAGACTAGAAAATTAGGAAGCCTCAGTTCTGTCCTAACTTTACTGTCACCTGGGAAACCTCTCATGTGTCTTAAATTCTGAAATAGTACAGGCAACTAGCTATTGTTTACTTCAGAGGACTGTTATAGCAAAGGGACAGAGACAGGACAGTTAGTTCCATAGAAAAAAGTCAGAGCAGCTATAAGGGAATCAAACGCTCCAAGAAATGAGTTTTCATCACAGGATGGCAATAGACAGAGGCAACAGGTCAGTGGCAAGGAATTTTTGGGCCAAGCTAGGACCTGTAGAAACTAGAGCTAACACAGTGACAAAGCAAGAGAATAGTTTTTAGACCAAGCATTCTAGAAACAGTCAACTATTTATTATCCCTAAATAGTTTCCCCCTTGGAAGGGAGATCCCTCCAAGGACAGAAAGATAATCTGGAGAACTGTATGAGATGCTGGGAGTGTGGGACTCACACAAAGTACTTTCTCTTCCTACTTAGTTGGATAAGCATGAGTGGAAAGAGACTCCAAAGGTCCTATTGTAAATATGAAGAAATATAATGGTGGCTAGAAAGGAAACCTAAATGGAGAATAATGAGTTGTCTTGACATTTATGAGCTTGGATTTGACTTCTTTTGAATTTTTTTATCCAATTAAATAGAATATGTGGTATATTTTAAAATACATAAGAATAAAGAAGTGATGTTCAAATCTGGTTTGATCTTTCAGGCAGAAATGTAAAATACTAGAGATAATATAATTAGGACATTGTTTTCCTACTAGCTACATATAGTTCCTCATTAATCAAGAGAATATATTCTCTATATGTAAAGATATACTTCCACTTTATTTTTTTAAAATATTTTTACCAAGAGAACGGTGTATACAATAACAGCCACGTTCTGCGATGACTAATATTGATAAACTTAACCCTTCCCAGCAATACAAGGATCTAAGACATCTCCAAAGGCCTCATGATGGAAAATGCTATCCACATCCCAAGAAAGAACTATGGAGTTTGAATGCAGACAGAAGCATACTATTTGAGATTTTTTTTCTTCTGGTGAGTTTTGTTTTCTCTTTCTGGTGGTTCCTCCTATTGGTTCTAATTCTTATAACATCACTAATGAAAAAATGTGTTTAATAGGAATGTATATGTATAGCCTATATCAGATTGTGCGCCATCTTGGGGAGGGTGGTGGGGAGGAAGGAGAAAAATTTTAAACTCAAAAGCATATGGAAGTGATTGTTGATAAATCTAAATAAATTAATAAAAAAAGACAAAAAATATTTTTAAATGTATCATTTATAACAATCTTTTCTTTTTAAATTTTGAGTTCCAAATTCTCTCTTCCTCCTAACTCTTCCCCACCCACTTCAACAGTAAGCAATATGATATCAATATGTGGAATCATTCAAAACGTATTTCCATATTAACCATATTTTTTTAAAAAGAAAAACAAAGTAAGAAAATTATACTTCAATTTGCACTCAGAGTTCATCAGTTCTCTCTTTGGAGGTGGATAGCATTTTTTCATCCTGAGTCCTTTGGAATTGTCTTAGATCATAGTATTGGTCAGAGTAGCTAAATCTTTCACAGTTGATCATTACAACATCGCTGTTACTGTGCACAATGATCTCCAGGTCCATCTTACTTCATTTTGCATCAGTTCATACAGGTCTTGCCATGTTTTTCTGAAACCACCCTCTTTCGTCATTTCCCATAGCACAACAGTACTCCGTCATAATCCTATGCCATAACTTGTTCAGTCTTTCCCCAATTGATGAGCATCCCCTTGATTTCAAATTCTTTGCCATCATAAAAAGAGCTGATGAAAATATTTTCTGTACATATAGGTCCTTATCCTTCTTCTTTGATCTCTTTGAGATACAGCACCGTTTTAAAGCTCTTTGGGCACAGTTCCAAATTGTTCTCTAGGATGGTATGACCAGTTCACTTCTCCATTAATAGTTCATGAGTGTACCCATTCTCCCCTCTTCCCTGCCAGCATCTCTCATTCTGACAGGTTTCAAGTGGTACCTCAGAGTTGTTTTAATTTACCTTTCTCTAATCAACAGTGATTTACAGTATTTCTTTCATGACTATAGATAGCTTTGATTTCTTCTGAAAACTGCCTATTTATATCCTTTGGTCATTTATCAATTGGGGAATGGCTTCTATTTTTATAAATTTAACTTGGTTCTATACTCACTATTTGGGAAATGAGACCTTTATCTGAGAAACTTGCTGTAAAAATTTTTGATATTACTTCATTGACTATGGTACCTTTTAGCAAAATGTAGTTTCCCTGACTATCCCTTTTAATTAGATCTATTTTTGCTTTCTCTGAGATCATAATCACAACCCCTGCCTTTTTTTTAAAAATTCAGCTGAAGCATATTAAATTATGTTCCAGCCCTTTACTTTAACTGTGTGTGTTTTTCTCTTCCAAGGGTACCTCTCGTAAATAACATATCGTTGGATTCCAGTTTCTAATCCATTCTCCTACCCACTTCTGTTTTATGGTTGAGCTCACCCCATTCACTTCACAGTTATGATGTACTAATTGTCTATTTCCTTCCATCCCATCTTCTGTTTCTTCTTCTTTCCTTTTATCCTTTCCCGCCTCAAAAGTCTATTTTGCTTCTAACCATTGCCTCCCTTAATATGTCCTCCCTTTTCTCACTCCCTCCTCCCTTCTTATTTCTTTCTATTTCCCTACAGAATAGGTTACATTTCAATACACAGCTGAGTGTATAAATATATTCTAATTCAAGCATTGCCTGCCACCTCTTCCCTATTTTCCCCTCCATTATAAAAGTTCTCCCTTACATACCTATGTGAGAAAATTTTACCTATTCTACCTCTCCCCTCTCCCTTCTCCCAGTGCATCCCTCCTTATCACTCCTTAATTTTTTTCTGGAGATCATTCCAATATAATCGACTCATATCCATGTCCTCTGTCTATGTAAACTCCTTTTAACTGCCCTAATAATGATAAAGTTCTTAAGAGTTACATGTATCATCTTTCCATTTGGGAATATGAACAGTTCAACTTTATTGAGACTCTTATGATTTCTTTCATGTTTAGCTTTTCATGCTTCCCTCGAGTCTTGTGTTTGAATGAAAAGTTTTCTATTCAACATTAGTCTTCACATCAGGAATGCTTGAAAGGCCTCAGTTTCATCCATTTCCCCTCCAGAAGGATTATACTGTTTTGCTGTGTAGGGTATTCATGGTTGTAATTCTAGCTCCTTTGCCTTCTAGAAAAGCATGTTCCAAACCCTCTGCTCCTTTAATATGGACGTCACTAAATCTTGTGTGATACTGACTGTGGCTCCACAATATGTGAATTTTTCTTTCTGGCTGCTTGCAGTATTTTCTCCTTGATGTGGGAGTTCTGGAATTTGGCTATAATATTTCTGGGAGTTTTCATTTTGGGATCTTTGAAGAGATAATTGGTGGATTCTTTCAATTTCTATTTAACCCTCTGAACCTAAGCTATCAGGGCAGTTTTCCTTGATAATTTCTTGAAATATGATGTTTAAACTCTTTGATCATGGCTTTCAGGTAATCCAATAATTGTTAAATTATCTCTCCTTGATCAATTTTTAAGGTCAGTTATTTTTCTGAATAGATATTTCACATTTTCTTCTATTGATTTTTGACATCTCATGGAGTCATTAGATTCCATTTGCCCAATTCTAGTTTTTAAGGAATGATTTTCTTCAGTGAGATTTTGTACCTCTTTTTCCATTCAACACATTCTGCTTTTTAAGGAGTTGGCTTTTTTTTTTCCAGTGAATATTTCTGCCTCTTTTACCATTAGGCCAATTCTGTTTTCTAAGGGGTTTTCTTCAGTATTTTTTGGTACCTCTTTTACCAAGCTGTTAATTCTTTTTTCATAATTTTCTTGCATTATTCTCATATATTTTCCCAATTTTTCCTCTACCACTCTTATCTCTCTAACTCCTCCAGGAATTCTTGTTGGGCTTGGGTCCAATTAGCGTTTTTCTCTGATGCTTTGTTTGTAGTTATTTTCACACTGTTGTCTTCTTCTGAGTTTATGTCTTGGTCTCCTCACACTTGCATATTAAAAAAACATGTCATCTGTATTTTTTAAAAGTACTTACAGGGAGATAGGGCTGAGCCTTAGACCTGGATTCAAACCTTCATTTTTCAACACTTACTTGCTATGTGACCTTGGCCAAGTCACAACTCTGAGCTCCAGGCAACTAACAGACTAGAAAGACAGATGGACACCAGCAAACTCATAATTCTCTGATATGATACAGTGAGAATGAGAGACAATATGATGGTCAGTTTAAATGGGGGAGAGAACAGGTAAGGGTGAGTATCAAAATTTCAAGCTATCTCTAGTTAACAGTTTCCAGCTGGAAAGGTAAAAGCCCAGTAACATAATTTTTGCACTTCTTAATGAGTACATGTTGCATATAAATTTGTCTCATACCTTTTAATAACCTACTTTCCCAAGTATCAATTATATTCACAATTTAAATTCAGAAATAAACTTCACTAATCAGCAAACCTTTTATTTCTATAAAAAGTAAAAGATTAAGAAAAAGATGGCTGCAAGATGAGTAGCCCAATTAATACTAATGATTAGAAGAGGAATGTGGATTTTGATTGATGATGAACATGTCACTGTGGTTTCCTTTACTTCTTATCTTCATCTCCTCAACAGCAATGGTACAACTTGATTATGTGAAGTAAAATAGCTATGACTGTTTCTGAGGAAATGACATTCTAAAACGAACTGGTAAATGTCAATCTCTGAAACAGGTGACAAGTATGTGCCTTTTAAAAAAATCCTAACAATTATTATAATACCACGATAATATTTAAGCTGGAATGGCCTTCTTGCTGTTGCCAAAACTTATAATTTCATCTCTTGCCAAAGTAACTGCACTGTCTGACTCTCATACCAGGAACGTAGGTTCCTCAGGGGCAGGGACTATTTTTTGCCTTTCTGTGTATATATACCCATTGCTTAGCATAGTTTTTGGCACATGGCAGGAGTTTAATAAATACTTTGTGACCGAAAGCAATGTAATGGCTCAAGACTACCTCTATACGCTCAGATTCCTTTAAAGCTCACCTGAGGCACCATCTTCTAGGCTAAACTCTTTCTGTTTTTCTTCCTCAAATTATCTTGTATTTACTTATCTGTATATAGAACTTATTCCCAGGAAAGCGTAAGGTCCTCGGAAACAGGTACCATTTCTGTTTTGTTTGTGTATCCCCAATGCCAGCACGGTGTGCTGCACAAAGTAGACACTTGAAAGCCTACTGAATTCAATACAACAATGGTTCTGTGACTCCAATGACACCGGCATTCCTTCGGTAGAGCTGAGTACAACCTCTCATGCATGGCCACGGGGTCTGATTCCTGTACACGAGGTCTCCTAAGTTCCCTCAGGGTCACTGGAATCCACAAGCTGCCGTCCCCATGCTCACCACAAGATCAGCCCATCTTCAGTTTGCTCAGACATTTCCCTGGTGACATCCTTCACTCCTTGTTTGTCAAGTGTGCAGTCTGCTCAAGCCCACCATGAGCCTCTTCGTCTTCGTAGCTGACATTTATATACATACGCCTCTAAGGTTTTCAAAGCGCTTTACAAACATTACCTCACTTAATCCTCACAGCAACCTCAGGAAGTAGGTGCTATTATTAACCTTATTTTACAGATGAAGAAACTGAGGCTGAAAGCGTCTAAATAACTTGCCCCTCATTTCACAGATCAGGAAATGACCACTTCAGGGTCCGCGCCAGTAAAATGTTACGGGCTGGGTCCACCCCAATTCCAGGGTGCAAGCCGTGCGCCCCCCGCCCCAGCCTCACTTTCACGGCGCACATCACCCCCCAACACCCCGCCCCTCCCCCCTTCACGGCGCACATCACCCCCCAACACTTCGCCCCTCCCCCCTTCACGGAGCACATCACCACCCAACACCCCGCCCCCACCTCACCCTTCCCCGCCTCGGTTCACCTTCACGGCGTACAACTTGCCGCTCTTCCGCGCCAGATACACTTTCCCGAAGGCCCCGCGGCTGATGGGCTTCATGATGGCGAACTCCTCAATTGAGGGGGCCCTCGGCACCGGGATCTGCTTCACCTGCGCCTCCGAGGCGTCACCGCCGTCGCCGCCGCCTGCGGATGAGGCTCGCCCGGCCGAAGCGTTCGGTGTCTCGCCGCCCTCCGACTCCGCGCTGCGGCCGCTCGCCAACTCCATCGCGGGCCTCCCTGGCAGCCCACAGCCCACAGCCCACGACTAACTTCCCGAAGCTGCCACTCCCGCCCCTCAGTTTCAAAGCAAAGCCCCGCCCCGCCGTCCGCTTACGTATGGGACGTGTGTGACGCCATCACGCGTTGTCTCTTTGAGCGCGGCGTGCGCGCGGGGGCGGAAGCGCCGCTGTGCGCCCTGTGACGTAGTGACGCCGGCTTCTGGGGGCGGAGAAACTGATGGCGCTACTGCCGGGGAGAAGGATGACCCACCTCCCCGCGTTTCCACACCTCCGCACTCGTCCCAATTCCTCGAAGAAGGATCTGCTCATACCTCGGCCTCCGCCAACGTCATGTGTCCCGCTTCCCTTCTCTCCTCAATATATTTTTGAGGATAAACAACACTTAATAGCCTTTTTTGTGTTTCTTTAAAAAATGTTTTTTGCTTATTTACAATCATTTCTATGAATACCAATGAGTCAGCCAGCATTTATCTTTATACCAGACCCGCCCCTGGTAAAACCAGTTCGGTCCCTGTGGAGAAAGAGAGAGAGAGACAGAGAGAGACAGAGTGTCTCCGACAGCACGTGACACATAGGGCACCTGCAAGAGGAGGGAAATCAAGTCACCAAATTCAGTGGTGTTAAGTTGGTTAAACAGGAGGGAAATTAAGTCACCAAATTCAGTGGTGTTAAGTGGTTAAAGAGGAGGGAAGACAAGTCACCAAATTAATGGATGGTGAGTAGTTAAATGAGGCAGCTAAGTGGCTTAGTGGATAGAGCACCAGGCTGGAGTCAGGAGTGTGAGTTCATATGTGGCCTCAGACACTCACTAGCTGTGTGACCCTGGACAAGTCATTTATCTTCTGTTTGCCTTAATCCACTGGAGAAGGAAATGGCAAACTACTCAAGTATCTTTGCCAAAAAAAACCCCAATGGGGTCACGAGGAGGAGGACGGGACTGGACAACAAAGTTAAACGGGACTGGGGTGCTAGTCGGGGAGGGGAGAGGCAGTGGGGGAAATGCAACCAGAGAAGAGATTCCCCCAAACTCTTACTACAGTATTTTCCTAAGTGTTCTAGCTTTGTAGATCCATAGTGAGGAGAAATCCTTTACCTCCCATTGTTATTCATTCCAGTTTTAGATAGCATTGAATGTTAAGTTTTTTTTTTTCCTTAACTTAATCCTAAATCTACCACTTTGCAACTTTTACCCATTTTTCCTAGCTCTGCTCTCTGGACCAAACAAATAAACTACTTTTCCACTGACGGTCCTTTAACTACTTGGATGTACCTTATCCATAATAGGGACTTAATACATGTTTTTTGAGTTGAAGGATGAGAGAAAAAAGAAGTGGAAATGACCTGGCACAGAACCCTATGGGAATGCCCCCAGTTAAAGACGTTGGGAAAATGCGGTTGGAGAGTAGACATAGTAGCAGGAAAGCCAAGGGAGGAGCCAGTATCCACTAGAAGGCAGTGGTCAGCCATTCAACTGCTACAGAAAGGTCAAGGATAATGAAGATTACAAAAGGAAAAGAAAAGAAAAATTCATCGTCATTCAAGAAGTGTCTCCAAGGAAACAGTTTAATTAAAGTATTAATAGGATAGATAGCAAGGTTTAAAGCACAGCTTAAATAGGAATTGTTTCATCTGGGGCAAAAGCAGTGAGTAGGAGTGATGCTACAAGTGCAGTCACACTAGGAGACTGGGGCCTATGCCACCTGAGGGTTAAGGGAAAGGCAGGGTCGGAGAGTGGTGCCCCAGTGATGGATCCCAGTGGGGTTGTAGCCCAGGGCAAGGTGAAGGATCAGGGTCAAGGTACAAGCCAGCCAAAGACTGTGGGGCAGGGATCAACACCAGCAGGAAGTATTCCACTTCCTTCCTCCCCCCAAGTCATGAGTACCATATCCTTATGTTAGCGCCCAGGTAAAAAAAATCTTGATTTCCTAACCTGCCCTAGTTATGGTTCTGAATTGAGGGATGAATGGTTGGTAAGAAAGTTGGTTTGGAAACTGGACTAAAATAGACTATAATTTATATAAGTTTATCAGGAAAGGGTGAGAGATGACATAGGGTGATAGTTGAGAAAAATGAGGTTCTGAGGCCCAACTCTGCCACTTACTAGTGTGACTTTGTGCAAGTCATTTAACCATTGAGCCTCAGTTTCCTCTTCTGTAAAATGAATGTTAAAATAATTATATTTCCACATTTCACAGTGTTTTGAAAAAATGTGCTTTGTAACCTTTATAGCTATATGTGTTAACATATAGTTATGTAGATGTGAACTATTTATATATATATATGCATAAATGTAAATCTACGTAACTAAATTTGAAAGGCTTAAAATTTTACCGGAGGAATTATTTCTTTCTCTGTCTGAAGACCAGCTTAGTTAAATTCAGAGGCTCATCTATCCAAACCAGAGGGTTTACCACGAAGTAATGAGCTTTTTTTGGACCATAACTTATTAATCATCCAACAAGGCTTGAAGGGATTGTGTAAGTTTAGGGTGAATGCCCTATAATGAATGCATGGATCTTTGAAGTGCCTGAGAATGTTCAGTAAAACACCTGAAGGACAGTTTTACCTCTTTAAAGGGCTTTGATTCTATTGAAGACCTGGAATGTGAAAAAACTGGAAGAGGAATCAGTTGTTCATCCTGGAGCATGGGTTTTCTAGCACGCTGTAACCTTCAATATGATAAAAGTCTTGAATGAATAGGTAATTTATTTTCAAGGACTGACTGTCAGGGAAACTCCCAGTAGACATTATTTCAGGAATACCTAACAAAAGAAGTCTCCTCATCTGTAAAATGAAATTGAATTAGATCACTAAGATTCATTCATTGGGCCTGCTGATTTCCACCATCTACTGCCCAGGCCAGGATCTCATTTACCTTGTTGCCTGGGACTGAAGCAGAGCTAATGAGGCATTTCTTTCACAAATTTTCCGTACTCTCCTCAAGACTCCTAAATCTCCACTTTTTCTTACTGTACTGAGAAAATTGAACTCCCTTTTCTTTCCTTTTTTTTTTTAAGTTTAATCAGTATTAACACTTCCTTAAATCTTGACAATGAACAGGACAATAAAGCAAGCCCTGATTTATAGTGTTTTGTGGTTCCTAAAGTATAAATGCTCACATTAAACTTTCAACAATGACTCTCAAGTTGGTTAGAGCTGGCTTCAGCACACTCCTACTTCTCACTCAGTTGTGAACTTATCCCTGTAAGGTGTTGTTTTTTTTAAGGCTTTGAATAGTTAGATTTCTTTTTGTAATATTTATTATTATAATATTTTATTATTAGTGGTTGTGAATTTTTTTCAAATGGATATAGATAATTTGTTTTCCTTTTAAAACTATTCATATTCTTTGACTGTCTTTTGAGGAATAGCTTTTCATATAAAAATTTCTGTCAATTGTACATGCAATAAGTTAGAATTTTATCTACTCATTTTTTATTGTTATGCATTTTTAAATTAATTTATTTATTTTTAGTTTTCAACGTTCACTTCCATAAGCTTTTGAGTTTTAAATTTTCACCCCTTCCCTCACCGCCTCCCTCCTCAAGATGGCGTGCAATCTGACATAGGCTCTACGTATACATTCCTATTAAACATATTTTCCCATTAGTCATGTTGTAAAGAAGAATTAGAAGCAATAGGAGGAACCATAAGAAAGAAGAAATAAAATAAAACAGAAGAAAAAAAGAGCAAATAATATCTTCAATCTGCATTCAGACTCCATAGTTCTTTCTGTAGATGTGGATAGCATTTTCCATCATGAGACTTTTGAAGATGTCTTAGATCCTCGCATTGCTGAGAAGAGGTAAGTCTGTCATTTCATCATACAATGTGGTTGTTACAGTGTACAGCGTTCTCCTGGTTCTGCTCACTTCACTCAGCATCAGTTCCTGTAAGTCTTTTCAGGATTTTCTGAAGTCTGCTTGCTCATCATTTCTTATAGCACAATAGTATTCCATTGCATTCATATACTACAACTTGTTCAGCCGTTCCCCAATTGATGGGCATCCCCTCAATTTCCAATTCTTTGCCACCACAGAAAGAGCTGCTGTGCATATTTTTGTACATGTGGGTCTTTCCCCCAATTTCATGATCTCTTTGGGATACAGCCCTAGAAGGGGTATTGCTAGATCAAAGGGTGTGCACATTTTTATAGCCCTTTGGGCACTTCCCTTCTTTTAATCTTACAACCCTTTATATCATCTCCCATTCTCTTCTTTCCTTCAATCTCTTCTTCCAAGGCCAGTTCTTCATATGCTTTTGATTTCATCCTGTCTTCTGCAAAAGATTGCATGACCTCGATCATCTTCTGCCTCTAAACTTCAATCTCTCCTCATCCAATGGTTCCTTTCTGACTGCCCCCCTCCAAAGGCCCAAATCTTCCCTAGCCTTATATATAGCACCCCACCTAGGAGGCTTTGGCAGTCCCCTGAAGGACAGATTTGTGTCACTGCATACTGTGTACCTGAGGAAGGGGTGACTCCAGATTGGCTGAGAGACTTCTGGGAGAGAGAAACAGAGGAAATAATGAAATGTTTAAGGAGCTGTGTTAGTTCCTAGAGATTCAAGGATTTAAAAAAATAGTTCCTGCTCTAAATGGTGTAGCATCTAAATTTTAAAGGAGAAGTTAAATGAACTGGAAGAGGAAATAGACAATAAAACTATACTAGTGGGGAATCTCAAGTTTCCCCTCTCAGAACTAGAGAAATCTAACCATAAAATAAACAAGAAAGAAATTAAGAAGGTGAATAGGATTCTAGAAAAGTTATATGATAGATCTCTGGAGAAAGGAATATACCTTTTTTTTCAGCAGTACATAGCACCTACACAAAAACTGACCATGTATTAGGGCATAAAAACCTTACAACCAAATGCAGAAAAGCAGAAACATTAAATGCATCCTTTTCAGATCATAATGCAATAAAAATTAATTCAATAAAGGGCAGTGGAAAGAGTGTAAAAATTAATTGGGAACTAAATAATCTAATCTTAAAGAATAAGT